ATATAGACCAATTCTACAGGGATTCCTAACAGAGACCAGAGAAACCAGGACAAGCTTTGCAAATTTCAATGGTTCTGGGAAAATATTCTTTTTTTATTTTAATGTATATGTATTTATTTTAATATTAGGAAAAACTGATACATCAAACTAGTAATGTCACATATATTATTTAGAATTAAACAATTTCAAATGTCAATTTAAAGAAAAATTAATAATCAATGATATTGGCATGTACTCACTCACAAGGCAGAAGTAAGACTGTGAGACTTGAGTGGCCACGGTGCTAAAAACAATGAAGGGAGAAGGGCAAATGGGAGCTCAAGAACAACTCGATCTGTAAGTGGTGGCCAAAGGAGAAAAGGGGGGAAAAAACCTTCCTTAAAATGATTTACTTTCTATTTTTAAAATATGTGTTTTCTGTCCTGGCTGGTGTGGCTCAGTGGACCGAGCGCCTGCCCGCAAACCAGTCCGATTCACAGGCAGGGCACATGCCTGGGTGGCAGGCCAGGTCCCCAGTTGGGGTGTGTGAAAGGCAACTAATCGATGTACCTCTCACATGTCGATGTTTCTCTCCCTCTCTTTTTCTCTCCCTTCCCCCTCTCTAAAAATAAATAAAATCTTTAATTTAAAAAAATACATATTTTAAAAAATAAGTGTTTTCTTTCTGTTCCCAGAATATGGTTTTAGACATTCTGATCACAGCACAGATTTAATTTTACTGTATACTTATACTTTCTCTACAAAGAGAACCAAAAAGCAAGCTTTTCTAAAGCATCTGATCATCAAGTCAAAGTTCTTTAGAACAGGCCTCACAGGACTTCCCTCTCACTAAAGGGGAAGCGAAAAGATAATTAGCCTGAGCTCTTAGATTCGAGTGCAGAGGAACCAAAAGCAGGTTATGTGGTTATAGACTCAAGAGGCTCAAACAGAAAGAAACTGGCTGAATTTATATTCCAACCAAACCCAGAGACCATGCAATCCAATTTCTCCTCAGCCCGTGTGAGTGGGAAGCACTCCTGAGTGGTCAGATTATAAACCTCAGGTGGGATGTCACGGACTGAACGATGACAGGACTAACTGGCTATCTCAACACCATAAAAACGCAGCCAGTGTAAGAGAAAAAAATAACCCACAGGCAGAGAGATTTATAGGGTGTTTTGACATGAAACTGCAAGAGAAACCCAAAAAACATAACCGTTCTTTGGCACAGACTTCTACTTTTTTGTTCTATCCAATATAGTAGCTACCAATTTCTAAATTTAAAAATTAAACTGAAATAGCCACAGAAATGCAACATTTTCATCACTGCAGAAAGACACTGCACCACTCTAAATCCTACGTAAGAACCGTGAACAAGGTCACATGCCCTGTCTCCAGTCCTTAATGTCTAAATGCATTAATAGTGCTCAAGGTCACATACACCAAACCAAGTTCTACTGCTGCTTTCAGGGTCAAAATAGATTTTGCTCTTTATTTTTCCCAAAGCTTTCCAAACATTAAAAAAGAAAGAAGAAGAAGGGGAAAAAAACCCCTGCTTTTAAGTGATGCAACATGTATGCCTCAGAGTTTCACTGTATAAAGAGTAATCTCTCTCTCTCCCCTCTTGGGGACTGCAGGACCCACATGTCCCAAATAAAAGACTATTAAAAACAATGACAGTTCATAAAACAATAAAGAACACTATGACCCCTGGAGAGCTTAGTTCAGAAGCACATAAACACTATTCTTACTTTAGCATCAAAACCTCAGCGAACAAACATGAAGACTGTCAAAAGGTATTCTCTGCAGAGAATACTTTTAAAAAACAAGTCATGATTATTGTTACAAATACATGGAGAAATTGAAACCCTCAGTTTGATAACAACCTCATTTCTTATTGCTGGCTTCCCTCTAAGAAAGGATGGCAGAAACCTCCTTCGAGTTCACTCATTCTTAGGCCTCTATTGCTTACTCATTGGATCATTTCCAAAAAAGGAAGCAGACTCCTAATTGGAGTTGATCCCAAGCTTATAAACTCTGAGCCAAGCCAAAAGCATGATTTCCACACTGCTCTGCAAACCCAGCGTAACTCTAACTGAAAGTTTCTCAACAGCAGCACTGCTGACATTTGGGACCAGATAATTCTGCACTGTGGGGGCTGTCCTGTGCACCGCTGGATGTTTACCAGCATCCCTGACCTCTACCCCAGGAGATGTCAGTAATGGCCCTCCTTTTCCTCCCCGCTGGGAACTGTGACAATTAAAAAGTCTCCTGGGGAAGTCAAAAATCCCTCCTGGTTGAGAACTACTGCTTTAACCTAAGGAACATTCTTGATCATTTCAACCCTAATTCCTTATGATCACTTGATGCTCCTCCACATCTCTGTGTGGAGACTTCGTCCCACAATTCAGCAAATATTTGCAGAACCTCTAACAGGGGCGTCCAACTTTTTGGCATCACTGGGCCACACTGGAAGAAGAGATGTTTTGGGCCAATCACATACAAACACTAACAAAAAATGATGAGAAAAAAAAAAGGCCCATGCATAATTTACAATTTTGTGTCAGACCGCATTTACAGCCATTCTGGGCCACATGCAGCCCGTGGGCGGCAGGTTGGTACCCCTGCCTAAGACAAAACATTCAGGGCTCTAGGAGATACACAAGACAGACTCTGTCCCTCAAACAAGATTCTTGGGGGGTGGCAGGGGATAAGTACATCAAAAGCTATAATAAAAACATCCAATTATGTCATGTTTTGAAGTGTTGGTTTTTGTTCCTCACCAAACTAAAAGCACCTAGAGGGCAAAGACCATACCCCTGGATTACTAACACTTGATTAACAGCCAATAAAAATAAAAATAAGCTACTGTAAATTTCACCAGAACACGATGACAATTTCACAGGGACAGTAAAAACTCCACAGCTAACTTGGGCAACAAGTTAACCTCTCTTGGCTGCAAAATGGAGAGAAAAATGACAGGAAGTCAGATAATACAAGCCAATCTTTTCCCACTGCTTTTTCTGGCACAGAGCAAGCAATGTAAGCTATCATTATGATTATTTTATTAGCTATTTTATTAGCAACACATCGTACCTCAAGGAGAAGATCCTGCTCCAGGACACAAAAACAAACCCCTACATGAAATAGAAAGAAATCAACACTCACCCCACTTTCTGAGGGCAACAGGAGGAAGTAACCATAAGTATTTCTAGCCATGTCCTGGGAAGACAAAGTGCGTGTAGGAACCAATTGGAGGTGTAGGGCGACTTCAGAGACAAACCCATTACCCTCCGATATATACTGAACTATTCTTTATTTTTTAAACGGATTTTACGGAGAGAGGAAAGGAGAGGGAGGGAGGGGGGACAGAGGGAGAGAGACATGCACTGATTTATTGTTTCATTTATTTATACATTTATTACTTGCTTCTTGTGTGTTCCCGGACCTGAGGTCCAATCTTGGCGTATCAGTAAGACACTCCAACCAACTTAGCTACCCAGCCAGGGCCCTGAACTTAAGACATTTCCACTTCAAATGCTTGGCTATGTTTGCCATCAAAAACAATCCTTATTTCAAAAATATTGACCCATGCAAGGGACAGATGATTATGAGACTTTCTGAGTATTCACTTGCTTAATCTTCGAGAAATTTGGCTTCAATTTTCTATTGCTATAAATACATGTCATCAGTTTTGAATTGACTACAAGGCACAGAGTTCATAAGAAGAAAAAAAGACAAAAACTGTTGCTACATGTTTCAAAGTAAGAGAACATAAAGTGGGGGGGGGAGGGGGAGGTTGGTGATTCAAAGACGGGAGTGTTTGACCCAAGCGGTGTTAGCAGATGGGAGATACCCGGGATGCAAGTAAAAGACAGGAAAAGTCGCCATGCTAGGACATACACAGCCCGGAACGCTTAGGCAGCACACTGGGTTTAGACGAGCAAAAACAGACCTTATTCTCCTAAGAATGGACATCACCAGCTCGGCGTGTACCCTGGGCTAGGCAGACACCAAGTGCCTCACACAGTGGGTCATGTAACCCAGCAACAGGCAGGTACCCACAATTTACAGAGGAAGAAACTGAGACAGATGAGCGACTTACTGAAGGTCACTTAATTAGTAAACTGAAAATTCAGACTCCAACCCAGGTACCGTGGCACAGCCTCTACTACTAGACAGTGTCTATTTTAATTTCAGACCTGGAAAATTAAGTTGCACTTGCTACTTAGTGAGACCAGTTCTCTCCCCCTCTCCTTTTGTATTTCAAAAGAGCGTCCTTTTAGCGGCGACGTGTGTGGTGATCATATAGAGTCCTGAGAGGTGAAACTGTGATAGATGGACCCTGTTGCCTTTGGACTCTGCAGTAATCCACACGGAGGAACTTGAGTGGACACAAATGGAGGTAAGTGTCCTGAACAAGAAGAGGAGGGTCCTGGAGAATAAGGGAAGTCGCCAAAGTTCTTATTTCAGCCCCTACTTCCTGGCCACTACGTTCATTCAAAAGACCCCCGAGCCGACTGTCCCTTCCATCCTTCCCACTCTGAAATGGAGAGGATGGAGGCGAGGCAGGGGCCTACCGGCGGGGAAGCTAGAGCCAAGTGGGATGGGGGCTGAGAAGCGGGCGGAAAGGCGGGGGCCGCGGACCAAGGTGGGCATGGGGTGGGGGGCCAGAGGTGGGATAGCGAGGCCAGTGCGGTGGGGGGTCGGCAGCCAAGGAGTGTTCGGCGGACGTGCAGAAGCCGAAGAGGGGCCCCAGGGCGGAGCAGCCCCGTCACTACCATCTGGGCTGATCTGAGAAGGGAAGCGAGGCGGGAACCAATGCATTTCGAAACAGGAGTAGAAAAGAACCTGGAGCGCAGACCAGGGGCCGGGGTGCAGCGGGGCCCCGGCTGGAGCGAAGACCGGAGTTCCCGCGCGCGAAGGGCCGCCCAGGCGGGGCAGCGCGCGGCCGAGCCTGCAGCCGAGGTGCGGAGCCCGAGGCCGGGCGGCGCCCGGGCTGACTCCCCCGCCCTGCGTACCTGAGGCGGCCGCCCGGCTCCCCGTCACTCCCGGGCCGTCCCCGACGCCGCCCGCCGGCTCTCGAGAGGCTGCGGGGCTCCAGCAGCCTGGCCCGTCAGCCGCCTGCGGGGCCGACATCTGCAGCGGAGCGGAGCGGAGCGCGCCTCCGCCGCCCGCCGCGAGCGGCTCCGGAAAGAGCCGAGGGCCGAGCGCGCGCCGGGAAACGCGGCGCGGAGCCCGCGGGCCGGAAGCGGCAGTGCGGCGGCCCGAGCTGCCGCGGGAGCTGCGGCCGGCGGGGGCTGGCAACGCGGACGTGGGCGCGGGTACTGCGTGCTTTTGGTGGCAGGTTTCTAAAGTCAAGGAGTGAAAGAAGAAACAAAACCTGGGGAAGATTCAGGAAGACCTGGCCGGAAATCGTGGTATCCACAGAGACGCTGTCGGAAGTCAGGGTTGCTAGGGGGCCTGGGCTCATCCGCGTCATGGCTGAAGTCCCGGACGATTACAATTCCGGCCCCGATGAAAACGAAGACCTGGGGTCCGAGAGACCCCAACTGCCTGGGCTTCTCGAAAGAGCTGAAAGTGCGGAACCAGACGTCAGGGCAGGGGCAGACTCGGAGCTACTCGAAGAGATGGACCAAGAGCCACAGCCGGAGACGGAGGAAGAGAACTTCAAAGACCTGGCGCCCGAGAATACGGAGAATGCACAACCACACCAAAACCCAACCCTGACGCCCGAGGAAGAGATTCCCAGCGAGTCAGAGATAGATCTTGCTAGCAAGACTAAAACAGGGATACCCGAAGAGGTCATGTTGGAGACATCCGAAGGGATGGTAGAAGAGTTTTTCAAGGATTTGGAGGTCCGTCTGGATGAAAAGCTGGAGGAGCCTGACCTAGAGCCACCGGAGGAGGCCGCGCCAGCTGTTACAGAGGGTGTGTTCATAGAGTCAGCTAAGGAAATAGATCTAGAGCTACCAAAGGAGACTGAGTCTGAGGTTCCAAGGGCCGCACTCAGTGAGACAGGATTAGAGTTAGTAGAGGAGCCCAAGCCGGGGGTTCCAGAGGAAATACTTAAAGAGCAAAATGAAGAGTCAAGTCTAGAGCCTCCAGAGCAGACCGAACCTGAATTTCCAAGTGAGGAGCCAAGGAAATCAATTGAAGAGGCAGTTCTCCAGCCACAAAAGGTGACCACATCAGAGTTTCCAGAGCAGACACAAACAGAGTCACCTGAGGAGAAAAGGACAGAGCCATCTGAGCAGACCATCCTGGAGTTTACAGAAGAGAAAGCAAGAAAGTCTACTGAGGAGGCAGGTCTAGAGTCTCCAAAAGATACTAAGGCAGGGGTTTCAGAGGAGACAAGAAGAAAACCAAGTGAGGAAGAAGCGACTGAGCAGACAGAACAAGAGTTTCCAGACCAGAAACCTGGTGAGTATACTGAGGAGACACAAACAAAGTCAACTGAAGGAAAAGTTCCCGAGACACTAGAAGAGATCAAATCAGAGTTTCCTGAGGAAAAATCAAGAAAGCCAATTGAGGAAATAGGTCTAGAGTTATCAGGAGAGATCAAATCAGAAATTCAAGAGGAGATACAAAGAAAGTCAACTGTGGAGAAAGTTCTAGAGCCACCAGAAGATACTGAACCAACGGTTCAAAAAGATAAGCAGAGAGAATCAGCTAAGGAGGCAGGACTAGCACCACTACAGGAGTCCAAATCAGAGGACACACTAAGAGAGTCAACTGAAGAGAAAGGTCTAGAACCACCAGAACAGACTGTACCGGAGTTTGCAAAGGAAGAACCAAAGACACAGAGTAAATCAACTGAGGACATAGGTCAGGTACCACCACAGAAGACCACACAAGAGGTTCAAGAGGAGATACAAACAGAGCCAACTAAGGATAAAGATTCAGAGTTACTGGATAAAGATTTAGAGTTACCAGATAAAGCCCAATCACTACATAGACAAGAGACATATAATGAATTTGCCAAGGAAGATAGATCAGAACCAATCAAATTTAAGCATTTTGTAGAGAAAGATGAGCTAGAGGATTCTGACAATGAAGAAATGTTGTTAGTAAAAGAAACTAAAGAAGTTATGAAAGACTCTATGTTAGAGTCTCTAGAGGTAAGAAACGTAAACAGTAAATACAGATTATATATTTTCAAAAGAATCCCCAGTACTGAATTGATATCAGTAATGATTTATATCCCTCAGAGTCTCAAGAATTTAAGAGAGTCCCTAAAGTTGAAGAAACTGGTACATGAAGATCAAGAAACCCAGCCAAAGGAAAGGGTTGAGCTACAATTTGAGTGTCTTAAATGGAGCCCAGAAAAAGTTGCAGAGTGGATTAGTGAGTTAGGTTTCCCTCAATACAAGGTATACAAAAATAACATTTTTTGAAATTATACTCTCATTCTTCTACTTCTTATTCTTCTAGCTTTACCTGAGTTCTTGCCTCTTTCTTACTAGGAGTATAGAAAAGTCCTGAACTATGGCAGAAGTAACTTGGATTTTAATTTTGGCCATTCCATTGATTGATCTTTTTATTTGGGGAGAGGAAAGACGAGCCACATTTGTATGTTTTTCTTATTCATTGCAGTGATTTTACTTCGCTGCAATCCTTGAATAAAGACTAAGAAATTTATATAGACCTCTTTTCATAGAAAACTGTATTTTCCCCCAAAAAAACTATATTTTAATAGCTTTCATCCAAGGTAGACTTTTGGGTACTTTGCGAAGTTGTTTTAGCTCCCTAACTTGAACTTGTACTATTAATCTTAAGTGTCCCAAATATGTCATATGTATCATGAGCACCTAACAGTACTAATTTAAATAGACGATTAACTAAAAATAGTGTTAAAAAGACAAAGTGAAAAGTAAATTCTTTTATTTTATTGATGCCAATTATGTTCTTAGGCTACTACAAAAAAAACAAAACAAGATCTAATATTTTTTGCAACCCCATACTTAAAATGTAATTGAAGCATGAAAGAACTAATTGTATCATGCCAAAAAATTTTAGCAAAAGCTTAGATGGAAAATATGTGGGATTATTAGGATTAGTACTAAATTTAAACTTAATTTAAATTTAAAATTTGCTCGGTATAGAACAGGAGGAAAACATGATTTATTCCCTCCCTCTTTTCCCTTCCCTACTGTCTTTCCTCCTTCCTTTCCTCCCTCCCTTCTTTTCTTCCTTCCTTCCCCACCTATCTCTCCTTCCTTCCTTCCTTCCTCCCCCTTCCTCTCTTTTTTCTTTCCTTATCTCCTTCTCTCCTCTCTGCCCCCTTCCTTCCCTCTCTCCCTCCCTTCCTTCCTCCCTCCCTTCTTTCCTTCCTTCCTTCCTTTTTTCCACCATACATCTTTTGAGTGATGTTCTCATTGTACTGACAGGAGTGTTTTACCACAAACTTCATCAGTGGCCGAAAACTCATCCATGTAAACTGCTCAAACCTCCCTCAGATGGGGATAACAGATTTTGAGGACATGAAGGTGAGTCGTGTGTCAAGTTTCCCTGCAGACCACTGTAACAATGCTACTGGGTTCAGATGAATCTCCTTTTCTTCCTCCCTGGCCTCCAATTTCTGTCAACAGTGTTACTGGACTCCCAGCCCCCAGGCTGACAGTAGTTTCTTCCTCTCTCTCTCTCTCTCTCTCCTTTGATCCCCACAAAGATCCCATGAACTGTCAGTTCCTCTTACAGCAGATGGTTTTCTCCATCCAAACTTGTTCAGACCTCAATTGCCTTACACTTAGAACATCCCAGGAACCTTCTGCTCGTAGACTCTGTGGGCCCTCTGGATTCAAGAGTGCTTCTTTTAAACACTCACCTTCCAACCATATATAGGGTACTCAGAAACCTTTTGGATCCCCTCTGCCTACATGGTAGTCTCAACTCCTTAGTTTAGGATTCGAGCCCCTCCACAAGTTTTCTCCAGCCACCATCCCCTCCTACCACTCTTCTTCTACATGAATCTTCTATTCCAGCCTCACAGGTCTCACATCCTCCCAGACCTGTGGTTTGCATTCCTCTTTCTGCATCTTGCCCCTTCTCTATGGCTAATATAAATCTTAATCATCCTTAAGACCCAGCTCAATTTTCTTCTCCCCAAGAAGTCTTTCCTAACTTTCCCAGGTCACAGTAACCTCTCATTCCAAGATCTCATACCTTCTATGCCTCTACCACCCACTGGCGCTTCAGTAACACCATACATATTTTGCCTGCTTTGGTACCTAACTTGAAAACAAGTTACATTAACCTCTTTGGACCTCAGTTTCCTAAGATTTCTCCAGCACCAACAGTCCATGACCATGTTTTGTTGCCTAATAATACTCTCCATTTACAGTGTTTAATAGTTTAAAAAGCTTCAAATACATAATCTCATTTATAACCTTTCCTTTAATACCAGCTCCCACTGGTATGAAACCACCAGTGGTTTCATTGTGGACACTATTGCCCATAAATGGTTCTGCCTCAGTGGTTCTCAAACTTGGATAGTCTTCAAAATCAGACGGGATTTTTAAAAAAGATTCCTAGGCTCCACATTCCAGAGATGTTGATTCATTACATGCAAGGCAAACCCTGGAATTTGTTCCCCTGGTGGTTCTTGATCAAGTCTTAGAACCATATAATTCTGTAAGTGATATGATTTAGAAAATAAGAAAATTATACTTGTCAATACCTAATCCCTTTCCCTGGCAACAAGAAATAAAGAAATCCTTCTAATTATTAAACACATAAGGCTCTAAATGAGCATTTAATCTCTTAAACTCTACTACTAGCTATCCTGAAATTCCTGACTCCAGTCCAGCCACACAAGGTTCATTCTAGCCTTCCCTCCTTCTCACTCCCTCTCTCTCCCCCTTTGCTGCTTTATAACTTCTTTCTCTGACAATGAGAAGCCTGGCTCTCCTTATCTGTAAACATGTATCCCTAGGAGAAACATATTTACCAGAGTACAGTGTTTGTATACAGTCATTTTGTCTTTAGTCTTACACTACCTAGACCGGTGATTTTATCATGGCACATGTAAACTAATTGTTAAAATTTTGCAGCATACCAAAAAATATTAGTATGTATTTTTTTGCCAAACTGACAAAAAAAAAAAAATAGCCCTGGCTGGTGTGGCTCAGTGGATTAAGCACCAGCCTGTGAAAAGTTCGCTGGTTTGATTTCCAGCCAGGACACATGCCTGGGTTGCGGGCCTGGTCCCCACCTGGGGGCATGTAAGAGGCAACTGGTCGATGTATTTCTCACACACCTATGTTTCTCTCCCTCTCTTTCTCCCTCCCTTCCTATCTCTCTAAAAGTAAATAAATAACATCTAAAAAATAAATAAATAAAAATAAATAAATTGATAATGAGAGCAAAATGCATTATATCCATCAAACAAATTAAATACATCTGCTTTAATAACAAGCCCAAAATTAGGCCCTGGCTGGTGTAGCTCAGTGGATTAAGCATGGGCCTGCGAACCAAAAGAGCTGCAGTGTCGATTCCCCGTCGGGGCACGTGCCTGGGTTGCAGGCCAATTCCCAGCAGGGGCCAGTTCCCAGCAGGGGATGCACCAGAAGCAACCATACACTGATATTTCTCTCCTTCTCTCCTTCCCTTCCCCTCTAAAGATAAATAAATAAAAATTTTTTAAAAAAAGAAAAATTAGCAGCTTTTTAAAATCATGATCAATGCACAATACAATGATGATATAGTAAAAATAGAACCTTCTTGAGAACTGTAAGTGTTGCAGATGCCTGCTTGAGCCATTGGAAGTAGGTGCTCTGCAGTGATGCCAAGCATTGAGCATGAGCCACAACCCTAGAATATGGAATTACGTATCCTTAGAAAACCTTAATATTCATCTTCCCGAATACCTATTTTAATAATCCTTACTAACTCAATTAAGTTACCAGTACATTGCTTTAAGTCTTAGCCAAAAATAAGGTCTACTGCTTGTTATTTATCAGAATTAAAGAACTCACAATTTTAGATAAATTTATAGCCCATCAGAGGACCTTCATGGCCATAGTAAACCTCAGACATACCTGAAGAATCACTGAACTAGAAGAGGGATGACTAGAGTATATTTCTTGATTCCACATGTACCTGATTGCTTTGTAACACTTCTAATTTCTACATTAAAAATTTAACAGCACTGAACTCTCTCGGCCTACAGTAGGCACATAGCTACTTTGGTTAATAGTGAATATGTCTGTGACTGCCAGGTTCCTCCTCGGGGCACCGTCTGTGAACCTCAGCGACTTTGTGAAATAACCTCTTCTGGTTACGGACATTCAAAAGGGGAGACGGGGTGCAATGCTGACCAAGCAAGGTGCTCGGTGTGGCAGCACCAGTTATCCATGAGAATTCTTAAGAGCCACCTGTAGTAATTTGGATCTCAACTCTTAGAAACCTCAATGGCTACACACCTCAATTAGTATTTCCACTGGAAAGCAAGACAACTATGTAGATGTTCTTTGCCCACATACCATCTCTAGAGTCTAAACAAAACCAAGTAAGATCTGAGAAGAAAGGCATCTTCTATATCTAAAATACGTGGCCAATGGGGAGCTTTGTGTCAAGCTTAGAATTATCTGTGGCATGAATTTTATAGTCTTGTAACTATAGCCAGTAGTTTTAAACTAAAAAATAAAATAATCCACTCCACATACTCCTTTGTCTGTGTTCTAGCAGCAATTTCATGAACGACAGTCTCATCCAGACACAGAGTATGAATTTAAATAACAGTATTAATAACCGACCTATGATTAAAACTAAAATTTGAAAATTCAATGACACCTTAATCTAGGATATCAAGCGGCGTAATGCTCAATGAATATAAGTTATGTCTTAGAAACACTGAGAGTTATGGAAAAAGATGCTTTAAAATAATATACAAGTATAGGTACTAATAAAACAGCTGGGACTTTAATGTCTGCTGTTCAGTGTTTAAGATGCATTTTTAGTGAAACAAATTGAAAAACTATTGCATAATAATTTTTTTACTTTAAAAAAATGTTTTTTCTTTATTTTTTTATTCTAGAGAAAGGGGAAGGGAAGCAGGGAGAGGGAGAGAAACATCAATCAGTTGCCTCTCGCACGTGCCCCAACCAGGGACTGAACCTGTAGCCCATGCATGTGCCCTGACGAGGAATTGAACTGGCAACCTTTCGGTTTCCAGGATGATGCCCAGCCAACTGAGCCACACTGGCCAGGGCCCTTATAATTTTTTCTGGCTGCAGATTAATTGAGCTTCTTATAGACGTGTTATTTATCAACCTTTCCAGAGACAGGCATGGCTCCTAATCTGCACATATTATTGGCTCAGACTGTTACTCAGATTGCTCAGCCAAAAGAAAGAAATGACCCATCCATAGCCATCCGATGTAAGCGCCTAGAAACATCTTCAAATAAGATTTGAAAAGATAAATTATGCTATGTTTCCCTTAAGAACTTTGTTTTGATAAGGCCAGGCTAGTGAGCCGTTCAAAATGTTATTTTATTCATTTATTTTCCCATAGAGATAACTTAAGGGGTTAGCATTCCGGTGGCCTAAAAAACTAGGTAAGACTGCTTGGATGGAGTTGTGTTTTCAGGTTGGTCCCATTAAAAATCCACCCTTGTGTTTCAGGTCATTTCTCGGCACACGCGGGAACTCCTGGGAATCGAAGAACCCTTATTTAATCGCTCCATCAGTCTTCCCTACAGGGACAATATCGGCTTATTTTTAGAGCGAAAAGGTCACACTGGGGTAAAATCTGATTCCTTGACCTTATCAGAATTTGTGCAAACAGCAGGATTACAAGATTATGAGCCACAAGTAACTGCCCCTCACTGGAATGAGGCATTATATTATGAGCCATAAGGAAAAGCCACTTCTCTTAGCTTGAAAGATCAAACTACATTCCTTGGGGGAAGAAGTGTGGTATTATCGGGGGTTTTTTTTTTCTTCTCTTCTTTGAGAAACGGAGGTGGAACTCCGGGCTCTATTCCTGGTTCTACCGCCAACTCCCAGCACCTTCCCTTTATTCGTATTTTCATTTAGACTCACGTTAAAAGAAAGATAGCGATATTTCTCTTTCTGGGTAACTGTAAGAATTCCCTGGTAAACTCCAGTAATGCATCTGGTAGCAGGAATATGTTGGGTCTCCTTTCACCCCTGATAGTCCCCTCCACAAATGCAGAAAAGGAAAGGGCTTTATTGGTGAGTCCACACTCAGTCAGACTGTGACACACGTCACGGATGAGCTGCCCAGAGATTGCCAGGACGAGGCGACCCGCCCTTTCACACAGCCAGGCAGACAGCCCCTTGTTCACTGCCTGCATCGAGGGCAGAGACTTCTCCGGTCTCTGCCACAAACGGAAGTGGTTCTTCCGGACCAGGCGCCCAGGCTGGACTCCCCTGGACTCAGGGAGATCCAGCGCCCTCCTCCTGGGTGCTCACACTTCAGAGATGTCTTCAAAGCACCACCCCCCAAAAGTCAGTCCTGGGATATAAAAGAGGCAGAAGGCTTATCCGGCTTGTTAAAATATTTACATACATCTCAAAAATGGGGGGAGGGGGAGGATTTATATTATAAGTTTTCTAAAGAAAATATTTTAAGAAAAAGGAAGGGGGAAAGCTCTCTTCCCCTTTTGGCATCAGAGAAATATTTTTTTAATATATTTGAGATTTGTATTTACCTTTACAAACAGCATTGCTTATGAAAGTACCCTTTGAACTAGGGTCTGAGGTCAGTGTACCGGACTCTTTTATGTGGTGCCTGCCAGACGTTTATAAAATGAAATTCGGGCCAGAGCTGACCCATGACTGGACTGTTCAAAAGAAATGATAAAATGTTTCTTGTTGCTTGAATAACTCCAACTCCTCTGCAGTTTTGTGGTCTCTTTCTTTCTGGTCGTACTTCTTGATTCTAAACACCCCTGCAGAGCTGCCGTCACCCAGAAGGGCAGTGAGTGACGCCTCCCGCCCGCCCCCTGCGCCTGACTGGATAGGCAGGGAGCAGGTTGCTTCCTTTTCTTTCCCACCGTGAGAAGGCACAGGGCCTCAAAGGAGCATTCCTACCAAGTGCTAATGTTTTTTAATCCTGAGGATATGTTTGTTTTGTGTCTAGGCTGGTCATTTTGGGAGTGAACTGTCTCCTCAGTACTCTTCCAGTTTTTTTTTTAATTTATTGATTTTGAGAGAGAGAGAAATATCAAATTGTATCAAAATGTTGTCTCACTTATTTATGCATTCATTGGTTGATTCTTGTATGTGCCCTGACCTGGAATTGAACCTGCAACCTTGGCATATCGAGACTATGCTCTAACCAACTGAGCTACCCAGCCAGGGCCCTGAAGATATGTTTTCACTGATGAGAGAGAGAGAAAGAAAGAAAAAGAGAGACATCAACGTGAGAGAGAAACATTGATCGGTTGCCTCCTAAACGCACCCAGTCGGGGATTGAACCTGCAACCTAGGTATGTGCCCTGACCAGGGATCAAACCTGCAACCTTTTTATGTGCAGGATGACGCTTCAACCAACTGAGCCACCCAGGCAGGGCTGAGTGTTAATATTTGGTGATGAAGCTAATTTTTTCCCACATTGGACTAACAAAATTTTATCTCAATCAATTCAATACCATTGAGTTTGCCTGACTCATAATTAAGCAAAAAAATAAAAATGGATGTGATTCCCCTGGGGCCATAGTACTTTTCCTGTACAGTGAATGGCTTTGGTCAAAAGCACATGGCAGTCAGCACACGATGGTTCCATGCAGTGACAGCATGGTCAGTGTCACCTTGCTCAACTTGATGGCCACTGCTGTTGTTTTCTACTGTGTTACAGTTGACAAAGTATTTACAGAACTTACAAGGGGGGGGGCCAAAAAATGGAATCTCTATTAAAAAAATTGGGTATTTATTCTTACATGTTTAAAATTTAGTAACCTTCAAAGTACTCTTCATTTGCTGCGATACATCTATCAAGACATTTTTTCCCACTGCTCAAAACAGTTTTTGAACGTTGGCTGGTGTGGCTCAATGGATTGAGCGTGGGCCTGTGAAGCAGGGGGTCACCAGTTCAATTCCTGGTCAGGGCACATGCCTGGGTTGCAGGCCAGGTCCCTGGTGGGGGACACATGAGAGGCAACCACACATTGATGTTTCTCTCCCACTCTCTTTCCTTCCCTTCCCCTCTCTCTAAAAATAAATAAAATGTTTTTTTTTAAAAACCTCCCAAATTAAAACAAAACAAAACAAACAAAAAAACCCCACAGTTTTTGAACTTGTCAGTTTTGATACCTTTTAGTGCTTCTGCTGTTTTTTGTTTCACCTCTTCCACATTGGCAACACATTTCCCTTTGAGGACTTTTTTCATCCAGGAAACAAAAAAAGTTGCTTGGGTGAGATCAGATGAATAGGGGGGTGGGGCACGGGGATCATGTCGTTTTTGATCAAAAACTGCTAAACACTCAGTGTGGTGTAGGCAGGTGTGCTTGTAAATCACCCACCATGAGATGGGCAAACACACTGAGAGTCTTCAAAAAAACTCACCGAAGCCAAACACAGCCGCTCACAACACCACCCGCTGGTCCACTGACACGGACGGGTTCCTAGAACACCGAGCAGGAGGAGGCCTGTACTACAAGGGGCCTGCCCATCAGAAGGTAATATTGGTTTTGGGGGGTCTCCCCCTACTAAAGGAAATAAATTAGCACTATAGAAATAAGATCTACAGTTTTAGAAATTATTTTCAGTCATTTAATATAAACCTATTCTTTTAAACGTCTGTACCGTTGCCTGGGCCAGGTGCCTCTGTTGGCTGGAACACTGTTCCATACACCGGAGAGGATGCAGTCTCCACCCCCGGTCAGGGCGTGTCCAGGAGGCAACCCGTGGATGCTGCTCCCCCCTGCCCCTCTGCCCTTCCCTCCCTCCCTCTCTCTCTCTCTAAAATCAGTGAAAACATATCCTAGGGTGAAAATTTAAAAATAAATGAACAAACCTAAAATTAATGTTTGTACAGTTTAAGATACTTTAAGTGGGAATGGCTTTAGTGGTAGTATCAATATGCAGCTGAACTGAGCATGAAATGAGTCCTAAGTTGTTTACCATGCATTTCACCTCCCTGTATAAAACGGTAGGAATATCAAGCTGTATTATTTCTCAGCTACACACTGCTACAGGAAAAGAAGCTAATAATGACATTATACCTTCTTAAATTTAGGTTTTAGAAAAGGGATAATTTGCATTAACAAGGCTGTCCTGGGGAAGTAGCTCCCTCAGGTATGTCAGGTTATCAGGTAATTTCATTTGGTAGCTTCTGAAAACCAGATACCACATGTATTCCACTGTAAAGGACCTCTTGTTTTATTCTACATTTTAAAGAGCCATCAATACCATTTTCTAAGTCCTTAGTGCCTAACGCACGGCAAACACATGACTCCCTCTGTTGGCTGTGACGATCCCAGCACACCCTCGGCAGTGGGGGAGCGAATTCTGGTTTCTGGGGTCTCCTCTCTCATTGGGATGGAGAGCCTGTGCGAGCCACATCCTGCTGTTCTTCGGGGAGGGGGATGCCAAATGAATTACAGTACAGGTGGGTGAGGTGGTCTTGGAAAGCAGGGTTGGTCAGGAGGTGGTCGCTAAAGGGAGTTTCCCTGAGTTGCACAGCAGTCAGATCAAACCAGGGGAGACAGCTGGGGTGAAAAAGAAACAATGTTACTTTTTTGTCTGTTTGGTACATCGGATCTGGCTGTAAACATTTCCTTTCACAAATGGCTCCTCCACTTGTTAAATAAGGTTCTTCATTTTCTATATCAAACTAATTAAAATTCATAATTAAATCAAACATTCTCAATATGTGGGTTCTGAAACTGCTCAATATGTGGGTTTAATTATACTTATGATGCACTCTCACACTGATGTATATTTCTCAAAGTGTGTTTTGGGAGGAATTCATAATTAGAGAATGATTATAATGGTAACATGGGCATCCTTTTCGGTAAATTTTCCTTGATTTTAGGAATAGAATACAGAAGATCATGGACACTAGGAATGGAAAATAGCTAATTTCTTTTCAAATATCCTCTTTAAAAAAGGTAACTTCTTCACCTCTGTAGGGAAAGAGTAGAAGTCAATAGCCCACGAATACCTTGCAGCTACCAAATGCTAAAATCACACTTTAAACTGGTAGGAAAGAATTGGCCCCTCTGTAATGTTAGGACAACCTGACACTCTAAAGTGAATAAAAGATGCTAAAAATCCTAAATTTATTAAAGATTTAAATATTCTAAAAAAATCAAAGCAAATCCTAGGGGTGTGTAAGGCAGATGGGAATAAAGGCAGGAAAATGGGACAACTGTAATAGCTTAATCAATTAAATATATTTAAAAATGAAAAAAAAATCCTGGAAGTATATAGAATATTTTGGGATGAAAACAGTCTTTATGAGTTTGGGTTGAAACCCTGAATTTATAAAGAAGTGATGTGACCATTTTGCCTACAAAAATTAGAATCTTCTGAACAGTAAAGTATACCAAAAGAAGAAAAATAATATGAAAAAATATTTCCAATACTCAAAACATATTCCTACTGAAAACCTCCTACAAAACAATAAGTAAAAGCAAACAATCCACATGAAAAATGGCCCAAGGACATAAAATGACAATGAGAGAGAACACAAGGGCAGCAAGTTTGGAAGCTGGAAAGAATATGGATGAATAACGCTAAGCCAAGGCATGGGCCCCTCATGTCTTAGAACCCGCAAGACTCAGGAACTAGTGGGCCAAGTACATCTGGCAGTGGGGGCAAAATGGCCAAAAAGAGGATGATGGCTTAAAAATCTGAAACAGGAGAGTGACCCTCCCAGTACCCTACACAACATTGCCCCATCAGGAGACAGTCCTTCCTCCTCCCTGACAGAAGGTTTATTCTCTGGACAAGGTTAACCAGAGGGTCTCTGGACAAGGGGACAGTGGGCACTGCTGAGGGCAGAGATACGCTGAAAAGAAGGAAAACAAACGGGAAACATATAAACTGAAGGATAAGACCACCCCTCTCCCTACACACAGTTTCCTCTCCACAAGTTGGGGCCCGAGGATTTAAAGATGCCAAGAGTCAGGGTTTCCCAAGGAAACTGCTGACCAAGTCGATCCATAGTAAAGACGACAGTAGCAAACACAGAATTTTAGCAAGTAGCTTTTTAGAAACGAGGAACTTAAAAATGTGAGCTGTCAAGATTCTCCTTGTACTTAAAGCCTCTAAAATGAAAGAAAAAAATAATAAATGAAGTGAATGATAGAGATCAGAACACACGATCAGAGGACAACTCAGATAAGAGATGGTATTGCATAGTAAAATGATGAGAGGGTGCTACAGAAAAAAGGAATATTTGAAGACTAAAAAAAAAAAATCTCTGGGCTCCAGCCATGTAGCTGAGTTGGTTAGAGCATCATCTGGATACACCCAGGTTGCGGGTTTGACCCCCAGTCAGGCAGGACACACACAGGTCAGCCAATGGACGCATCGGCAAGTGGAACAGCAGATGGATGGATGTGTCTCTCTCCCCCTCCCAGCAACCAATGAATTTGTAAACGAATGGAACAACCAATAGATTTTCTCTCTCCACCCCCGAAATCAACAAATACTTTTTAATTATTAAAAATCAAAATAAAGCAAAAGCGAAAATGCTTGAAGTATGATAGCAAAACACTATAGTTGAGGAAATCTCTCAGGAAGCAGAGCAAGAAGACAAAGATAATGAAAATAGGAAAAGTTTTAAAATATCAGATTAGTCCAGAATGTCCACCATTCGACTAGTAAAATATTGATAGAGAGCAGAGGAAATGGGAGGGGAAGAAATTATTGAAGACACAATTGGAGAACTTGACATTCATAGTGAAAAGGACCACTGGGTATTTTCTTTTATCGGTGGCAGTTGCTCGGGTACTTGCTTTATCGTAATTTATTACGGGTATGAATTTATGAAATTTATGGAATTTGAGTTTATGAATTTATGGAATATGTACTTTTCTGTGCATGTGCTATATTTGACAATATCTTTTTAAGGGAAAAGAAAGAAAAGGCCCACTAAGTGCCAACACAGTGAATTAAAATAGATCCGCATCATGAAAGTTCAGGATACTGAAAGTAAAAGACCCTACAAGCTGCCAGAGGAAAAAGAAGCAGGTTCTAGACACAGGATGAATTAAAAAATTAGATGACACTGTGCCTCTCTCTCAGCAGTAACTCTAAAAACTGAAAGACAGTGGAGTAATGCCTCCAATATTCTGAAGGAAAATGATTTCTAACCTAGAATTCTGTACCTGGCTATGTTCTCAATAACATCGTAGGTTAGAATAAAAACTTTTTTCAGACATAGTCTCTGAAAATTAGTTCCTGTACATCCTTTTCTAAGGAAGCTGCGGGAGGAGGACCTGATCCACCCCAGTGAAGGAGCAAGCCGTGCCAGAGCAGGAGCTGCAGAGACAGGTCCCAAGTGAGAGGGCAGGAAGGGAATCCTGGGATAACCGGGAAGGGAAGTCTCCGAACTGAGCATAGCATAGGCCATTGGTGATTAATTAGAATGCAGAGGGGGGACGAATCAAGGATTCGTCCAGGGGTCTGGCTTGAATAACTGGTGAAGAAGACTGTAACTGGATGAGAAACACGGAAGAGCAGGGATGAGAGCAGGGATGCTTCCGGACACATTGAGTTTGAGTGGAGATGGTGAGTGTGAACATACCTGGGCATGAAACTGACGTCCAGGCTGGAGACAGACTCAGCTGTGTCAGGGTAAGGATGGCAACCCAAGTCCCTGAAGTGGACAAGATCCCCCAGGAACCAAGTATAGGATGGAAAGGAAAGAAAGCCTAGGACAGAGCCTTGAAAACTCCCAAATTTAAGGGTGGGGCCGAAGTGGAGCTGGCAAAGGAGGGGCTGGAGAAACAGGAAGAACATGAGGAGAATGTGAGGGCATCGGGAAAGCCAAAAGAAGAGAGAGCGTCAAGAAAAGGATGGCAATTTTCAATAGTGAAAGAAGAAAAGGATTGGAAAGTGTCCTGTGAATTTTGTGATAAAGGAGCATTGTAACAAGGGCAGCACTTTTTCCTATTAGATTATCAAAGATTAAACATCTTGCACTCTCATTAGACTACCAAAGATGAAACATGCACCCTGACTGGTGTGGCTCAGTGGATTGAGTGCTGGGCCTGTGAACCAAATGGTCGCCAGTTCAATTCCCAGTCAGGGCACATGCCTGGGTTGAGGGCCAGGTCCCCAGTGGGGGGCACGTGAGAGGCAACCACACACATTGATGTTTCCTTCCCTCTTTCTCCTTCCCTTCCCCTCTCTAAAAATAAATGAAAATCTTTTAAAAAAGGATTAGACATGCAATGGTACTCTCATACACTACTCGTGGAAATAAAAATAAGCACCACGCTTTCAATAAGTACTTTGGAAATGCCCATTAAATAAAATATATATAATCTCTAACCCAATATATTATTCTAGCTATTCAACAGAAATAGTGGTCTAAGCATGCAAAGTAAGTACAAGAATGTTCAATGCAGCCCTTTAGGTAAAATTGGGGGGGGGGGCTACTACATCACCCTCAAGAGGAAAAAGGATGAATAGATTTAGTTACATGTATCAATGGATGCCTATGCAGTTGCTCATATATGAAATTGATCTGAGTGTACTAACAAAGAATGTATCCATTGTCATGTAATAAGTAAAAATGCAGTGTGTAAGTCCCCGTGTTTCTAAAATATATATGTAGATATAGATGTATACACTTAATATAATAACGGTATAAATATATATTTTAATTTGTTAAGTTTTATTATTCATTTTTTGAGAGGACTGGAGGGAGAAGCATCGAAGTACGATTGCCTCTTGTGTGGCCCCTACTGGGAACCTGGCCTGCAACCCAGGCATGTGTCCTGACCGGGAATCGAACTGGAGAACCTTTGGCTTGCAGGCCGGCATTCAGTCCACTGAGCCGCACCAGCCAGGGCAGTATAAATATTTTTGTAAATGCATACAGAAAAAGACAGAAATAAAAAACACCATAAGAGGTAGTCTATGAAATGGTACTTGGGGAGCAAAGAGGAGCTTTCACTTTTTCCAGAAGTTGGATTATTTTTTACAAGAATGTATTCTCTCTATAAATTTTCAAAGATAACATGAAAGGAAAACGCAGCACCGCATCCTACAAGACAGCAGTGTGGGGGAGTGAGAATGACCAGCCGTTAGGCCTCACCTTCCTGGACACAGGTTCTCAGAATAGCCCGCGCTGAGAAAGTGCCGTAATTGAAATTTTGGGCAAGACGCTCCATCCTTCCTGCATTTCTTGAAGTGCACAGAAGGGAACAGCTCATTCAGAAGCTGAAGCGCTTGAAAGAGACGCGTGCCCCTTGCCTTACAGACGTTTAGAGCTGCGTAGAACACTCCATCCAACCACTTGATATTGAGGATTACTCCGCCTACACATCAACGACAAGGGGGAGACCGGTTAGCGCCATCCAAAGGTTTGCAGGGAACCTGGGAGAAGCCCGGGAAGTGAACAGCCACCTTTTCTCCAAGGCAAGTTGGTCACAAGAACCTGAAGATACGCAAACACTCCCGGACCCCACCCCGTGACCTTTGATAACACATGGTGTATTGACCTTGCCGAGGTAGGACGGGTGTGACTAATGCGGACATTGCTAATGTCAAAAGCACCTCTAGGAATTTCTAGAATGACCCTCACCAGTAAAAAAGGACAAGGGAAAACTGCAAGATTAGAGCAGGGAAAAACCATTCAGTCCCAGACATCCTCCCAGTTAGAGATTAAATGGGCTCTCCCTTCTGGTTGTTTCCAGTTCATCGTGAAAGGGTCGGAATGTTCAGACTTCTCCGCTTTCCCTTATTAGGAGTGCTTTTGTGCCCCCAAAGCTGTCCCTGCACAAAACCTACATAGCCGGGAAGGAACCTAGCTTGTACTCCCCCCACACTCGCCCACCACGTGCACACACAGGGATCTAATAAGATAGCAACGGGCCAAGAGGAGGGTAAGTTTTTACAAAGTGCCAGCACGAGGGGGAGCCATTACCAGCAGGGTTGCAGGGGCAGGTGGCCTGAAGAATCACGGGATCTTGGAGAGCAGCTATGATTTCCTTATTGGCCCCCACGATGTTGGCAAAACCTTCAACACACTGGTACTGAGGCCGCAAGATATTGGTGTGGTTCAGTAGGTTTTTCAACCTGAAAGTAGAGCCGCCAAGACATGGAGCACAGGGCCAGGACTGAAATAAGCCACAGCACCCACTGAGTTCTCACCGAACAAAAGACACCCTCCACCCACCCCATTCCTGCACAGCACAGGTGTGGGTCTGCATTGAGAGCACTACTTGTCAGTCAGACTGTTTAGTCATCCGCCTAGCCGATGCTTACTGATGTTACCACTCACCAGGCACTGGCCTAGACCCTAGGGATGCCAAAATAACATTAGACACATGCTCTCAATCACTGTTCCTGCTGTTGACTGTTGGTTTCCCATCTCATGGATGCACAAGGGGACACAGGTCAGCTTCAAGGAGTGGGAGGCAATGTTCTATTGCAGTTCTAAACATTGCACATCAAAGAAAATGTCCCACTCACAGGTGCTCCCCCTAATGAGGTACCTGGGTATCGGGACGGCAGATACGAAGCTGTACACAATGCAGGTTTTTTTGAAGCTGCTTTGTATTTCCGTGCAGATACTGGGCAGCTGAGATGGCAGGCAACAGAGGAACACCAGGTTGGCCCAGCCGGCCAGGTAAGGGTTATTGTAAAAGCACTGGACTCCCAGTTTCTGGAACTCATCTGGGAGGGATAAAGGAAGACAGAAAGATCACAGTACAGAGGAGCTGCACTTGAACATCACCTGTAGGGAGAGGAAGACAATTATTTTATCTCAACTCTTGTGGTCACAGAAATGAGAAGAGGTCCCCCCCATGCCATCTAAAGCCACGCAGCAGTGCCCTACCCCCATTGCTAAATCAGCAGGTGCCGCTGTAGCTGCACTTGAGGTTATAAGACAATTTGTCCTTTTCTCAAAAGCCAGAGCTTTTCAGATTTTTTTTAGAAAGAAAAATATCTGAAAGAAGCCTTCTGCTCCAATTTATCATGTGCCAGATAATGTACAAAGTACTTCATATGCATTATCTAAGGGAATCCTCATAAGGACCTTATTGTTCCTATATTATTGATGAGGAAACTGAGTCAAGAAATTATGTGACTGGGCCAACATTACTCAGCTAACTGGGTTGAGTTGGTATGAAAGACTAAGTAAGACAGTGGAGGAGTCTAGGGCAGGGGCTGGGAATTAGGAAAATACAAGGTGGGGTAAAAGTAGGTTTACAGTTGTGAGTACATGAAACACAGAGTCTATTCTTATATTATGACATAGTAATTATTGTATTATTCTTCCTACAAACAACCATAAACCTACTTTTGCCCCATTTTGTATACTTATAGTTTCTGTAAAGTACATACAATGTTAAGATATCTATAAAGACAGAAATGTGATAAATCATGTAGTTGCATAAAAACACCTCTTGGTAGTTAATCTTTGGTTGTACTTATTGAAATATGTATTTTCAAAAGTAAAAATGTAAAGTCACATATGGTAGCATGTCTTAAATGTTATTGAAAAAAGGAGTATTAGACATGGGAGAGGTCACTTCTTAACTACCAAGAGTGTATGATAAATTTGGTGCTTAAATTATCTTGGAACTCAGGTACTTACAGGTAATCATTTTAGAAAACATGCACATCCACTCTTCTTTCATATGTGGTTCTCAAAAGTACATAGAAGCTAATGCTGAGCATTTTGAATTCTTGCTTCCTTACACAACATGCAGTGATATTCTAAAATACTAACTTTATTATTAATAAATATATTGCTTCCCCCAAAATATATGTACTTTATTGAAACATCACAAATATTAGTTATATTGATAATATTTTTCTCAATTTGCCTTGAGTAATAAAATTTTAAGATTTCCTTAATACAGAAAGAATATTTACAAATTAATATGAAAAATACAGCCATGCCAACAAAAAAATTGGGCAAAAAGAACTCAAAGACAAAATAGCAATAAACCTATAAAAATATACAATTGTTATAGTGATTAGTGAAGGACATATTAAAATAAGAAACATACATAATAAAGGCCATATATGACAAACCAACTGCTACCATCATATTCAATGGGCAAAAGTTACAAGTGTTCACTTTAAGATCAAGAAAAAACAGGGATGTCCCGCTTTCTCCTCTTGTATTCAACATAGTACTGGATGTCCTAGCCACAGCAATCAGACAAGAAAAAGAAATAAAATTGGAAAGGAAGAAGTAAAACTGTCTTTATGTGCAGATGATGTGATATTATACATAGAGAATCCTAAAGACTCCATCAAGAAACTATTAGAACTGCCTGGCTGATATAGCTCAGTGGATTGAGCACAGGCCTACGAAGCAAAGGGTTGCTAGTTTGATTCCCAGTCAGGGCACATACCTGGGTTGCAGGCCAGGTCCCCAGTAGGGGATAAATGAGAGGCAACCACACATTGATGTTTCTCTCCCACTCTTTCTCCTTCCCGTCCCCTCTCTCTAAAAATAAACAAAATATTTTTTTTTAAAAAGAAACTATTAGAACTGATAAATGGATTCAGCAAAGTAGTAGGATACAAAATTAAATCCAGAAGTCAGTGCATCTTTATATACCAATAATAAACTAACAGAAAAGGAAATTAGGAAAACAATGCCATTTACAATGGCTTCAAAAAGAATAAAATACCTACCAATAAACCTAACCAAGGGTATAAAGACCTGTACTTGGAAAATTATAAGACACTAAAGAAGATACAAATAAGTGGGAGCACATAGTGTGTTCACGCATAAGGATAATTAACATCATTAAAATGTCCATACTACCCAAAGCAACCTACAGATTCAATGCAATTCCTACCAAGATTCCAATGATGTATTTCACAAAACTAGAAGAAATATTTCAAAAATTGATATGGAACCACAAAAGGCCCCACAGAGCAACAGCAGTCCTGAGAAGGAAGAACAAAGTTGAAGAATCACGCTATATAATATCAGATTATACCATAAGTCCATAGTAATCAAAACAGCATAGTACTGGCATTAAAAGACACATAGTTCAATGGAACAGAACAGAGAGCCCAGAAATAAACCCATACCTTTATAGTCAATTAGTATTTGACACAGGAAGCAAGCACATGCAATAGCCAAAGATAGTTTATTCAATAAATGGTGTTGGGAAAGCTGGACAGGTATGTGCAGAAGAATGAAACCACACCACCTTCTTATGCCACACACAAGAATAAATTCAAAATGGATTAAAGACTTAAGCATTAGACCGAAAACCATAAAAATCCTAGAAGAAAACATGGATAACAAAATTTCAGACATAGGTCATAGCAATATTTTATCAGTATATCTCTCTAGGCAAGGGAATAAAAAACAAAAACAAAAACAAAAACAAATGGGACTATATCAAACTAAAAAGTTTTGCACAGCAAAGAAAAGCATCAACAAAATAAAAAGACAACACACAGAATGGAAGAACATATTTGCCAAAACATCTGATAAGGGGCAAATATCCAAAATTTATAAAGAACTCACAAAACTGAACACCAAAAAACCCAAACAACCCAATTTTAAAAAGGGGCAAAGGAGCTGAATAGACAGTTCTCCAAAGAGGACATACAGATAGCCAATAGACATATGAAAAGATGCTCAACGTCACTAGTCATCAGAGAAATGCAAATGGAAACCACAATGAGATATCATCTCACACCTGTCAGAATGGCTCTCATCAATAAATCAACAAACAACAAGTGCTAGGGAGGATGTGGAGAGAGGGGAACCATTTTCGCACTGTTGGTGGGAATGCAGACTGGTGCAGCCACGGTGGAAAGCAGTATGGAGATACCTCAAAAAATTAAACATGGATCTGCCTCTTGACCCAGCGACATGACTCCTGGGACTATATCCAAAGGAACCCAAAACACTAATTTGAAAGAACTTTAAGCACCCCTGTGTTCATTGCAACATTATTTACAATCACCAAGATATGGAAGTAGCCCAGGTGTTCATCGGTACGAGTGGATACAACAACTATTGGACATTTACACAATGGAATACTACTCAACCATAAAAAAGAAGAAAATTTGACCCTTTGCAACAGTGTGGATGGACCTGGAGAACATTATGCTAAGTGAAATAAGCCAGTCAGAGAAAGACAAATACCATATGATTTCACTCATATGTGGAATCTAATGAGCAAACTGAACTAACAAGGAAAATAGAGACAGACTCATAATTAGATAGTAGGATGACAGCTAAGGTCAGGGGAGATGAGTAGGTGAAGGGTTGAGCAAAAAGGAAAAAGGACTCATGGACATGGACAACAGTGTGGTGACTGAGGGGGTGAGGGGGGTATAAGGGAACTAAATGGTAATGGAAAAATACGATAAAAAATTAAACATGTTTTTTAAAAGGAAATAAAAATAAAATAAGAAACATTTAAAAAGCATATTAAAATAGTGATTTTTTAAAAAACAGAGGCTTAGAATTGATGAGTGTCATGAAATGGGTATTCTTACATAATGCTGGTGAAAGTTTACACCTCAGAAACCTTTTTTGAAAGTCAGTTTGAAAAAATGTATTGGAAGTTTAAAATACATTCTTTAAAAATTAAGTATACCTACCATACAACCTATCTATTCCACTCCCACATTCACCCAAGAAAAATTAAAGCATTTGTCTGCACTAATATCTGTGCAGGAATGTTCACAGCAGCTTTATTTGTAAGAGCCCACGACTGGACACAACCCAGGTGTCCGTCAACAGATGAATAGATAAGCTGGGATAGTTATACATTGGAAAACTACTCCAAAATAAAAAGGATGTCAATACATGAAACAACGCGTATCACAAAATATATCTCAGAATAATTATGCAAAGTGAGAGAAGTCAGACCAAACAACAGTACAAACTGTATGATTCCATTTGTATAAAGTTTTAGAAAATGCAAACTAATCCATGATGCTAGAAATCAGATCAGTGGTTTCTTGGGTCAGGGGCTACAAGGAGGTAGAGAGATAGGAATTATAAGGAAACTTTTGGGGATGATGGATAAGTTCATTACCTTGTGTTGATGGTTTCACAGGTATAGACATGCATCAAAACATCAAACTGTACATTTTAAAAATGTGCAGTTTATTGCATACAAATTTTATCTTACTAAGCTGTGCCTGTTCTTTGACTTAGTAATTTTATTTTAAAAATTATGTACAAGGAAATCCAATATGGCACAGTTACACAAATTATCATACAGCTATACTTTGTAATACTATGCAACCTTAAAATCATGATTTTGAAGAATGATATGAGAATATGCTCAAAATACATTAAGTGAGAAAGGAGAATACAAACAACTGTGTATCAACTGAATAGTATCAATTATTGACATAATCTGATGTAATCAAAGGAAAAAAGCAGTTAGGAAATGATATACCTGGTAAGAGGATTCTGGGTAGTTATTATTTATTCTCCTATAGAATAATTTTCTAAATTTCGCCAAGATGGAGGCGTAGGTGGGAACACTTTGTGTCCATGCACAACCAAATCTAAAAAACAACAAAGTTTTAACAACAATAAACGCAACCAAACCACACAGAAAATCGACAATGTAGAGTCCAAAAATAATCAAATGCTCAGCTAAACCGGTAAGAGGGGCAAAGCCAGCAGCTGAGCAGGTTGGCCAAAAAGTTCCCCAACTGGGGTGGTGCACGGGCAGCCGAAGGGGTGGATCCCAGGTGCAGGTTAGCTATGGGGAGACACAGGGAAGAGGCGCAGCTGGCTGTCTGGGTCGAGCATTTGCACACAGATAAACCAGTGAACAGGCGAGCACTGAGACCGCACTGAGTAGGGCAGCGGGCTCTCACATTTGCGCTCAAATAAACAAGCGGGGGAGAGCAGTGGGAGCGGAGAAGACCACCATTGCTTCCTCTCTGACCCCGCCCCCACATTCAGCGACCTGGGTAGCCCCGCCCTGGTAAACAACTAAGGCTCCGCTCCTCATATGTAGTAACAGGCACAAACACATAAAAACATGGCTCAAGAACAACTCAGAGTCCCAGAGCCAATAAATCTAAGCGATGAAGAAATAGCTAAACTTTCAGATGCACAGTTTAAAACACTGGTGATCACTTCCGCCAAGATGGAGGCATAGGTGGATGTGCCGTGCCTTCTCACACAACCAAGATTAGAGAAAACTAAATATTAGCAACAGAAAACACAGCCAGAACACAGAAAATTGAACTTTTCGGAAGTCCATTAACAACAAATTCTTCAGCCTGACCGGTAAGGGGCGAAACCAGCGGCTGGCGGAGCAGGGTTGCACAGGAGAACTCGGTCAGACGGACTCAGGCGCGGAATCCAGGCGCAGGGTCATGGACCTAGTGAGCAACCGCGCGAGCAACCAGGCGAGCGACCGCGGGGGACACAGCCGGGCCGGGGCTGCGTGTTGACTGAGGTCGCGCATTTGTGCGCGGGGTGGACAGGCGAGGAAGTGGGCGATTGGACCGGGCCGGCAGGTCCCCACGGCAAGCGGCAGTGGAGGGCGCCGCCATTTCCCTGCTCTGACCCCACCTCCACATACAGCGTCATAACCCAGCGACTCTGAGCGGCCCGACCCAGGTGAACCACCTAAGGCACTGCTCCTCCGCACCCAGCTGTGAGAAGCGGCAGAGGGGGTCGCCATTTCCCCGCTCGGGCCACGCCCCCACATACAGCGTCACAACCCAGCGACCTGGGAATCCAAGGCGCCACTTCTCCCTTAAAGGGCCCGAACAGACCAAGAATGGCGCAGGAGGATCTCAGAGCCCCAGAAATAAATCTAAGCGATGAAGAAATAGCAAATCTCACAAACGCACAGTTTAAAAAATTGGTTATCAGGATCCTCACAGAACTGGTTGATTATACGCGACAAATTAGACAAATATATGAAGGCGAAACTAACTGAAATGAATGGAATTGCACGGGACACCAATAGCAATGAAAAGGAAACTGGGACTCAAATCAATGGAGTGGACCAGAAGAAAGCAAATAATGGCCAAACAGAAAAGAGTCAAGAAGCAAGAATTCAAAGAAATGAGGAGAGTCTTAGGAACCTCCAGGACATCTTTAAACGCTCCAACATCCGAATTATAGGGGTACCAGAAGGGGGAAAGGCACAGCCACCAGTGGAAAACTTATTTGAACAAATAATAAAGGAGAATTTCCCCAATCTGGCAAAGGAAATAGACTTCCAGGAAATCCAGGAAGCTCAGAGAGTCCCAAAGAAGTTGGACCCAAGAAGGAACACACCAAGGCACATCGTAATTACATTAGCCAAGATAAAAATGAAGGAGAGAATCCTAGAAGCAGCAAGAGCTAAGGGGACAGTCACCTACAAAGGAGTCCCCATCAGACTGTCAGCTGATTTCTCAAAAGAGACCTTACAGGCAAGAAGGGGCTGGAAAGAGGTATTCCAAGTCATGAAATCTAAAGACCTACAACCAAGATTGCTCTATCCAGCAAAACTTTCATTTAAAATGGAAGGACAGATAAGGTGCTTCTCAGATAAGATCAAATTCAAGGAGTTCATCATCACCAAGCCCTTACTATATGAAACGTTAAAGGGACTTATCTAAGAAAAAGAAGTTAAAGAAACATGAACAGTGAAAGGACAACAAACTCACAGTTATTAACAACCACACCTAAAACGAAAGCAAACTAAAAGGACAGCTAGATCAGGAGTGGAAACATAGAAATGAAGATCTCAAGGAGGGTTAGCAACAGGGGAGTGGGAGGAGGAGAAGCGGGGAGAAGGTACAGAAAATAAGTAGCATAGACAGTAGATAGAAAATAGATGGGGGGGCAAGAATAGCATGGGAAATATAGAATCTAAAGGACTTGAGACACATGGTCATAAACTAAAGGGGGGGTGATGGTGGGGATGGGGGGTAGGGTGGAGGGGAATAAAGGGGGAATAGAACAACTGTAACAGCATAATCAGTAAAAAAATTAAATAAATAAATAAATATAAAAATAAAAAAAAATAAAAGCTTTCAAGAATAAAAAAAAAAACAAAACAAAACACTGGTGATCAGGATCCTCACAGAACTGGTTGATTTTAGTCACAAATTAGAGGAACATATGAAGGCTAAACTAATTGAAATGAATGGTAATGCACAGGAAACCAATAGGAATGAAAAGGAGACTGGGACTCAAATCAAGGGAGTAGACCAGAAGGAAGAAAAAAATGACCAAACAGAAAAATATGAAGAAACAAGAATTTAAAAAAATGAGGAGAGGCTTAGGAACCTCCAGGACATCTTTAAACGTTCCAACATTCGAATTATAGGGGTACCAGAAGGGGAAGAGGAACAGTCACGAGCGGGAAACTTATTTGAACAAATAATAAAACAGAACTTCCTCATTCTGGCAAAGGAAATAGACTTCCAGGAAATCCAGGAAGTTCAGAGAGTCCCAAAGAAGTTGGACCCAAGAAGGAACACACCAAGGCACATCATCATTATATTAGCCAAGATTCAAATGAAGGAGAGAATCCTAGAAGCAGCAAGAGATAAGGCGACTGTCACCTACAAAGGAATTCCCATCAGACTGTCAGCAGATTTCTCAAAAGAGACCTTACAGGCAAGAAGGGGCTGGAAAGAGGTATTCCAAGTCATGAAAACCAAAGACCTACAACCAAGACTGTTCTATCCAGCAAAGTTTTCAATTAGAATGAAAGGACAGATAAAGTGCTTCTCAGATAAGACCAAATTCAAGGAGTTCATCATCACCAAGCCCTTATTATATGAAATGTTAAAGGGACTTATCTAAGAAAAAGAAGTTAAAAAAACATGAACAGTGAAAGGACAGCAAACTCACAGTTATCAACAACCACACCTAAAACAAAAGCAAATTAAGAGGACAGCTAGATCAGGAGTGAACCATAGAAATGAAGATTATGTGGAGGATTAGCAACAGGGGAGTGGGAGAAGGAGAAGCGGGGAGAAGGTACAGAAAATAAGTAGCATAGACAGTAGATAGAAAATAGATGGGGGGAAGGTAAGAATAGTAGGGGAAATACAGAATCTAAAGAACTTGAGACACGTGTTCATGAACTAAAGGGGGGTAATGGTGGGGGAGGGGTGTGCAGGGTGGAGGGGAACGGGGGGAATAGAACAAATGTCATGGCATAATCAATAAAAAAATAAAAATATTTTTAAAAAAGAATAATTTTCTAGCCCTGGCTGGTGTAGCTCAGTGGATTGAGCGTGGGCCTGTGAACCAAAGGGTTGCTGATTCGATTCCCAGTCAGGGCACATGCCTGGGTTGCAGCCAAGTCCCCAGTGTGGGACACATGAGGGGCAACCACACATCGATGTTTCTCTCCCTCTCTATCTCCTTCTCGTCCCCTCTCTCTAAAAATAAATAAATAAAATATTTTTAAAAGATAATTTTCTAAACTTTCTATAATATGCACAGAATATTTTACATTTATAAAAATATTTAAGCATAATTTAGATTAGTGCGACATGCAGATCTAAAGTATCTGACAGATCTGACAGTCTGATCATTTTTGACATGCATGCACCATGTAATTCGTTCCTCTTTCAAGAGCTAGAACATTTCCACCTCCCCAGAAAGTTCCCTCGACCTCCCAGGAAGCAATCGCTCTGGTTAGTAAATGGAATCATCAGAAAACTTTTAAAAATCTAGCAAGTGTTACTTTAAAAAACACAAGGCCAACTGTTTGGAACTTCTCAACACCCACCCAACTCACTGGTCCAGTTAGATTTGAACTCTGTATCAAAGACCCAGAGAGAGATCTCACCACCAAGAGTATGAGGAAGGAAGATGGCTATGAAACATTTAAGTGGAGCAGAAAGTTGTAAGGAACAAGTTAAACACCATCTTTCCAGCTCTCTCCACAGCTAGACGGCTGAGAACTCAGCAATGAGGCACGCAGAGGGTTCCCCTTTCACAATGGCCTCGTCACCCAAGCCCCCCTTCTACGGGACACTGCTCCTCACCCAGAGCCTCTGGCCTCCGAGTGGAGATCCGCAGCCTCTCAGCAGGGATGGGGACAAGCTGAAGCAGTACACGAGCCAGCTGCTTCCCGAGGTGGCCACCTCCAATGATGCCCACCTTTAACTCATCATCCTCAGGAGTATTGGCAAGCGATGCAAGCGATTCGGTCGAGGAACATCTGGAAGTTTGCTTCTCCTGTAATAATTTTCTGGAGAATGAACACAAACATAGATACATGCTCGGCCTGGAGTTCTCTGATGTTCTCTGCTTTCACTCCCTCACATGGCAGGCTGGCGGCACCTTGAGCCGTTCAGAGACAAGGCATTCCAGTTATTGCCTTGTGCAACGTCACTAGGGAATGGAATGCTGAGTGAATTTTCCAGAACGTAAAGCATACCCCTTCCAGGGACTAAAACATGTTTAGAACATTTTCAAATGATCATTTTTTGTTACCTGTGCTGTGCATGTCCCTGCCTTCTTAAACACAAGGTCTGGATGGTAAACCTTTATTTTGGACTCAGGGCCATCATTGTGAACAGGCACTGTCATTCAACATCCTGGAACACTGCGGTCCGGCTCCTCATCTCCTGTGCAGACGGCTGTCAGTGTTCCTGGCCATCAGGATGCGCGCACCTGCCTCCTACCACACGCCCTAGTGCGCTTTCTAGTTTGCTGTACCAGTCCTGCACAGATCCAGGAAACAGGTAACTTGGCTTTTTAAAGAACTAAAGGAAAACGGTTTATAATAAGGGAAAACAGACCTGAGAAATTGAGGGTCGGGGATTTGAGTCCTCTCTTTGTTTATTTTTAAAAATATTTTATTTATTTATTTCTAGAGAGAAGGGAAGGGAAGGAGAAAGAGTGGAAGAGAAACATCAACGTGTGGTTGCCTTTCATGTGCCCCCTACTGGGGACCTGGCCCGCCACCCAGGCATGTGCCCTGACTGGGAACCAAACCGGTGACCCTTTGCTACACAGGCCCGTGTCCAATCCACTGAGCTACACCAGCCAGGGCTCTTTATTTTTTTAAAGATTTTATTTATTTATTCTTAGGGAGAAGAAAGGAGGGAGAAAGAGGAGAAAAACATCAATGTGTGGTTTCCTCTTACACACAGCCTACTGGGGACCTGGCCTGCACCCCAGGCATGTGCCCTGACTGGAATCAGACCAGCGACCCTTCGGTTTGCAGGCCAGCACTCAATCCACCGAGCCACCCCAGCCAAGGCGAGCCCTGTCTTTCTAGAGGTTCATTCACTGTTGGTTCTGGACGTATTTTCTTGGCTCAAGATAAGCAAAGTCTGACCTCAGAATACATAAGGCACTGCTTTATGTTGTTATATGGCAACCTTATAATTCGTATTTCAGGGCAAATTGGAGTATTTTTTAAATTAAAGCTCAAAAAATTAGAAAGTAAAGCTCTGGAGTTTCCATATAAGCAATCATAAGCCACATTCTATTTAAAACTTCTCTCTTGGTTGAAAGGAGAATGTGTTCTGCCAGTGCCTGACCCTCCCAAATACAACATCCCTCCTGGAAGTTTCATATTATGATTCCTCACCACTCATCTTGGATTTGACCAATAAGTTTGTGCATTCTTACCAGTCAGCCAATCAGCAAACTCATCGGGCAACCTGCCTCCTTGGGCACCTGCTGTGTCTACAATGTGTTCAGTTCAGCTCTGGTTCCATCAACAAGGAGTTCATCTAATTTCAGAGAAAAGCAAACTGAGCAGTAGCCTGGGGCAGGGATGGTCAAATACTCCAAGAGTGACTTAGAGTCACAGAATCCAAGAGCTTAGTCCTAGGTACCCGACTCTCACATGACTTCTTATTTAAGTGTCTAAAGACACATTGACTGGACTCAGAGCTTCTCTGCAAATCAGTGTTCTTGGTTTCAAGCAAGTCATCTGGCCATAGGGACCCCAAGCCATAGGTGGCTTTCCTGTGAGGGGGCATTCCACTGTTATCGCCCCCCAAAAGGAACTCAGCTCATTTTCATGGAATGACATGTCATTGGTAGCTGTGGAAGACACGAGTGAGTGAATGAACGAATGACTGATGAGTGAACTGATCGCTTACTGAAAGGAAATCACCACTAACCCACGCATTATTACCGAACCACAGCCAAGGGACCCACGCATTTTTCAGGTGTTTTCAGACCCAGGAGGCATAGGCAGTGGGTTGAAAGGTAGGAAGACACTTACCAAAGTTATCCTCCAATATAAAAAGTTAAGGCCATTTGTATTCCTTGCAGTGAGATTCTTCTCCATCTGCCTGACCCTGGAGACGTTGCTTACCTCAAATCACGGAGCAGCTTACAGAAGAAGGTCGCATGGGCACAGCCCTTGATCATCAGCCCCTGGCAACGGCGCTGCAAATACAGCCAGCTGCGGTTTTCCTCTTCAATCCCGCGCTCGAACTGCAGGGACTCAAGGTCCTCTAGCATGGCCATTTCCAAGCCACCATCCCCTGCGGTGACAGAGAGCGGTCAGGTGGCTCCTCGTCCTGGAAGAGGAGGGGATCTAGACAGGAGGATGTGTGTGCCCACGTCACACAAGCTCCTATGGTGAAGGGCTTCAAACCCTATCTCCCCCCAGTTCTGCCTTCCAGCTCTCGTCCACTTCGGTCTCGGTGTCAGTCCTGGAGGACTCCTCAACACTGACTGACTACCCATGAACTGAGAACACCTGGATTCATGAAAATCCTGAACAGAAATCCAAAGTAATGTTCCTCCCCAGGCCCTTCTTTCAGCAGGTGCATTGCTATCGGCAGTGGATTTCATGGGTGCTCTTGGTCTGGGACTTTTCCCTCTCATTTCCTCCTGTTTTACAAATAGGACTCACTCTGACTGGCATGGCTCAGTTGGTTAGGCATCGTCCTATGAACTGAAAGGTCGCTGGTTCGATTCTAGTCGGGGCACGTGCCTGAGTTGCTGGCCAGATAGGGGGTGTGGGAGAGGCAATCAATCAATGTCTTTCTCACACACTGATGTTTCTCCCCCTCTCTCTCTCCCTCCCTTCCCCTCTCTCTAAAAATAAATGAAATCTGTACTTGAATAACAATAAGTTTTAAAAAACTGAAAAAATAAAATCTTTAAAAAATACATTTTTAAAAAAGAAATGACTGAACATTTAGACCACATTTCAAAGAAATTCTTCCCTTTCACTAAACTCTGTGTACCCCTACAGAATGGAAAAGACCCCAAACTAAATATCATGGTCCTTTGCCTATAGCAGGGACATTACACTTTAGAAAATGAAGCCAAAGAAGTATAAGCCCATTTACATACATCTCTTGCCAACCCAGCTGAGGAGAAAATGGCTGTACTCCTCATTACTTCCAGTCCTCAGGATAAGAACTACATTTCCAGAAAGAACTACCCAAGAAAATTGTCATTATGACTCCTTAGCTACCAAATTACTTGTCTTGGAGTCTTAAAGGGGCCAGCCTCGCCTAGAGGTTTTCCCGCCTGCAATGTGAGGACATGAACTCCTTTCATTATTTGTAGAAGTACTTCACCAGGGCAGTACTGGGGTCCTCCTTTTCCCTACAGAAGCTTCTGGACTTCCAGATTTCTTCTTGTAGAGTGGGATATCATACAGATCTTAGCACTCCTCAAGGAGTTGCTTTTCAAACCCCTTCTTTTTGTGTTCAAGAAATCAATGAGTAAGATAAGTTCTGGAGATCTACTGTACTTCATGGTGACTATAGTTAATATTATATTGTATACTTGAAATTTGCTTAAGAGCAGATCTTGTGTTTTCACCACAAAAAGAAAAAAGGTAACTGACGTGCTGCATACACTCATTAGCTTGACTGTGGTAATCACTTCACAATGTATATTGAATCACCATGTTGTACACCTAAATATAGATAGTTTTTATTTGACAATTACACCTCAATAAAGCTGGGGAAAAATCAGTGACATTCAAAACTCTAGTCTATTTTAAAAAAATGGTGAAATTGAGAGCAAAGTTCAAAACTGCTCATCTCTTATTTGCATTTAAATTAAAAATATTTATTGAGGTGAAATTCACATAAATTAAATTAAAAGTAAACAATTCAGTCCATTCACAGTGCTGTGCACCCCCCACCTCTCTCTAGTTTCAAAATATTTTCCATGTCCCTCAAAAGGAAACCCTGTCCCACTTAGGGAGTACCCCCAGCCCCCAATCTGCCCCTGGCAACCACCAATCTGCCTCTTTGTCTCTATGGTTTACCTTTTCTGGGTATTCCACATGAATGAAATCATACAATGTGTGACCTTTGGTGCACGGTTTCTCTAATACCTTTTATAGGAGGGCAGTTACATCACTCTCTCAATCTTCTTAAAAGCACAGTCCCCAGCAATTGAAATGAAGAGCGTTGACATTGTCATCAAGTCTCAGAAATACTTCTTTAGACCAAAGCAGGGGGAGGTCTTCCTGCTGCTGCAAGTGATGTTTCCAGCTCCTAAGGAAGGAGGGGCTCCAAACCTCCCAGTGCAGCCGCGGCCCACGCAGCCCACGTTAACTTGCACAAACACTTTCGACAATGGTGATCCAGTGCTCCTGGCTTCGTAACATGTCAAGTGCGCTGGCTGACCTACATTTTCCAGAATTCCCTTCTCTGTATGTTTCCAGTTAGGCGTGCCACAGGAGAGATTTCTGTCAAGATCTGGAGGGTGGAAGTATGGGCAACAGCCAGCAAGGGCCGGGCAGGCACTTTGGTGTCTGCTGGTGGCCTTGTTGCTTGTGGGGCAGCAGTTGGACCTGCAACTGCTGTACCTTCTCCTGGATCCTCCCCGGCCAGGTCTGTTTTCAGCTCCATGACCAAGGCCACCAGCTAGCTTCTCCTGCAGGACACTCACTTCATCAAGGTTGGGAGCAGTGAGAAGTGACACGGGTTCCAGTCCATCCCTGTGGGCTCCAGCTTGTCCTTGCTCACCCCTTTATTCCCATCTTCCCTTCCCCACTGCCTGCCACCTGGATTTGCAGCCCCACCACCAGCCATGCAGACGACCTTCCAGAGACTGTCTGATTGCCCTACTTGAGTGAGGTCCAATGTCTGTAATGAGTCTCACACACGGATTGGACAGAAAAGACACACAGACTGTACTCCCAGTGGTCTGCTTCTCTAAATAAACTCTAATTGATATACTAGTTAAGAAAGCTATACTGTTTGAAGATCAGCCAGTAACTTTAGCACAATTTAGCATATTAAAGCTCGTTTCTACAACAGCAGGAGTGATTGGGAAAGGACCCAAACATGAGGTTACCTGGCATTGCAGAGGAACTGCCAAGTGGAGAAGTAAAAGTCCAAGTCCAATCCCCTTAAAGGATCTCTCAGCGTCAGCATTACTAACATTCTGGGCTGGAAAATTCTTTGCTGTGGAGTCTGTCCTGTGCACCGTCGGGTATTTAGCAGCATCCTTGCCTCTCTCCACCACTAGCAGCACCATCCAGTTGTAGAATAGTGTCTCCAGACATTCTGTTCCACAGACACAGGTCTGCTGGGGAGCAACACGGCACCCAGCTGAGAACTACACTGCGTTACACGCTGGGTGCCTCTGTGCGGACACCTCCTCCTCCCACCACCTAATCCACTCCGCAGCCACAGGAGCACAGAATTCTACGAGCTCTGAGAGAACCATGCCCTCCTATCCACATTAAGATAAAGTCCAGAGAAAGGGACCCACCTGCCATCACACACTTGTCAGTGGTAGAGCTGAGACAAGAGGCCGGGTCTTTTGTCTCCCAGCTCTGGGCTCTTTCTATGAACCACGTGGCCCTGCTTCCTCTTAGCACCATTACCCCATAACCCGACATGTGCTGACAGGCTACTGAATGTAGTCACAGACACAGATCCGTAGTGATCCCAAGAGACCGGGCAATCATTTATTTGTTTTACAGAAAACCACCGGAGGGAAAAGGAAGGCACCAAGGAAGAAACAGCTTTATTAGGAGTCTCAGCATGTCTGGGGAAACCCAGTTCAGTCACAGAGGAGAGGCTGATGTTGGTACGGAGCGGGAATCTTGCATTACAGAACATCTTCTTAAAAACCAAGTGTGAAACTAAAGCCTCCATCTTAACATCCTAACGGTTGGCAATGCCGCTGAGTTCGGCCCTGGTGAAACTTCTGGAATCTCCTAGTGAAATAATGAGATCTGTGCATAAAGGGAGAGCTCCAGTACTGCTGAATCTAAGCTCCTGCAAGTTCATGGTCTGGGGCGGGAGGAGTAGAAGACAATGGGGCTGTTTGCATCACCCACACAAGGCCATTTGCCTGCAGTTTTTGACAGAGGCTAGACTGGGGCAGCAGGGGGACGCTGGCCCGAGAAACAATGCCCAGGCCATCTGTCATTGTGGAAGGTTCGTGCAGTCTGGTGCGGGGGCACCTCCAGCAGGTGCTGGCAACACTGGCACCCCTTCCTGAGGTCCCAGGGAGAAAGCCATTTTGGTTCTGTTCTGACATCACTCACAGCAGAACTGCCAATGTCCAGCATCAAGTCCAGGGCCATCATCAGCTGAGAGGAACTGAGTGGTCAGCCTATGACACCTGCATCTCTTAGTCTAGACTTCTGTGGCAGAGCAGTCACTTTTCTCAGACCGAGAGGGATCTTGCCCACCACAGGCCCAGTCTAGAAGTGACTCCCACCTTCATGTAAGCACCAGGTGGAGAGAATCTTTCTCATGAGTCGAAGCTTTAGATCTTGGCCCTGAGATGATGGCCCCTGGACAGAGGACCGGTCAGAAGCTTTCTGTGCCCAGGTGCTGGTGTCCGTCCCAGGAGTAGCAGGTGTGGCCTGTTGATGAAGGGCCCAAGCAACGTGATGCTGTAACTCTCCTAAAGAAAAGTGCGCTCCACTCTCATGGGCAGAATAGGAAGACACGATGCAGGTTTCAGGGTAGCTGATGCCACCTAATTCTTCCATCGAATTTGCTGTGGCAAGAAGAAACAATGATCAATTTGCTCTGATCCCAACAGAGGCAGTGGGAATGCAATAGAGTAAGACTCACAGCTACGTAGTACAAGGAAAAGAGAAGAAGGGAAGGGGGAGGAATTTTTAAAAATGTCGTATGTGGCGGAGTTTATTTCTTCAGATACAAATTAGACACCTAATCTGCGTCTCACAGGCCTGAGCGTGGGCATTTATTCTGGTCCTGCCCTCCTCGGGATCAAGAGTCACTAGCTTCCAATGACCCAGGTAGGTCCCAAAATATCTAACCGCGAACTAAGAGTAACATTAACAGAGAGCTCAGCACTTTCGTGCCATGAGAAACAGGCAGGCTACGTCCCCAAAGAGCTCGAACCCACTAAACCCCCTTCTTACTTCCAACAGGCGGGTCACCTTCACTCCCGGGATATTCTGAATCTGTACCATTCATTTCTATCCTGTCAGAGGTTAGTCCCTCCTACCTGTTAGGCTTAACTGTGATCACAGCATCACAGTTAGGTCTCACCAGAGGTCCCCAGACGACCCTCATGCACCCCGGACGTGACTCTGTGAGCTGCCTGTCTCCTGGGACTGCTGGAGGGGGCTGTGGCGGCTCACCGAGCTGCTGAGAGCGGCGTCAATCTTCTCCTCCTCCGCAGACCCTTTATCCACCTTAGTCCTGTATGCCAGCAACTGCTGACGATCCTTCAGGTCCCGGCAAGTCTGTGCACCGAAACGGACAACAAGAAGACCCCCAATCAGCCTTCTCTGCGAAGGTCTTTCTCTTCTTGTTACTCCCGCTTCGAGCCAAGGCTCAGGGCCCCACAGCACTTCACGCTGGAGTGAGTCTACAGAGCTTACATGGCATGATTCAGCTCTAGGACTGCTCCGAGTGCAACATTTAAAAGAACACAGAAACACCAGTCAGAGGGCGAGGAAAATCACACAGGAGCACGGGCCTCCAAGCTAACTCTTGCCAGATCATTTTGTCCAGTAAGTCAAAATTGATGGCAGTATTTTACGGTCCAGGATGGAGAATATCGTAATACCCCACTCTCCACTGAGGGTCTAGTTCAAGGTTCTTATTTCTGGGGAACTTACATCAATGACGACATCATGGCACTTGAACTTGATAGCTAAGTTCAACTTTGTATCCACATCTTCCACTAGGTTGACATACTCCTGTAGTATCTGTGGGAAGAGATACTTTGGATTGGTGATTCCCACACCCATTAAACACACAATGCTGAAATGTAGGGAAAAAATCCCAGAGAAGGCAAAAAAGTGTGTCTACAAATCTGACATCTACGAGTCCCGTCGCCCACGACATGACCAGTGCTGCAGTGGGAGATGAGGTGGACCCCATGCAGCGCTTCCATGCTCCCCTGGAAAGAAGGGGAGAGCATTCTCTTCCACAGCTGAGAGCTGGATCCCCAGGCCAGCAACACGCATGCTCGAGCTCCGATGCAGCACCGCGCCCGCCCCCGGCTCCCGGATGTCCCTTCTCAGTGGACTCTCCTGCATCATTCGGCAGTTCAGCAGTACTCTGAAGGACCCGGGCTGAGCACTGCAGGGCTTCTCAGAGCACTTCTGAAAGGCAGAGAACTTCTCTCCCTGGCCTTTTCTTTTTTCTAAGATTTTGTTTATTTGTTTGTTTGTTTGTTTATTGAGAGGGGAAGGGAGGGAGAAAAACATCAATGTGTGGTTGCCTCTTGTACACTCCCAACTGGGGACCTGGCCTGCAACCCAGGCACATACCCTAAATTGGGAATTGAACCGGTGACCCTTTGGTTCGCAGGCCCACACTCAATCCATGGAGCCACACCAGCCAGGGCTCCTTGGACTTTTCTCTCGCTCAACACTGACTACAGTCACTGTGCTGCCTTTCCGGGGAGAAGAGAACAGATCAGATGTCCTATCACTGACCAGTAGAAGCTGCAGGGTAGGTCTCCCAGAGGATTCTGCCCCCAGTTCTCTTCAGGAGCCCTCACCTGGACGGGGGCGTTGTTCTTGTGCAGAATTTCCACAACCCGATGGAAGCCGATGGGTGCTCGCTTCTTGGTGTAGCCCAGCCAGTTCTGAAGAAGGAAGGTGGCAATGGTGACTAAGCCAGACATGAACTCAACACACTCTGAGCCGGTCTCCCTGCATTTTATGGTCAGACTGAAACGGCGTGGCGGTGAGAGTGGAGGGAGTGGGGTGAGGGACAGGGAAATGGAGATGAGGTTTTCAGAAAAGTCAAGAAACTTGAGAGGGTGGAAAAGAGCGGTATGGAATAAGTTCTTAGATTTATAGGCACTAATGCAGAAAAGTCTGTGAATACAGTTAAGCAAGATAAGCAATTTACTTAACAACTTCAAGTATGAACTTACCTGGGCAGAAAACTCCTGTCCTTTACATCTTTACATTTACCTAAAGATGTTTCTTTGTAAAGTCATGAGGAAAGGGTTGACACTACCCACCAACCTTGTAATGGTATTTGCCTTGAGGAAGGGAGTGAGATAGAAGCAGGCACATAGTGCAAGACAAACTTCACCCTTTATTCTTTATACTTTCTCAGTGTTTGAATTGGACATAGGCATATATTACTTTGGTGGTTAATGTAGCTAATCAAATAACTAACAAAGGGGAAAAACAGAAAGTTCCCAAACCCATAACGAAAAAAGTTAATATTTAAAACATCAACCATTATAGACACGACAACCAAATACAATACAAGATCCTTGGCTGGATCCTGACAGTGAACAAACAAAAACAGCTCTAAACAGCTGATTTAAATATAGACTATATATATGATAATAATATTACATTAATGTTAAATCTCTCATGTGTGGTTACAAAGGAGAAAAATGCTTAAGCATTTAAGGGAGAAGTGTCATAATGTCTCGAACTTACTTTCAAGTGGTTCAGCAAAAGGAAGCAGCCCTGGCTGCTGTGGCTCAGTGGACTGAGCGCCGGCCTGCAGGCCGAAAGGTCCCCAACTCAGGGCATGCGAGAGGCAACGGGCAGACGTTTCCCTCGCACATTGATATTTCTCTCCCTCTCTTTCCCCCTCCCTTCCTGTCTCTCTCAAATAAATAAATAAATCTTTAAAAAAAAAAGAAAAAAGTATATTTGCTTTCTCTTTTTCTATACACATAGAAAAAGAGAATGGAATACAAATATAGCAAAAATGTTAATAAATTAGTGAAGTAGATAAAGACTGTCAGTGTTCATTATACCATTCTTTCAACTTTTGCTTAGGCGTGACATTTTTATTCTGCAAAATAACAGGGTGGGGGGAAAATGCAAGCCAGTCGCTAGAGAGCGAGACTGCCCGGAGGCCCGGGATACAAGCAGATGGTCTGTCTGGCGCGTCGGCCGCCCAGAGCCGTTCGGGGGCACCCACCTTTGTGGTGAAGAGGGCGTCCACGTCATGCCAGGCTCGGAGCTTGGCGCGAGCAGCCAGGGCAGTCAGCACATACTGTTTATCTGGGATCTAGAGAGCAGACACCAGGGGAGTTTAAGGGGAGGCAGAAATGCACCAGGGGAGGTACTTGAGAATCCTGCAAAAGGTAGGCAAAAATATACCACAGTGCTGACTCTGCCCCTTAAAAGTCCATCAGTCTCTCAGGTTATCACCCACCCTTCATTTCCAAGCCCCAGCACTGCAGCTGGCCTTTCAGTGAAAGCCTTAGTTCACTTCCCATAAACACACTGCTTTCTACCTTTTACCCTGAACTTGAAGGGACTTACTGTGCAGGGCTACAAGCAACATCCACTCCACGTGGTACCCCAATACCACTTTTATCAAAGCGCTGACCAGTTTATATCTACCTTAAATGTCTTCTTCAGGTTGACTGGACTGCTGAATGTCCCCTGAGTTGAAAGTGGAGAAGGGATTTTAGTGTTACCGACTTTCTCAAATGCCAGCCAACCTCCCGTCTTCTTTTGTACTCACTGGACTTTCTACATTTTACTCTGTAACCATTTATATCCAGAAATTCTTCTAGGAGAAAAGCTCCATCAGGTCTAACTGGACATCACCACAACCCAGCTTAACAAGACTGGGTTAATTAGTATGTTACCTGACATACTAATTAACATACTCCAGTTACCTGACACCCTGCTGCTCCTCCACACACTGTGTTCATCAATCCATTTGCATTTACGGATCTTTGAACAGAGATGCCCTGGGAGCAGCACCGGTGAGACAGTGGGCTGTGCCAGTGCCCGCGCACTGGGAGCCACACGAGCCCTTACAAGCCTCCCTCCCCTCTGGTCTCCCCCGGCGGAGGGCCAGGAGGGCCTCCGGGGGGATTTCCGAGAACTAAGCGCACCACCGGTAGCAGAGTACATAAAAAACTGACTTCAAACTCGGCTCCCCTGTGCAGCGAGAGCCACGTGTTGCCCGTACCTCAGCCTCTGAGTAGTGGTAGAAGCAGGAGTAGAAAAGTGTCGTCACCAGCGGCATGTTGAGGATGGAGGCTTTGCGGGGGTGCTTCCGGAAGATCTCGGTCTGTCCTGCTAACTCTAGATGGCGGTCATTTGCCTGTGGTGGAGTGAGCCAAGGGAAGTGAAAAACAATGCCCATGCAGCAGAAGCAGGACGGAAACTTTTAATACTACCGTAGTTGTGTCTCCTGCCCTGGGAAAGAGGCAAGGAGGAGAAAAAGGAATTGCCCAGGATAACCCAGGGGAGTTTAAAAGCCACAAAATGGTGACAGATCCAGGTTGGATGGAGAAGACCAAAGAAATAGCGATGAAATGGGAATTCTGGGATGACGAGGAGATACTCCCAGGATAACAGCAAGGGAGAAGAAAAAGGATGCTGAGAGCAATGGAGAGAAGGAGGCTAACACGAAGAGGGAGAAAATGAAAGGCTTAGAGATTGTAGCAGGAAATGATATATTCGGGCAGAGCATAGATGTCTCTTGGATGCTGAATGGCACTCAGCTGCGGCACTGAGGCAGAAAATGCAGATATGAGCAGACTGACCTCAATAATGATCTGACGTTCCAGGAGTGTGTAATGGTCTTGTATGTGTGCAGAATCTTCCGCTGAAAATGGCAAACTGGCAGAGGGACGGAAGGTTAGTACCCCTTCCTCTACTCAAACAGGAACAAACCCAACTAAACCAAGTCACTACTATAAGCATGTGAGGCTCATGGGGCTTCATAGATCTGATCTCAATTCACCTTTGGAACATCCATAAAAGGCAGAGAGAGAATGCAGAATATAGAGTAGACCTTTGGATAGAATTCTGCATTTACAGTTTTGCCAACTGAAGAGGGATCCCGAAAGCTGACAAAATACATAGAGCCATTAGTGATTCTGTTGAGGAATGAATTAGAATCCTCTCATCGTGGGAGCTGTTAATGTTTGGTGAGTGAGTCACTTAGCTAATGAGTGAGACTAGCCCCCGCCATGAAGGCTGCCCAACAGTACAATGAGCTGCTTCCAAGAGCAGTGAGAGTCCAATCAGTGGAGAGTAATGTGTGGGGCAGGTTTCTACAGGGACTCACATTCTGGGTCAAGGCCTGTACTAAGTCAGTGGTTCTTGGGCTTTGGGGTTTCAAGGACAAGTAACATTGAAAATACTGTATTACATAAAGTATGGCCGAGTTTTTATTTTAATATATATCATCATAAAAAAGAATTACAACTAATTTTACTATGGGGGAGGGAGGAGAGAGGAAAAAAAATCACAGAATAAAAGGCAATCTTTTAGCTGCATAAATTTGGCTTAAACAAATTCTCTACATTGTCTTCATTTTTCTTAATGTACCATCAATCAATTAAACTTCTACTGGGGACTAGTATTTCGAACCACTAAGTAAGACAAATTTTAGTGATGCTAGTATGATCCATTGTGTTAGCCTCTCCCTTCCACTATCCATCCATCCTACCCTCTTTTAGTCTCTTCATTCCTCTGCATGAGAGTATTTGTACTTAAAAACATTTCTCCTGCACACTTACCCAATGCAGGTCTTCAGAAATTCTTTTCGTTTCTCAGGGTCTTGAATGTTCAAGTGCTCTCGATATTGGGACAGCTAAAATTTTTTTTAAAAAGACACAGAAAGGCTTTGAACTATTTCGTCTCCTTAGAATGGAGAGGTAGCTCCACAAGTAGACTTTCCACGCTTCAAAACAAAATGCTTCATCATGAGAGATTCTTTCTCGGTAAGGACTGGATGGGGGGGGGCAAAGAGCGATTTTCAATCACTCTTCGGTTTATCTAGAATTGCGATGTGTAATATGGTAGCCACCAGCCATGTTTAGTTGTTTACATGTAAATTTAAACTGACTCAAAAGAAATCCAGGTTCTTAGTTGCACTAGTCACTTTTTTAGTGTGATCAGTGAATAGTGTACATGTGATTAGTGGCTCCCACATCGGACAGCACAAACACAAACTATTCCCATCATCACAGGAAGTTCCACTGAACAGAGCTGACATATAACAAAGCATTAAGTAGATGGAGCACTTAGTTTTACTCTGGAGATTGGCTTTCGCTTTAATATTTAACCAAAACCAGTGTTTGCTTCAGCTTTAGCCTTTGAAAAGCTGAAGGGCTAAATGCCTACTTCAATGTTATTTTTGGCATCCTTGACCTTGTACATGATCAATGGTAGTACCATCACAAATAGGGTATATTCTTCTGATTCACTGTTGATAGCTAGTCAATTCAATACTACAGGTTCTAAGTGTCACTCTGAACGAAAATCTTACATGCTTTCTATTTTGAAATTCTAAAAACTGAAGTTTATATGATACAATAATTAATGACTGTGAAAGTTGTGATTTTATATAAAGTTATTAAAACTTCTAATAATGAAAAAATTAACAGATTATCACTTAATATGAACATTAAGAGAATGAACCCTGGCTGGTGTGGCTCAGTGGATTGAGCACCAGCCTGCAAACTGAAAGGCCGCTGGTTTGATTCCCAGCCAGGGAACATGCCTGGGTTGCCAGCTGGACCCCCAGTTGGGGGTGTGCGAGCACAGCTGATCTACGTTTCTATCGCACACTGATGTTTCTCTCCCTCTTTCTCTTTCCATTCCCACTCTCTCAAAATAAAGAAGTAAAATCTTTAAAAAAGAGAATGAATTGGCTTTAGAAGGACAGTGTATCTTCTTACAGCCAACAGATTTTATAAGAATGTAAATGATAATATAAAACAGCATAAGAGTTTATATCATAATCTAATCTTTGTAAGATATCTGTTCTATAATCATTCATAATACTTAAAACAGTGACTTTTAAGAGCTATAAATTTTTGGTCTTAAGTCTTTCAAAAAAAGTCCTACTTGGGAAATCTTCAGATTCCGTGAGGATAAATAAAAGCAGACTATCAGCTTTGCCACTTCCCCAATGTACAAAGTTAGAAAATTCCAAATTTATATACGGCAACATGCATGTTAGCTAAATCATCTTCAATTCAAACATCAGAGAGCATGCAAAAAATAAGAAAGTTTTCAATTGAAATGAGTTACTCAAAGCACATTCATTTTTACTAACCAAAGTTCAAAACAACACACTTTATAAGAATGATGTATAAAAACGATTCCTTATAGTTTCAAATCTACAAAGTAAAAATGGACACAAAAGCTTTTCAAAATGATTACTACAGACTGCCAATCATTTGGAGTAGATTAAGAGAAAGCATTTTTGAGATTTTACCCTGCCCTAAATATTAAGTACATGTTCCTTTTAGCAAATATTACTAGAAAACACTTTCCTGAATTAGCCCCTATTGCACACCCAGGTTTGACCACATCATGAGCTGTGCCAGCTGGACATGAGCACAGACGCCGCCACACGCATGTGCTGCAGCGACTACGGGAACAGCCCTGTCGCCGCTGGCGCCGGGAAGTTCTCACCCCTGCATTCTGTCAAACATTTAAAAATGGACCACTGAAGCTTTAATACTACAATTAAATTTTTGATACAAGTTCAGATTTAGTCTCATATTCCAGGTGTTCATTCTATGATGATGAAAACTAGTCAAAAATCTATTTAATGCTTGTTCACTGAGCTCTCAGCCAAAATGTGCACTGGGTGGACCCCCAGCTTGACCTGTCTTCCTTCTCGACCTCTACCGGGTTTCTCATCACTCTCAGCTTTCAACATTTTCTTTAGTATTAAAAGCCAAAAGCCAAAATCCAAAAGCTCCTACAAACCAGGAGTTAAAAACAATTGCAAACAACAACAAAAAACAAATTACACATTGATGAGGCCAGTTTTCATTCATTTATTTAAAAAAAATACTATTTACAGCCAAATCAAAAGAACGTATTAAAAGCAATAAAACAGTACATCATCAGGATTCCCAGATGTCTCTCTTTTCTGGATACAATCAATGCCAACAGAAAAGAAACAGGTTCAGTCATTCTGGGATCCTGGAGAGCGGCTGTTAGCTTAGAGCTCTGTTAAACGGGCCCCCCACTGAAATAAAGGCCACACTTACCGCAAGCTCTTCTGTTCTATCTAGGAACCTGGGAAGAAGCAGAAGGAGCAGGGCATTTTTATCTATTGACGGGTGGCGGTGTAACCTCACAAAACAAGATGACTGCTCTAGGAGAAACAATTCAAACTCAACTGCCTCCATACACAAGATAAGACCTCTTCTTGAACTTTGTACCACCAGCAACCCTTTGAAAACACACGGTGAATCAGCCAACATTGTTCCCGATCTTTCCAGCGAAGCAAAAAGCAGGGACAAAGAGGCACTGCAGGGTGCGAATAACTTCTGTAAGGTCTGACGGGAAGGCTCAGACTCTACCAAACCTTAGCCCACAGAAACGTTATAGTTTTTTAAAGAAAGATTAAAGCACTCTTCTCTGTCAATACACTCCTGAACAGATTTTCTATATTGCTGCCTTGTTTTCATGTATAGTATAAAATGTGTTTTGTTTCTCCCGAAAGGTGGTATGCCTTGAAGAACAAGGACTTTCATGTTCCAATCCCTTTTTATCCTGAACGGTCCACTACAATTAACTCACTGCTTTGGCCGGAGGTGATGCTTCATAAAGCCTATTGACTGGGAAGGAGGGAGAGAACAGCCCGCCTCAATAAATGTGTCTTCTGAAAATTCATGACTAACCACCTGTAATCTTGACCCTAACCAGGTGACCTGCTTTCCCCGCCTTAGTGTTTGGGGCAGTTCATCACTGTGCTGGAGTCACTAGTAACTGGAGTTACCCTAGGCCACATGTCAGCCTCAAGAGAGGTTCCAACCCCTTCTCTGACACTGAAGAAAGAACATAATATACATACATTTTAATCTAAAGGCAGGAAGTAGCCCCGACTGATTGGAATGACAGGAAAGGAAAACAAGATAGACGATACCCCACTCCCCAACCTACAGCAGATACGCCTACCTCTTACCTCTCCACCAATCAGAATCCTACCTAGTCTTAGGCCCAACTCCTAACCGCTTCCATAAGGCTATCCTCAGGTACCCTGACTGCAAATTCCATTTGCTGCTTCTGCTTTTCCACTGTACTTCTCACTACCACCACTGGAGACCAAAAAAAGACACCTTCATCCTAGATTTTCTATTTAAAAAATGCTTGATAAATATTAATACTAGGCATTATGCTAAGTGCTTTACACAACACTAACTCTTTTCATTTTGACAATGACCCTGTGGGGAAGGCATCATCACCTCCATTTTACTGATACTTGGAAAGGTTGGGTGACTTGCTCAAGGCCACTCTATAAATTAACGGTGGAGCCAGTATTCAATGCAGTTACGTGTGACTCCAGAGCCTAGTTCTGAACCACCTGCCACACTGTCACCCTATCACAGCCTGTGGTGCATTACTAGTCATCCCATCCCATTTCAAAATCTTGTCTAATAAGCATTTCCAGCAACAAGAGACAGTCTCTTCTTTCTCTGTATACCCCAGAGTGCTTTAACAAAGCACTTAACATACTTTATGGACCAGGAGATCAGCGCTTACCTGAAGAGGTCTAAAAGCAGCTTTTGATCCCCTATTTCCTTAAGGAAGTGAATGAGATGTCTCAGGGCGACCTGCCGCACCTCCAGCTCTCGGAAGAGGATCTCTGTGATGGGCAGGAAGAAGTTGAGTGGACAAAGATTAAAGCCTATTACTCGAGTGTGAAGCTCATCGCCCTAGTCACACATTCCAAACATCAATTCCAAAGTTGATCAGAAGCTGGGAATGGCTTTCTATGGCATTCCTCCCCATGGCTCAATGTACCATCACCCACTGCACGGCTCAGGGCAACTCTCGGCCGTTGTATCAGCTTTCGGTTCTCACCAATGCAGACATACAGCACCGAGCCTCAACTGTGACTGCCTCAAGCCAGCACAGCCATCTGTGTGTCCAGTAAACAGAGGGGGCTTTGTAGCTAAGGCATGCATCACACTGAGGGACGACAACTGCCCTCAGGGATGCAATGTGTACTCTGAGGTCTCACGCCAGCCCTGCCATCTCTGAAGCAGACCTGATGCAGGTGAATTCTGGTGTAAAAGCCGCAATGCCTGTCTCCCCCAAACACAGCACACATCTGGCTGACAAGATTCCGTCAAACTAGGCTCACCTTTGCTCAACGTCCTCTTCAGAAATATCAAAACCTGGAGGAAAAGAGAACAAAGAATGAATTACCCTATGCAACCTCTCCAACACAAAGCCCTGTCCTGAGCACCTGATATCTAGGCATGAGGTCAGCAGGTCCAGACAACAGCTCTATGTGAAGGAGGGACCGGTGGTGGACATCTGGAACTGAGCTGTGCCTCGCGAGGCCACGTGCCTGTGCCCATACTAGCAAGAATTACCTCCCCACGCTCACGTCTCTCTTCCCTCAGATTACAGTAGCCAACTTACTGCTTCTTGATTACAATCAAGAGTTGCATATAGTGCGTGTTCTGCCAGCTGAGCCCTAAAGCACATATTACTTAGACTCCTGCATATCAAAAGGAAATCCAGGATCCTTACTTGACCTTTAAATGAAAATGTTAAAGTCTGCCCTGGCTGGTGTGGCTCAGTGGATTAAGCACCAGCCTGTGAAACACAGGGTCACCGGTTCGATTCCCAGTCAGGGCACATGCCTGGGTTGTGGGCCAGGTCCCCAGTTGTGGGTGTGTGAGAGGCAACCACACACTGATCTTTCTCTCCCTCCCTTCCCTTCTGTCTATAAATGAATAAATCTTTAAAAAATAAAAAATAATGTGAAAGTCTATTGTAACTGGATTTTCAGAAACTAATAACAACAACAATTAAACCAACAAACCCATGACTCACTGCAGTAATGACATTTCCATCGTGCACGGTTACTGCTTCTTCCAGGAGTTGTAGCTTGTCCTGTAAGGAGCGGAATCTTTCTAGTGAGCAGACCTGGCAGAATACAAACAGAGTTAGTGTGCATGGAAGAAGACTGCGACATTCCTTTGTCATGGGATGCTGAGAATAGGCAAGAATGAAAAGAAATGTGCCCAAGGAGAGGCGCTTTAATTTAACACTATGGTCCCCAGCACAGAGTGAGACAGCAGGCCCCTCTGCACCCTCTCCAGCCAGCCTTATGCCCTAGAAGATGCCGTTTCCCGACGAGTCCTGCCAAAGTCAACGGGTAGAGATGACCTCTTCTCTTTTAATTAATGAGATATAATCTACACACAATAAAGCATTTCAATGTATAGTGCAGTGAGTTTTGACAAGTATATAATCCTATGTAACAACTACCACAATCAAGGCATTTCCATCACCCTAGTAAGCTTCCTTGCCCACTCTGATGTCAACACCCTCTTCCCATCCCTGGCAAACGCTCATCTGCTTTTAGTCATTAAAGTTTTGCCTTTTCTAGAATATCAGAAAAATAGAAACACACAACAGTGTACTCTTCAGTATTGGTCTTCTTTCACTCAACACCCACATGCGGTGGTGAGCACGAGTAGCGTGCTCCTACTGTCGGGAAGTATTTTTACATTGTATGGACACACATCGTTTATTTATCCATTTAGCTGCTGATGAATATTTGGATTTCCACTCTGGGGATATTATGAATAAAGCTGCCATAAGCATCTGTGTACAAATATTTATATGGACATGTGTTCATTTATCTTGAATTTTAAATGTCTAGGAGTGAAATTAAGTGTATGACTAACTTTGTAATAAACTGTCGGACTATTTTACAAAGTAGTTTTACCATTTGACCTTCCTGCTGGCAGTATGTACACAGAGTTCCAGTTCCTCTGCATCCTATCAGTACACTGAAGTTCAGCCATTCTAGTGACTGCATAGTGGTATCTCATAGTTTTAGTTCCTATTTTTTAGAGATTTTATTTATTTATTTTTAGAGTGGGCAGGGGAGGGAGAAAGAGAGGGAAAGCCACATCAATGTGTGGTTGCCTCTCGTGTGCCCCCTACTGCGGACCTGGCCTGATCCTGGCATGTGCCTTGACTGGGAATCGAACCAGTGACCTTTTGGTTTACAAGCCTGCACTCAATCCACTGAGCCACACGAGCCAGGGCTAATTCAAATTTTCTTGATAACTAGTAACACTGACCATCTTTTCAATTGCTTATTGGCCATTCATGTGTGTTTTTGTGATACGAGTGGTCAAGCCTTGTGCCAATTTTTTTAATCCTCACCCAAGGACACCCTTTCATTGCCTTGAAAGAGGAAGGAAGAAGAGAGACACTGATGTCACAGAGAAAAGCATCTATGGGCTGCCTCTTCTGCCCCCCTAAGCATTGCACCTGGGATCATATATGCCCAGACCAGGTATCAAACCCACAACCTAGGTATCTGCCCCAACTGGGAATCAAACCCACAGCTCTCTGGCTATGGGACAAAGCTCCAACCAACTGAGCCACATTTACCAGGGCTCTTGTGCCAATTTTTTATTGGATTGTTTCTCTTCTTATTACTAAAAATAATTCATTATTCTTTATATATTTTGGATAAAAATAATTTATAATGTATTTATTTTACAAATATTTTCTCTCAACTCTGGTGATCTTTTCATGTTTTTAACAGTGTAAAGATCAAAAGTTTTTAATTTTGATGAAATCCATTTAATCACTTTTTTTTTCCCCTTGGGTGTGTGTGTGTGTGTTCTGGGTAATAATAAAGATTTTCACCTACATTTTCTTCTAGAAGTTTTATGGTTTTAGTGTTTACTTTTGTTTAGGTCTGTGATCCATTTTGACCCATTAATTATTATGATGCCAATTCTTCCAAAGTTGATCTATAAATTCAATGTAATCTCAATCAAAATCCCAGAACCTCTTCTGTAGACATTGACAAGTGATACTAAAACCTATATGAAAATAAAAAGGACCTACCATAGCCAAAACGATTTTGAAAGAGAGGAACAAAGTTAAAGAACTTCCTTACCCGATTTCGAGATTTGCTATAAATCTACAACAACCTAGACTGTCAATGGCATAAGGACAATAAATCAATGAACTACAATAAAGAGTCCAGAAGTAGATCTACTCCTATATGGTCAATTGATTTTTGACAAAGGTACCAAGGTATAACTCAATGAAAAAAGATAGTCTTTTTGAAAAATAGAGCTGGAAAAAATAAAGAAGTACATAAGAAAAAAACAATGAACCCCAATCTTAACCTCACATTATAAACAGGGCAAAAGTAGATTTACAATTGTTCATATGGAAAATAATAAATTAATAAATAATATAAGAATGAACTGTTTTGCACACTCACTACCGTAAATCTACTTTTGCCCCACCCTGTATAAAAGTTAACTCATAATGGATAACAGACCTAAACATGAAAGACTGCTCTCATTTTAAAAGTAGCATTCCCTCCCATCTATCACCCTTTCCCCATTAGTCTATCAAAAGTAACACTAAACTCTGTAGTTTCTCAAATTTTGCAGCTGATTTTCCATCTTAGTGAATTTATTTTCCTCCTGAAAATAACTTACAAACAGAACTCAAGAGAGAGGTCAAGAAATCCTCTCTGTGAGAATAAGCTGGCCAGGTTCCCAAAAAGTCCCACAAGACCTCTCTCTCCAGTGGCCTTACCTTGCCCTTGCGAAGGCGTCGCACCGTGTCACTGGGGCTCCAGTCATTGCTGTAGTCCTGGAATATTCATTAGCAGCACGTGATTCCCCAAAACTATCAGTGTGCCCGCTCCTCACCTCAAACTCACTGTCTTAGTCCCTGAAGGGGGAATATTTTGTGGGAGGGAATGGATGGGGTAAAAATGAACTGGGATAGTCTTGTTCCGAGTTTCTGAAGGAACTAGAATGGGCAAGAGGTGATGAATGAAGAGAGAATGAACCAATTGACAAAATCAGTGATGCTATGCCTATTGGTCCAGGATTCCAACCCCAAGATGCAATCAAGCACATTTTTGAGACTCTAATTAATAGCTATGCCAGCATAAGGAAAGAGGAAAACATGTGCCCTTTCTGGATTTTTTAAGAAAAGATTTTACTTATTCATTTTTAAAGAGAGGAGAAGGGAGGAAGAAAAAGAAGAAGAACAGCATTGTGATGTGTGAGAGAAACATTGATTGGTTGCCTCTCACATGCCCCCAACTGGGGACCTGGCCCATAACCCAGGCATGTGCCCTGACAGGGGATTGAACCAGCAATCTTTCAGTTCGTAGGCTGGTACTCAATCCACTGAGCCCCACCAGCCAAGGCGACATGTTCCTTTTCTGGACCTTACAATATAGTTTCTTCCTCATGAATCAATTTGCTTTCCTATGTGCTTCATGCAAATATAAGCTTCTCCGAGTTTCCAGACCACACTGATGATCAAAATTATCCAAGTACAGCCTGCGAAAGGCAGCGTCAATGCGGAAGGAAAGTGTGCAAGGACTGAAACAGAAAACAAACACTTCTGAGTCCAGGCACCACATGTACTAGTTGAGCGACCCCAGGCAAGCCCTAATGTTTAGAAACGCAATTTTCTTATCTACTAAAGGGGGTTAAAATAACAGGTGCTCAAAAAGTTGGGAAGGTCAAGCAAGATAATGTATGTCAAAGCACTTTAAATTGTAAAGGGTCAAACCAGTATAAGAAGTAACTCACCCTGTACTCCCCCTTCGGTCTCCCCAGCTCTGGAGCGTAGCTTTTGGCAGGAATGTCCGAAAGAGCTAGAAGAGAACAGGCGGCTGGTTCAGAAGGACATCATCTTCTCGTCACTCCTTTCTTCAACAGCTGCCTTCTTGACTTACAGGTTCCCAAGGTACTTTTTAGGGCCCTAAGTAGATCTCGGTTCCTCCCCAAAGCCAGTATCTGTAGAAGTCACCCCTCTCCACTATAACTGCAATCTACCTCCTTACTCAGAATCAGAAAATTTCTCTGATGATGACGATGACAGATACAGAAGAAATTTTATCAAATCATTTAATTACTACTTTTCTCCATGACTCCCCAGACTGTACCCCAGATCGGTAACATCTCCCAAAGTAATCAAGAAAAGAGGGTCAATGCCTACCATCAGAAAGGGACTGGAAACTTCCAAGTCTCGTTCTCCCTAAAGATGAAGAATACATAAGGGAAGTCAGACCCATTCAGATTTGGTTAAGGATGTAGTGTATATAAAATCTTATTATGCAATATGGGAACTTAAGGCTTAAAAACACTTTTATTCAATTTCAGAAGTTTGAAATGCTATTAAAAATGTTTTAATTGTGGTAAAATGATATGGACACCAGCCTGCGGTGTCTGCGGCATTATGGATGAGATCCGACTGGATGGATGAGATACAAATTCACATGGACTACCGAGTCCTGTGGAGGAAAAGGGACGGCATGGCTACTCTCTCAAGGGGACAGCGCCCCAACCCTTGCCTTGACAGGTTTTTATTGGGTTTCAATTTGCACAGGAATTCACGTAAAGCTCATTAATCATTGTCAGGCAGTAAAGATCACACAATAGATAGCATACAAAGAACTACGAGGGCCTATTCTGAGTCAGGGTCTGTTAGATAAAGGGCTACAAAACTTTGGGAAACAAACTCATTTCCTGCTTGGACCTTTATCATTTAATTGAGAGCACTCTTAGCAAAGCAGGTTTCACAGGATTTTACATATTCTTTCTTAGACCTAATCACCTGGGGAACATACCCTTTCCTGCACAGGGCTGCACTGTCCTCTGTCATTGTTTCAGGCTTAAGTCAGGCAGGGGAAGTAGGGCAGCCAAGAGATTGGGAGACTTCTCACAGACAGAATGGGGACTCAGGCTATGTCAAAGCTGAGGAGCGAGGGTCCATCACCTCCTGTTGATACAGCCCCCCAAGTCCTTCCCTGGGGCCTACCCATGATTATGCCTGTCTTAGGTCGTCCCCCCTTGGGGAATCTTACCCATAATTGGCTAACCGATCAAGCACTGGGGGCCAGTTATGGATGAAGTAAAAGGAGCAGAAGTGGTGCTCCTGCCAGGGAGATAAGCTTTGTCTCCTTAGTGGCTTGTAGTGCAAAGGTCACTCACTCTGCCTTAGCTATTGGGGGGAGGGGGGTAGTTACAGCTTCTGAAACCAGGCAGGGAGGTTCCCAACAGTAAAATATACATAAAATTTACCATTTCAACCATTTTTATGCCCATAGTTCAGTGGTATTGTGCACATTCCCATGTACGAGCAGAGCATTGCCACCACCCACCTCCAGAACCCTTCGCCATCCCAAACTGACCCCGCACCCGTCCAACGACACTCCCCACTCTCTCATCCCCACCTCTAGTAACCATTCTTCTCCTTCCTGTTTCTATGAATCTGACTACTCTAGATACCACGCAAGGGAAGTCATACGCTGTCTATCTTTTTGTGTCTGGCTTATTTCACTTAGCACGAAGTCTTCAAGGCTCATCCATGTTGTAGAATGTATCAGAGTTTTGTTCCTTTTTGGCTGAATAACATTCCAGGGCATGCACATTTTGCTCATCCATTCATTAGTCAATGGACATTTGGGCTATTTCTACCTTTGGCTGTTATGAATAGTGCTGCTATCAACACTGGTGTATAAATATCGGTTCAAGTTCCTGCTTTTGATTCTTTTGGGTATATACCTAGAAGTGGATTGCTGGATCGTATGGTTACTGTGTTTAATTTTTTAATTTTCTGAGGAACTGCCATACTGTCTCCTATAGTGGCAGTACTATTCTACCTTCCACCAGCAGTGCACAGGGTTCCCAGCAGCAATGCACAGGAATAGGGAGAAATTCTGACCGAGGCAAATCTCTTCAGTACCTGTCTTAGGGTTAATGCCAATTTTTTTCATGCTCTAGAAACCCAGAACAATCCCTCTGAATGTCTCTCATTTCTCCCACTCTTGATCCCCAACTGCCAGCTCCAAAGACAATTCTTTTTCCTTCAATAATCTTCTTTCAGAGTAAATAAAATTTATAACCTGAGCATTTTTTTTGAAAACAGGAAAAGAACTCCCTACAGCCTTGACCGTCACTTTTTACCTCTAAAAAGGCTGCTGAGGGAGTAGGTAGAAGTAGGTTTGGGTAACTGTGCATAGGAGGAGAAGCTGTTTCGGCTCTTTAGCTGTTCTCGCCCCTCCTGGTTTGACCCACTATTCCCAGCAGTCTCTTTGATGGACCATGAGATACCTGTGAGATAGTAAGAACTAAATCAGTCATTCTCATCCAAATAAATCCTAGATAACACTATTCCAACAAATTCTAAAAGCTTTTCACCCTGGTCCTTTGGTCAACATGGACTCCAAACATCAGGACAGAGAAAGGATAGACTCAAATAGATTAATCAACAGAAAAATGGGCAAAGGAAAAGAATAAATGGATCACAAAAAAAGGAAATTCAAGTGGCTATTAAACACACGAAAAGCTGTTCAACTTCACTCTTAATAAGATGCTTACATAAATTAAAAGTACACTGAGATACCATTGGTCCCCTGCAGGACTGGCCAGGACCCCTAGGTTTAATAATACCGCGTGCTGGCGCGGCCGTGGGAAACAGGAAGAACCTCTGACACTGCTGGTGGGAGAACAGATGGGTGCAGCCCTCACGGAGGGCAATGTGGCAGGATCTACCCAACACAGATGCAAATACCTTCTGCCAATCATTCACTCTAGGACTTGATCTTTCATATAGTCATACATGGGCAGACTATAAGGTTATTGATAGCAAAGTAAATAATACAAGATTGGAAAAAAATTACATCTCATCAATAGTGAACTGATAATGTAATAAACTATAATAAATCCATATATAGTAAAACAATACTGTGATTTAAAAAAAGAGAACGAGAAAGCCCTTTATGTACAGACATGAAAAGATTTCCAGGCTACAACATTAAGTAAAAAGAGCAGACCTGGCTGGTGCAGCTCAGTGGATTGAGCGCGGGCCTGAGAACCAGACAGTCGTGGTTCGATTCCCAGTCAGGGCACATGCCTGGGTTGCAGGCCAGTTCCCTGCAGGCCAATTCCCAGCAGGGGAAGCATTAGAGGCAACCATACATTGATGTTTCTCTCCCTCTCTCCTTCCCTTCCCCTCTGAAGATAAATAAATAAAATCTTAAAAAAAAAAAGAGCAGAGTATGATATATGCTATCATTTGTCTAGAAAAGAGGTATAGTTCTACATGTATTTCCAATTATAAAAAGAACCTTTTAACATTTTTATTTATTGATTTTGAGGGACAGGGAGAGAGAGAATGAAAGAGAGAGAGAGAATCATCCATTTGTTGTCCCACTTATTCATGCATTCATTGGCTGATTCTTGTATGTACCCTGACCAGGAATCAAACCCACAACCTTAGCGTATCAAAATGATGCTCTAACCAAATGAGCTCCCATCAGGGCCAAAATAATCTTCTGATGAATACACAGGAAGCAAACAATAGCAGTTACTTGTTGGAAGGGTATGGACTGAGAACTGAGTAGATGCGTGACAGTGTGGGAGGGAAACCTTTGACTGTATGCCCTCAATTTTTTTTTTAAATCCTCACCCGAGGACATGATTATTGATCTGAGAGAGAGGGGAAGGGAGGAAGAGAGAAGGAGAGAAACACCTATGTGAGAGAGAAACACTGACTGGTTGCTTCTTGGACATGCCCCGACCTGGGACTGAACCTGTACCCTAAGCATGTGCCCTGACCAGGAATCAAACCAGACAGACTCTGCAAAGGTATTAAATGATATAACTGCTAGGCAGCAAGTCTTGGTGGCCAAGGAATTCAGTTCCGCCAACCAGTTATGAGCACTTAAGTCAGCAGTTCTCAAATATGACTGCATATTAGAAGTATCTGGGCCCTGGCTGGTGTGGGTCAGGGGACTGAGCACTGGCCTATGAACCACAAGGTCTCTGGTTCAATTCCCAGTCAGGGCACATGCCTGTATTGTGGGCCAGGTCCCCAGTTGGGGGTGTGTGAGAGGCAACTGATTGATGTATCTGTCACACATCAATGCTTCTCTCCCTCTTTCTCCTTCCCTACCCTCTCTCTAAAAATAAATAAAATCTTGAAAAAAAAAAGGAAGTATCTGCAGTGCTTCTCATACATTGAGACGCCCTCCACCCTACCCCAACCACCTACTAAACCAGAGTCTCGGGAGTGAAGCCTAGGAAGCTAATTTTAACTGGTACCCAAACGAGTCTAAGACAGCCAGCCAGGTGTTAGCTCTAGGGCAGCAGACCCAGCCACGCGGACACTGCTGCTGTCTTTCCCCCCAGGACCTTCTCCTGGGGTCACATCTCCAGATGTGTGCACCTGAGAGCAGTCTGACCTCACTCCCCTCCTTGACAAGCACGGAAGAGACAAACAAGAGGACCCTTCCCTAGTGACAAGAACCCTGCACACCAAGCCCCTCGAAGGGCCTTTTCTACTTACTGCCCACAGGTTCCCCGCTCCAGCTGACTCTCTCCAGGTCATCGTCATCGTCGTCATCCACGAAGTCTCGGAGGCTATTCACTGCGCGCTTGGACTCCTTTAACTGCAGGGAGCATAAGGCAGGACATTCAGGCAATCGGCACTTCCCGCCCTTTTCTTTGAAACCAAAAGGCTGAGGAATTGGAACCTGAAGATGGCCAATGCTTTCTTTCACCTTCTGTAATGGAATGTCTAGCCTGCTAAATATTGCCGAGAAGACAAACTGGTTTTTAGCCTATGCTGCAATCCGGGGGCAAAGGAGTGGGGAGGACTCGGAGCCTTTTGATTTCTAATCACATTCCTGGAAGTGCCTTGCAGTGTAAACCTGAGTGAGCTTATCCACCTCTCTGAAAATGAACGTTCCCCCGTCTGTAAAACAGACAAACACAAAACTTTCTATCCAATCCATCTTTCAAGTAGAATAAATTATATCCCATGATAAAAGACTTTAGGTTCTTAGGGAGAAAAAACAGAAAGAAATAAATTATCTTAAGAATATAAAGACAGAGAGTTGGTTTTTACATTCCTTCTGGTTCTTTTTTTTTAACATTTTTTTAATTTTATTGATTATGCCTTTATATTTGTTCTATTCCCCTCCTCCATTCCCCCCACCCTGCACACCCCTCCCCCACCATTCCCCCCTTTAGTTTATGACCACGTGTCTCAAGTTCTTTCGATTCTGTTTCTCCTACTATTCTTACCCTCCCCCTATCTATTTTCTACCTACAGTTTATGCTACTTATTTTCTGTACCTTCTCCTTCTCCCACTCCCCTGTTGCTAACCCTCCATGTGATCTTCATTTCCATGGTTCTGCTCCTGATCTAGCTGTCCTCTTAGTTTGCTTTTGTTTTAGGTGTGGTTGTTAATAACTGTGAGTTTGCTGTCCTTTCACTGTTCATCTTTTTTATCTTCTTTTTCTTAGGTAAGTCCCTTTAACATTTCATATAATAAGGGCTTGGTGATGATGAACTCCTTGACTTTGATCTGATCTGAGAAGTACTTTATCTGTCCTTCCATTCTAAATGAAAACTTTGCTGGATAGAGCAATCTTGGTTGTAGGTCCTTGGCTTTCATGACTTGGAATACTTCTTTTTAGCGCCTTCTTGCCTGTAAGGTCTCTTTTGAGAAATCAGCTGACAGTCTGATGGGAACTCCTTTGTGACTGTCCCCATATCTCTTGCTGCTTCTAGGATTCTCTCCTTCATTTTAATCTTGGCTAATATACAATGATGATGTGCCTTGGTGTGTTCCTTCTTGGGTCCAACTTCTTTGGGACTCTCTGAACTTCCTGGATTTCCTGGAAGTCTATTGCCTTTGCCAGAATGGGGAAGTTCTCTTTTATTATTTATTCAAATAAGGTTTCCACTCGTGGCTGTTCCTCTTCCCCTTCTGGTACCCCTCTAATTCAGATGTTGGAGCGTTTAAAGATGTCCTGGAGGTTCCTAAGCCTCTCATTTTTTTGAATTCTTGTTTCTTCATATTTTTCTGTTTGGTCATTTTTTTCTTCCTTCTGGTCTGCTCCCTTGATTTGAGTCCCAGTTTCCTTTTCATCACTATTGGTTTCCTGTGCATTACCATTCATTTCAATTAGTTTAGCTTTCATATGTTCCTCTAATTTGTGACTAAAATCAACCAGTTCTGTGAGGATCCTGATCACCAGTGTTTTGAACTGTGCATCTGAAACTTTGGCTATTTCTTCATCACTTCGATTTATTGGCTCTGGGGCTCTGAGTTGTTCTTGAGCCATGTTTTGATCTGTTCGTGCCTGTTATGTATGAGGAGAGGTGCCTTGGTGTTTACCGGGGTGGGACCACCCAGGTCGCAGGTTTGTGATGCTGTATGTGGGGGTGGGGTCAGAGAGGGAGCAATGGCGGTCCTCTCTGCTTGCCCAGTCCACCTCACCGCTCACCCTGCTTGCTTATCTGAGTGGAAATGTGCGAGCCCGCCACCCTGCGCCAGCTGCCGGGGCCTGCGCGATCTGTCTCAGTGCTCGCCTCTTCACTGGTTTATCTGCGTGCAAATGCGCGACCGACTGCAGACAGCCAGCGGTGCCTCTTCCCTGGGTTCCGCCGGTAGCTAGCCCGCGCCTGGAATCCGAGCCCTCGGCTGCCTGTGCACCACCCGGGGGATCTTTTTTGCTTCACCCGCTCTGCTGCTGGCTCCACCCCTCTCACCAGTTTAGCTGAGCAGTTCGCTGTTTTCAGACTCCGTATTCGATTTTCTGTGTGGTTTGATTGCGTTTATTGTTGTTAAAACTTTGTTGCTTTTAGATTTGGTTGTGCGAGGATACAAAGTGTTCCCACCTACGCCTCCATCTTGGCGGACGTCCCTCCTTCTGATTCTTTTCTGAGGGTTCTCCTTCATGAACATTTTTCTAAAGATCTGATCCAAAGACCTAAGGGAGACCTGGCCAAAAGCCAGACTATCAACTGCATAAGGGGAAGGAATTTTAGAAGCACTGTAGACCTCTAGAGGTGAGGGTGAGACCTTCAGCATCTGTTCACAGAAACCTACCTGTGAGAGCTCATCATCTTCATCATCAAAAGTGAAAGCCTTGAACTTGGAGCTGTTCCAATATTCCTCCTCATCACCTTTTGTCCGATTCATCTGTAGTGAGAGGAAGACCAATATACGTCCCTTTCTAGGTTCCCCACCCACCCACCCAAACTACAAACTCCCTGCAGTAATCAGGGGCTGTGTAAAAGGACATGGTAAAGCAAAAGCTGAACTTGCCATGTAAAACCAGATCCTTGGGTATCCAACTGATCAAACCATACTTTTGATCAAGTTACCCACAAGCTGCCGTTCATCCCTAGAATCCCTACTTTGTTCAAGGCACTCTCTCAGGCGTCACAAGGAATATTTAAAAAGGCCAAGACAGTTCCTCTCCTGAGGGACCCTGTAACAGAGCTGGAATATTCAGCATAGGTACGCAGAGAGTTAATAGCACAAGGCAGTGCCAACTTTGCTGAATATGCAAGGCCACAGCATAAGCAAACAGAGCGTAACTGCATTCCTGTGTTCAACAGACCCCTGAGTGCCATGTCTGAGGAGCTCTTCCAGGCCCCGGAAGCACGGCAGTGAATAAAACGGACACGTGTCTTACTCTCATGTCTGCTTGGGAAATGCCTGAAAGAACAAAGGCGATTAAAAGCACAATTACCCTGTCTGTATCTTTAAATCTTCATTAATTTATTAATAAGTATCTGCCCAAACTTGAGAAACGTGGGCATGGAAAGAAACAAGCCAACAACAAATATATAAAGAATTGGTCCAAAGACCACAAATCCCTCTTATAACTGCTCTAAAATTAAATTTGTCTGAAAAAAAAATTTGCCCTAGAATTACAAACTCAGTTATCAATGCCAACTGGATTAATGTGAAAACCAGTTTAGTCCAAGGACTAGGTCTAAAACTTAACAGCACCAAAAATAACTCCAAGGGCTCCACAGTGTCAGATTCTCAAGGACCAATTCCTGATCCCTTTCCATTCTAGTGAACTCAGATGTAACTTAAAAATGGTTTTGCATCCTTAATTCCATGGAGTCAAAACCAAATAAAAAGCTAACAATGAACTCATCCCTTGTAGTGGTACAAACATAGGCTTTATCGTCAGGTACCCTTGAGTTCAAATCTTAGTTTCTCCAATTCTGAGCGAAGTGGGGGAAAAAATTTTATTTCTAAGCCTTGGAGAGCATGATATTCTACCTACACAGGGTTGCAGTGAAGAATAAATAGGACTTGGGAAACACCTAACAAAGTACCTAGCATTTTACTGACATCTTCCTCTCTGTTTCCTCATCTGTAAAATGGGCATTAATAATAGAAACCTACCACCCTGGCCAGGAGCTCAGTTGATTGCAGCGTTATCCCATGCACCAAAAGGCTGCAGACTCCATTCCTGGTAAGGGCATATACCTAGGTTGCAGGTTCAATCCCCCAGTCAGGGCACATACAGAAAGCAACCAATCAATGTTTCTCTCTCTCTCAAATCAATAAACATATCCTCCAGCGAGGATTAAAAATAAGTAAATAATAGAAACCTACCTTACAGGATTGTTTTGAGGCCTAAACCAGTTAATACAGGCCTGACGCAAAATTAATGCTCAGTATTAACTTTATTACTAATAAATTATAGTACCTCGGAAGAAGTTAGAAAGAAAACATTTTTAAGTAATCCTCAAGATTAAAAGAAACTAATTTGATTCAAAAATTCTCAGCGGCCATCACAAACACTGCAGGTGCACACAGAGCATATATTGTAAATGTCTCTGCTACTGGTGCCAACTTATAAAGGACCCTCAGAAGAAAATGGTAAGGGAGGCCGGGCAGACTCCACTTCCACTTCACCGAGGGAAGAAGCAAGGCACACAAGGATCAGGTACCCAGGCCACCTCGCTGGTTTAGGGCCTCCTGGGCCATTTCCACTCTGACTGGCATGGTCCTATTTTGCACTCTAGGGACAACTAGGGCAGGCCATTCTTCGCTATAGTAAATAAGCATCTGTAAATATCTACAGATTGGCATAGACTCTATCTGACAAACCCAAATCCACCAGAGGGATTTCTGGAATCTCTTCTCAACCATGCAACTTGGATGGATACTTGACAACCTGTCTATTGCCAAATCAGAATGTAGATTTACTTGGCAAGTAAAGAGGTAAAGATTTAATAACTCCAGAAGTTATAAAGCAACCAGGTACAATCTTAAGAATGATGGAGTAAGGTGTTTTAACATGATTTAAAAATACTTGAGGCTTGTCGTTATTGGCACCTGTTTAATAAGAGCCCACGAGGGGAGAACAGAAGAAACGTGAAAAAGAAACGCAGAAAGCACAGGGGGGAAAAAAACCCCACAACTAACACGTTTCCCCGCCTCAGGACATCCCAGAAACCAGCTACTGAGAAGTTAGATTCAAATGCAGTCAGTTATCCTCTTCTAAACCAGTCCTACATGGATGAGGGTATGAACCGAAACCAGGGAATGTGAGTTAAACTAGGGGCGAACGTCCAGGAAGTCTTGGATCCACCGCAGCTGCCAGGGCCCAGTGGATTCTTGATATACTAAATACTCGTTTAAAAGCAAATGTCGGGGCTGAATTCCAGCTCCAACCCTGAGAGTACTCTGGTCTCCCTGCCAGGGGTCGCTCGGACCGGAAAAGAGTCAGGCCTTGGGGGAGTGTAAGGACGCCTTAAAGAATTAGGTGGAAAGAATCAGGGTGCGAAGAGGCTGGATTGAGCCAAATACACAGCACAAGGGGTTCGGGACACCCTCACCTCTTCCACACGGAGCCCTCCTAATCAGGAAAGCGCCAGACTCTTCCGCCGCCAGACAAGCCCTTCTACACTGGCTGTGCGGCATAAAATAGGGCGGAAGGGGAGAGTCGAGGGGAGGCGCTGCGGTCAGAGGGAACCAGTAGCAGGAATGATGCCGCAGGGCATGCTGGGAGTTGTAGTTTCTTACTGCTCTGATGTCAGGCACTGGCTGGACAAGCCACGGGGCTAATTAACTACAGCTCCCAGAACTGCCAGCTTACGTTGCTTAAGTGTTTCCTTCACTTTTAACGCGACCTTCCGTATTCATCCAGCGGGTCACGCAACAAGACTACAACTCCCAGGAGGCTTAGCAGGGGCGACTCGTGGCCCAGGGAAACAATGAGACATGTTCTTTGGGTACCCACGGATAACAAATGGTCGAATGAGGGACGGCATTTCGGGGCCTTTCGGGGAGAACCTGAAGGAGCCTGAAAGAACCCTAGCAGAGGCGGAAGCCAAGGTCTGGCACGGTGGAACGGAAGTTCGGATGGGAGTTAGGAGGAGCCGGAAGTTAAGGCCGGTAGGGGGCGGGGGTTGGAGGGAAAAGCGAGCCAGAAGGTTCTGCGGCCGCTTCTAGTAGTTTCCAGGCGCTGCTGGGTGGCGGGGAGCAGGCGGTGCTGAGGTGGTGTCTGTGGCTGCTCAGACCTGGTGGCGGCGCGACTGTGGCCAGGCAGTACTGAAGTCGTGGCTGTGGTTGCTCGGGACTTGGTGACGGCGCGATAAGAGAGCCGATGGCCAAGTGGGGTGAGGGTGACCCACGCTGGATCGTGGAGGAGCGGGCGGACGCCACCAACGTCAACAACTGGCACTGGTGAGGGCTAGCGGGCCAGGCCACGGGAGCATTGCAGTTGGGTCAGGGTGGCGGGGTCTCTGGAACCTCTGCTGGGACAAAGCTGGGGCCGAGGCAGCCCTGACTGGAGATAGGGGTGGGTTCTTGTTGTTCCGGCTGTCCGTAGCCCCATGCCTCCCCCGGCCGCCGTTTCAGTGTTTAAGGGGTTAGGGGCCAGGTGGAGGGCTGTCCCTAGAAGAGAGGTTTCAAAGAGGTGGAAACATAACTCCCTAGCTTCTGCCACCAACCTGAGCAGAGAGAGATAACCCACACGTGGTCAGAGGAGACAGTGTGACCCAGACGGGGGCCCTGGGTTGTGTCGGGAGGTTTCTGTGCAAGGCTCGGGGACCGGGTGGCTGGAATTCCTGTTTTGCGGTTTGCGGGTGAAATTAAAAGTCGTAGGAACGGCAGCTTCAGCCCGGAAAGCGGAGGTTCGGAACGTGTTCTCCAGGTGCTCGGAGCTCCGCGGAAGACGCCCGGCCTCTCCCCCGGAACTGTTAGGTTGCATGTGTTGTAACTCCGGTGACTGCCCCTGGTTGCCGGGCAAGCGTGCTTTTAGAAGCTAGCTACTCTTTCAATGCCTGCTCTCCTTCACGAAGTCTTCCAGAAGTAGTTTCGGTCTTTTACAACTCCACTGAACTTTGTTCATTATGTTGTTACTTCGTTTTTTACTTTGTTGCAGCTTTTTTCTCTACTGGTTAATAAGTCTTGAGGCAGATAGTGATTTTTCCTTTCTGTATCTTTTTGTTTGTTTTGAAGCCCTAGACTAACATTGTTTTTATGGCCATCTAGAGGGCACATGGCGTGTAGGGGGCACACAGTGTGTGGGGCATTCACAGCACAACCTGAACTTGACAGCTCAGAACACGGTGCTAATTGGGTCAAGCTCATTGGTTTGTTCCTTCCAGGACTTTTTATGGATTGCAGGGCCCAGGCTGTGCTCCCAACTTAAGCAAGACATGCACAGTCCCCCTTGGTCAGGTGGCACCGTGTTAAGGTGTTAGACGCTGTCCTGGCATCGCTGGTTGAGTTTGTGACACTCTGTGGGGAGGTTGTCTTCGTTGACAGTATGTAACTCCTTGTCTTCCTGAAACAGTGACACAGTTGTGGACTCACTGGAGTGGGAGCGAGGGGTTTTTGTTTTCCAGCTGTTTGTCAGGCCTCTTGAGTAGAGCAAGCAGAGCGCTCTTTGGCTGCTGGTCCATAGCCTTGTTCCTATTTTGCAGGACAGAGAGGGATGCTTCAAATTGGTCCACGGAAAAACTGAAAACACTGTTCCTGGCAGTGCAGGTACAAAATGAGGAAGGCAAGTGTGAGGTGACGGAAGTGAACAAACTTGATGGAGAGGCATCCATTAACAATCGCAAAGGCAAGCTTATCTTCTTCTACGAGTGGTCCGTCAAACTAAACTGGACAGGTAAGTCTCTGCTGCACTGTCAGGAAGTAGGTTCACTGCATTCTGCGGACCTGTTCGGGAGCTGGACAGAACAGGCTTTGAGGGCTTATGACCTTTTCAAGGAAGATAGTGCTGTCCTGGTGCCCTGCAGAAAGTGGTGTTATGTGCTGAAATTTCTCTGCCAGCGCCGGACACTAAGTAGGTTTCCTCCGAGTCTCAGGAGTCACTGCCGGCAAATCGGTTGTGCCCCTGCATTTTGGGGGCTTGGTCTGTGTGAGTACACGTTAAGTGACTTCCTCAAACTAGCTTCTCTTGTCACTTGGATGATTTAAAAGTGGGGAGGGGGAGCTTTTTTGTCATCATCTTATCTACTGGCTTCCCTGTGCATCTAACAGGTCAGACCACTATGCTAATGTGGGGCGGGTTTGTCCTCTAGTTTACTGTCTCCTCTGCGATACTAGCAAAGAATCCAGACCGTGCATACGTCCCACTAGAGGGTCTTTCAGTCGGGAGGCTGAGTTTTACAAGGCCCGAGAGCTAATGAAGTGTATGTACGGGGCAAAGCATAAAATAAATTTTTCCTTCAGTGCATGTTTCTTGAATGGTAAAAAAGAAGGGAAAAGTAGTTGTATCAGGGAGGGTTTTGTTTTAACTACTAAAGCACAGTAGTCTAAAAAGAACCTTAGAAATCATCGTGCCCCGTCCTCTTTCCACGGACTGAGAAAAGGGGCCCAGTAAAGTGGGAAAAAGTAAATGTTTTGTTGATTAATTTTGAAGTATGGCCGGTTCTGCCACAGTGTGACATGTGTGCTCCTAAAAATCACTGCGGTACGAGTTCGCTCGATGAAAACCACAAAGCTTACTGAAAAAAGAGGGTTAGGCCCACAGTACAACACCCAAAAGCTTCATCAGTGGCATGGTTTTAAAATTTCAGGAATGTAAAAATTGCTAGCAGTTTTAAACATGTAAAATGGTAAGAAATACGGAAATAATACAGTAAGTGCGAGGCCTCACTTTGAAAGCGACCTGGCGGGTACCTGGGAAAGTGGGCCTCAGGAGCTGGGGCTGGTGCGTCCGTGAAGCAGTGCGAGGGAGTCTTCTGCAGCCAGAGGAACTTGGTAACAGCAGCTGTGGGCGGCATGGCTTGCAGCAGGCACGGTGCACTGAGGTCACCGGCAAAGCAGTGTTCGTTCACCTAGTGTTGCTCATGGGTATAAGCGAATGTGAACATGCATGTTAGATCAAATGCCCCCTAATTGGAACAAGTTTGTATGTTCAAAATAAGCATTCTAGTGGAACTGACCGTATTGGCTGTTGACCCAAAGTCTTCCCTGGTAGAATTCATGCAGCTCTTGGCCCCACACTGTAAAAATACCCTTGGTTCCAAAAAATTGGATAAGAGAAGACATTTTTTTCCTAAGGGGGAAGGTTGGGTGTGCCTGGTGCATCACATTTTCTCAGGATAAAGAGGGCCAGTTCACTTGTCCGAAAGAAGGGTGAGCAGAGTAGTAGTAAGGGCTCCAGAGCAGACAACTTTTTTTTCAGAGAAGATTGCATTGCTCTTGACAGGTACCTCTAAGTCTGGAGTGCAGTTCAAGGGACACGTGGAGATCCCCAATTTGTCTGATGAAAACAGCGTGGATGAAGTAGAGGTTTGTGCTTCCTAAGTCCTCACCTGAGTCTTCCACATCCTCTTATTCCCAGGGGAGATAAGTGAGCTGTCATTCAAAAATAAAGCCCAGGCATTCAGAACCCCAGTCTGCAGATGACTTTCTAGGTCAGTGGTGCTGCTGGGAGCTTCCAGAGCAGCTTGTGCTTGCGTAGTAACTTTGTGTTAGCTAGTGACGTGGGTCCTAACATCAGCCACCTTTGCCTTGGCAGAGAGAACTTGAGAAGGAACACTCCTGGGGACCGTGCAGATACCCCACTTCTCACACATTTTCTTTGGAAACATCAGTTACCTGATTGCTCAGCACCCACATTCCACAGTGTAGGTACTCTCAAGTATTTACTACCTACTTCTGATCTTTCACTCAGATTAGTGTGAGCCTTGCCAAAGATGAGCCTGACACAAATCTCGTGGCCTTAATGAAAGAAGAAGGGGTGAAACTTCTCAGAGAAGCAATGGGAATTTACATCAGCACCCTCAAAACAGGTATCCCTTGAGTAGTTGCATATGCTTCGAGGAGAGAGTTTTCCACCTGCCAGACTCTGATTAAGGGGCTTGATAGTCCTTTCTTTGACACATGGGTAAAGATTTGGGGGGAGGGGCTTGTTTCATCTTGAGGACAGTCTGTTAACTCTCGAGTACGGGAAAGACCTGCAGCTGCATTGTCCGATACGTTGGCTGTGGAGTGATTGAAATGTGGCCAGTCCAAATAGATGTACATTGAGTGTAAACTACAGTGGATTTTGAAGACTTGGTACAAAAAATGTAAAATACCAATTTTTTGATAACAATATTTTGAAGTGATAGTTTGGGTATATTGGATTAAATAAATTATTGAAATTAGTTTTCCCTGTGTAACTTTTTTATGTGGCTGCTGGGAATTTTTAAAATATACTTGAGGCTGACGTTCTATTTCTGTTGGACAGCGCTGATCTAAAGACTTGGCATCCCGAGACTTGCTACTTGGGCACTGGAGTATCTGTAATGTGCATTCTCCAGGGACAGTTAGAGGGTGATTAGGATACTAACCAGCTCAGCCCTCCCCTAGAGTTCCAGTTCCGCCGTCAGCTTTCACCTGGTGGAGTGCACGTGATGACCGTCAGGGAACCAGCGTCGAGGTGGGACCCAGAGTTCCGATCCCATAACTAGTGATTAGCTGCTCTCCAGCCGTGAGGCGGAGTGGAGGTGGGCACCGCACGTTCGTCCTCGGGTGTCTTTCCCCACTTGAGGCTCGTTGGAAATGCAGCTGCGTTCATCGGCTGCCATCCGGGAGAGACTTCACGTGTGTTTAACAAGTTGCAATGCTTCCATTCGCATCAGGTGTAAAATAATCCTGGTGAACATACTACATTCTATAGCCTACAGTCAGGTACCTGTCTGGCATGGACCAAAGATAAAAATGTGAAGTAGATAGACCCTTTCCTGGTCATTACTTCGTTCTGGGTTCAGGTGGCCATGTTTGTTAAGCTGCTCGAAGCCTCGGAACTCAGCTCCTGTAAGAAATAACTTCCAAGAGCTGGGGTTTTTGTCTTTCCAGAGTTCACGCAGGGCATGATCTTGCCTACACTGAATGGAGAGTCAGTAGACCAAAACGCTCGGCCCGCACTGAGAACTGAGGAGCCCAGGGTAAACCGTCTTCCCGTGTGGCGGGGTGGGAGGCCTGCCGGAGCGGTAGCTGAGACACTGCTGCCGCCTCAGTTCTAGCTTTCTCTCTGACCCTGACCACTGTGCCACAGCTCTTTAGTCTGCAACCTGTAGTCAGTCTGCCTGTCTTTCACTTGGTTTTTATTCATTTACAAGTATTGCTAGAGCAAATGGAATCCGTTAGGGACTTGAAAGTCTAACTCTCAGTTGCATTTTACTTGTTTATTTATGTAAAGATTTTACTTTTTTTAGAGAGGGGGGGAAGGGAGGAAGAAAGGGAGAAAAACATCAATGTGTGAGACATCAGTCGGTTGCCTCTTTCGCACCCCCTACTGGGGACCTGGCCTGCAACCCAGACTTGTGCCCTGACTGGGAATAGAACCGGCAACCTTTTGGCTTGCAAGCCAGTGCTTAAGCCACTGAGCTGCACTGGCCAGGGCTCTTGATTGCATTTTACACCAGTTACGTTGAGAACACAGGATGGTCTTCACCCATATTTGTCCTCACCCATATTTGTCCTCAGTATTATTTCCAGCTGGGGTATTGGTGTTTCATACTTTGATATTAGAGATTTCTTCAAGGTACTGGGTTAGATCACTAGCTTCACCTAGCAGGAAATTGATTGATTTCACCCCATTGGCAGGGTGAGCAAATATTTTTTTCTGGAAATGGAACTTGCATAGATCAGAGTCAGCACTCAGTTTTCAGCCCTAATGCCCTTTGTCAGCACGGTGAAGGATATTTTGGAGAAGGGGGCGGGTTTGGGGTTGTTGCATCCAGCTATTTAGTAGAAATTCTGTTGGGGAATCACACTGCGCTCTTCAGAAATGCCTGATGGTCTATTGTAACGTGTCCTTTGGCTGATGGGGTCTTAAAGCAGTCTCAGTCGTCCCTCATTGAAGTGGTTGTTTTCCGTGGAAATTGAACGTTTTCCAGAAAAGCTTCCCTTGTGACTGAAACACCCATACACAGAAATGCCCCCCAACCCTGTAGTAATTAGCCTTGGAGTGGAAAAGTCGGGGAGCGTAGATGGCAGGTTTTTGACCCTGAAGCCGTGTTAATTGAGGTTTCATCATTACTGTGAACTGACTATTTCCACTGTGACTTCACAGGTTAAATCTGCTCCTTCAAAAGCCCAGGCCACACCAGTTGGTGTCAGAATCCCCACTTGTAAGATCACCCTTAGAGACACCTTCCTGACGTCACCAGAGGAGCTCTATCGAGTGCTTACCACCCAGGAGGTGAGTGTGAGCTACCCCTCGGCCTCGTGGCGCCTGCCACTCCCAGTGGCGTGGATTGTGGTACCACGAGGCTTTCCTCATACAAGCAGAGGCAAAGGAAAACCTGTTTCAGTTCAGCCCACGCCTCAACAGGCATTTGCCCTCTTCTTTATCACCTGTACTACCTTGGGGTCATCTAAGTGGGAACCACTGGGAATCACTGTTTTTAGAAAACGGGCTGAAGTAATGTTGGGTAGATTCTGAATCACTCAGAGCAAAGCGAGGTCTGTGGTGGAACAGAACTGAACCTGAGCCTGGTCATTGGACAAGGAGGTGTCTTTGGGATGAGAGCTGAGGCATGCCTCTTCTCCCCGCCTCATTCTTCTTCTTCTTTTCCCCCCTGCAGCTGGTCCAGGCCTTTACCCATGCTCCTGCAGTGTTAGAAGCAGACAAAGGAGGGAAGTTCCAGCTGGTAGATGGCAACGTCACTGGGGAATTCACTGATCTGGTGAGTACCTGCTGGCCCCGGGCCCAGGGTGCACCCTTTGCCTGGTCAGAAGAGTAACGTTTCTCTTTTTCCCAGCTCTGTGGGTGTAACTTAAGCCTTTAATCTCCGGTTAGTACCACTTCGTTTTGTTTTGTTTTCCCAAGAGAATGCTGCCATTTGAATTCTTTGGCTTTCCCAAAATTTTCTCCTTAAAGGAGTGAAAATTGGTTCTTCTTAGGAGAACTAATAGAAGAAAGGTTGTATATATTGGTGGCTTGTGGCCTTCCACTTGCTGCACTGAAACGTCACCTGGACCCAGTGGACCAGACGCAACTTAGGAGTCAGAGGAGGCACTAGGCATAACCGTACTTTCACTGCGGAGGCTGCCCGCTCTGGTCTGCTTTGTCCTTGTAAGTGGTATCCCTGCACAGCTGATAGATTCCGTGGGAAGGGCAGATAGCCTGTCTAGCCAGGCTTGGATACATTGATATATAGGAGGGTTTTTCTTTTTCTTTTTTAAATTTCATTTGTTGATCTTGAGAAAAAAGAGAATCAGGTTGTTGTTCTGCTTACTTATTAATGCATTCATTGATTGCACCTTGTGTGGCCCCGACCGGAGCTCAGACCCACAGCCTTGGTGTGCTGGGACAGCACTCCAACCAGCCGAACTGGCCAGGGCCCATGGCAGCCATTCTCAACCAGTGCGCCACAAGAATTTTTAAAACCTGCATTCCCTGCCGGTTTAGTCAGGCCACTGACCTCTTTTCCCTTGAACTGTCAGATAAAAAAATGACAGCGGCCAACCCAACAATAGCCATCTGGTGTGAACTGAATAAAAATTACGTGTGTGTATGTGTGTCTCACATTGGCAAAAACAGATTGATTGGTGTACTGTAGAATTTTAGTAATTAGTTTACGTGTGTCGTGAGGTGAAAGATGGAAAAGGTTGGGAATTGCTGGACTGGAGTACGGGCTGACCTCTTTGGTTGTCGTAGGTGCCTGAGAAACATATTGTGATGAAGTGGAGGTTTAAATCTTGGCCAGAAGGTAAGCAGGCAAACTTGTTTATTGCCACTGAGCCCAGAAATTTCCCCTTAGTCTCAAACACCTGGCCTGAAACCCCCTCCCCCCCCTTTTCCTCAGGGCACTTTGCCACCATCACCTTGACCTTCATTGACAAGAATGGAGAGACTGAACTGTGCATGGAAGGCCGAGGCATTCCCGCCCCTGAGGAGGAGAGGACACGGCAGGGTTGGCAGCGCTACTACTTCGAGGGCATCAAACAGACCTTCGGCTATGGCGCACGCTTGCTTTAGGGCTGGCAGCGGGAGCTTCAGCTTGCCCGACACTTCAGTCCAGCCCTCTCCTGACTGAGGCTTGACTCACAGGATTGCACCATCCCAACCACTAACTTGGGGCCGGGGCCCTTCCCTCCACATATACCTTGGGTTTGTGCATGTTTTCTGCTGGGTGGGATTAGAGGGCGATTTCTCTTTTACGTGTACATATGCTAAGTAAACGTAATTTAAAAAACGTGCATCATCTGGATCCTGTGTTGATTGAATGGCTGTTACTAAGAATTTCCTTGAAGGTTCTGAATTTTATAGAAAACTGGAGGGTTGGGATAAGGCCTCGACTGCAGTCTGGAGAAGTGGATGTAACTGGGAGTGTGCCTGTCACCACGCATGCTGCAGACTGGCAGAACGCGCTGTTCCCTCACTGAGGGAAGGGGAAGCGGGCTGCTGCGCTGGGTTAACCTGCGCCGGCACCACTGGCAGAGGCGGCATCCCGGGCCTTCACTCTCTCTAGCCTTTTAACCTCTTACAAGAACGGTGACCACCAGGTGCGATTTGAGATGTGGACAGAGATTCCCACCCTGTGGTGGAGAACTGTTCACCTTAACAGTTACTGTGTATCGGACATGACTCTAGTTTCCTTGTGTTGGCTCATTTAACCCCCAAGAGCCCTATGAAGTAACATATGTTGCCATGTATAATGTGTACTTCCTCCCAGTGTTTTGAGAGAAATAAGGATGCACATTACACATGGATATAACAATCTTACAAGAACCTTAGCCTTGGATTTCTTAAAATATCCAACACCCAACTGGTAGTAGCAGAGTTGGGATTTGGAAGAAGGGCCATAACTGCAGAGGCAGTGTTCAAGTCTAAACCACTACATCTGCTTCTTCCCAGCTTGTCTTCCCTGTACTAGGGCAGACTTGAGCTGTCTGCCCCACCCCTGGGTCCGGAGCACCACGGCTGCTGAGCCAGCCACTGCGGCGGTGGACACACTGACGTGAGCACCTCAGCAGCTTGGCGGCCCTGTGTCCCCTGATGTCACATTTCTAGCTGCAGCTTCCAACCAGTGCCATTTCAAGGGACATCCACACAGCAACCAAGGTCGTTGGGGCAGGGGCTGCCACAGTGGGGGTGGCAGGCCCTGGGGCTGGAATTGGGACTGTCTTTGGGAGCCTCACCATTGGTGATGCCAGGAACCCTTCTCTGAAGCAACAGCTCTTCTCCTAGGCCATGCTGGACTTCGCCCTCTGTGAGGCCACCATCAGGTGGTGGTGGCCTTTCTCACCCTCTTCGCCATGCGAAGGAGTGATCAGCTCCTCCACATCTGGTCTGCCCTGCGTGTTCTTTTCCCACACCTCCCCAGGTTGGCTCAGGGTCCGACAGATACTGTAAGGTAACAAACCGACAACTACGTCTACTGCCTTGTCATTGGGTTCATGGTTCATTTCTGCAAAGCTGCTGAATTTTAGTGTATTAGGCATCCCTCCTGGTGTAGGGAATTCCAGGCCTCAGTACTCCCCGAAAGAGGACGAAATGAATGTTTTAAACACCTTGTTGGGTTAAACAAGCTTGCTGAGGTGCTGGGGGTGTGCACTAGTGGGCTCACCTCGCTGTGTTGCAGGGGCAGGGACCACCCCCTTCCCCAGGCAAGCCCTGCCCTGGCATCCTGCACCCAGGGCGAGTCAGCGACCACAGGTCCAGACACTGCCTCCCGCAGCGACCGCTATTTTCCTCCTCCTATTTTGCCTGTTTTATTAGGTGGCAGGCCTGCAGGCGAATCCCACCAAAATGACTTGGCCAAAACGTGCAGTTAAAACAGAAAAGCAGCACTAGCCAGGATAATGTAGATCCTCAACAGCCACTTTTGTCTGGAATTATTCAAACAAAAGCCTGACCGAACTAGTCTGCACCTAATTCAGCATTCTCTCTGTTCCCCTGGGGGTCCCAAAAGACACCTGTTGATAACAAGCCTGGACTGGCCTTGGCCAGTGTGGTTCAGTCGGCTGGAGCGTCATCCCGTCACTGAAAGGTGGTGGGTTCAGTTCCCCGTCAGGGCACATGCCTGGGTTGTGGGTTTGATCCCCGTCTGGGTGTGTATGGAAGGCAAGCAGGCGATGCCTTCTTTTGCATCAGTGTTTCCCATTCTCCCTTCCTCTCTATGAGCAATGAAAAACAAAAACCCTGGACTCTAGCTTAAATTCACAGGCCCCTCCTAACACAGACCCCACTCCTAACAGAGACCAGTGACAAAAAAGGAGCCCTTTCACACCTGGCTGGAGAGTTACCAATTCCAGAAAAGGACACTAACAAGTCCAGAAATAGAGTTTCCTAACACCTTCACACAATCAAACACCAAAGCACCAAGCTGAGAATCTGCCATGTGAAGTAACAGGCCACGCCCCCAGCACCAGCACCCACGGCTGTTCCAGTTTTCACTGCTGCCCTTTGACTGCATTAGCTGCTGCATCTACAAGGCAGAAGGATGCAACTAAAAACTGTGGACTTGGTTGGACTTGGGTGGGAATGGTAAATACGCCACTTCCTAACAAATGGGACGAATTGCCTCAACTGCATTGTGGGTACACCAGGTGCCTTGTGAGCATTCGAACTGATGGACTCGTAAATGCTGGCAACTGGCGGCACTCGGCAAACACACCTGCTACTTCTGTGCTCGTGAGCCCAGGCGTTTTCCCTGGAGGGGGAATTGTTTGAAAAGATGTTTAATAGGCCAAATTGCAAATCCTAGGCCAAGAAGTCACCTCACATAAGAACACCTATTAAATGTAGAAAGTGAACCTCACCTCTAGAGATTCTCACTCAGTAGGTAGGCCCATGAACTTGCTCAACTTTTTAAAAAAATTATTGATTTTCAAGAGGAAATAGAGGGGGAAGAGAGAGAGAGAAACATCAACCAGTTGCCTCTCATACGTACCCCAATTGGGGGTCGAACCCACAACCTAGGCATGTGTCCTGGATGGGAATTGAACCTGTAACCTTGCAGTTACAGGACGAGACCCTCCAGCCAACTAAGCCACGAGGCCAGGGCATGAACTTTCAGTTTAATGAACATCGCAGCTGATTTCACTATCAGGAATCAAGCTTGAGAAGTGCCTCGGCATGTGAAGAAAATCTCGTTGTACTGGGAGGGCCAACACAGCACACCTGGGTCCCTTTTGTGAATGACAGGACGCAGGGGCGGAAGCATCCTGTCCTCCAGGAGACAAGTTTGTGCTGTTGGTTGTTTTAAGGCCTAGGAAGAATCCAATTTGACCAGTCTAACCTACCCTACGACCCTTCGATCGGAGGGGGAGGATTGGGCAAAACCCTCTTGGCGGCTGGAGCAGCTCAATGGGAAACAACTGCCATGGTCATAAGTGATACGTGGCCAGGGCGGCTCCCGGCATTTGGGACACAAAGAAGAGCAAATCACACCGGTGACGTGACTGGCACCGGATCAGAGTGGGGGGAGGCGCTCTCTGATTTCACGGCCCTCCTGGCCGATACCAGCTTCCCACAGGGGCTGGGCGCTCCCCCCCTCCGTTGTCCTCTCACACAGGTGTCCCCTAGGCCCGCAGTGACCTGTGGCATCTCTTTCTCTGCAGAGCCTGAACCATTTTAGAGCTGACCTACTCCCCAGCCCCTTCGAGGCTCCATTCAGCCCCTTGTCCTTCAATTTCTCTCATCCGTGGCCTGACAAGGTAGCAATTGAGCGTGTCACTAGGATTACAGATTAAAAATGGGACGGGCCAGATACTGTTCAGGTAATAAACAGCCATGAGGTACAGATTAAATTTAGACAGCGTGTGTAAGTGTCAAGGTAAGTTATATTAGAAAGGAGGGGAGCCTGGGCCAGGTAGTTAGTTCAGTTGGTTAGAGAGTCATCCCGATATGCCAAGGTTGTGAGTTCAATCCCCAGTCAGGGCACATACAAGAATCAACCCATAAATGCACATATTATAAATGGAACAACAAATCAATGTTTCTCTTCCTTTCTTCCCCTCCCTCTAAAAAAATCAATAAATTCAAAAGAAAAAGGAGGGGAATCTGCAGTTTTCTGTGAAAATAGACTCTAGGACAGGGTATCAAACTCATTTTCACTGGGGCCACATCAGCCTCACAGTTGCCTTCAAAGGGCCGAATGCAACTTTAGGACTGTGTAAATGTAACTGCTCCTTAACTGTTAAGTGAGAGCTCGGAGCTGCCGCCGGGCAGAAACAAGGCGCCGGGCTGGATTCGGACCTCAGGCCTTGTGCTTGCCACCTGTGCTCTAGGAAGTCTCTTACTTTCAAAGTGTCTGCTAGAAAATAATTAAAACATATCTATGCTAATTGTATTGAATCCCACAGCCGAGAGAGAGTACGAGCTTGGCTTCCATCTGGTGACCTAGGTATTTTCAGACTGTGGTCCAGGACCAGACTGAGGAACTTACCTCTGGGTGTGATGCTCAGCAGGAACGTGTGGCTCTCTGGGCTTCTCCAAGTGGCAGCTCGAAACACACCTTGCCTCATTCTTTATTTTTTTTTAAGAATTTATTTTTAGAGAGAGGGGGAGGGACAGAGAAAGAAAGGGAAAGAAACATGCAGCAGTTGTCTCTTATACGCCCCCCACCCAGGGACCGAGCCCACAGCCCAGGCATGTGCCCTGACTGGGAATCGAACCAGTTACTTTGGTTTGCAGGACGATGCGCAACAAACTGAGCCACACGGGTCAAGGCTTGCTCTACTTTCTGTTTCCTTGACGTGTCTCCTTCCTTCCCCAAAGGCCAGGAGTAATCACAAGAGTGTCTGGTAAGGGTACCAGCTAAGGCGGGGCACAGGTTCCCCCCCTGCCACCGTATAGGCACAGTCCTTGGGGCAGCTCTGTGCCAGATCCCCTTGCAGCGAGTTACCTGGGGAAGTGGGGCCACTTCCTCTGGAGTAAATGCAATTTACCTCTTTGACCAAAAACCACAGAGTGAAGGTGCCTCCCAGGCAGCCCTTTACAAGTGTGGGTGTGGCCTAATCTCTGCCCCCAGGGAGCTCCCTCTGCCCCGCTGGCTGAGTGGTCAACCGACACAACCTGTGGGGGCTGGGAGTTCAGCTTGGGCTGGAAGCAAAGGCTCGCCACCCAGCCCTGCACAGCTGGGCCCCGATTTCTTCGTCAGACAGAACTGGAAAGTAAAGAGCTTTATTGCCGAGGAGCCCAGAGAGCTTGGAGACAGCCTTCCAGGGGCTGGGAGTGAAATCCCCTACCTTGTGGAGGAGGCCTTTGTGGACTGGGACCACCGGGACTTCGGCATTCCGACCCCGTAGAAGGCAAGGAAGTGCAGGTTGGGGCCGTGCAGAGGCAGGAAGAGGCGCGAGCTGTCCTGGGAGATGGGACTGCGTGCATCTCTGCCCGACTCTGAGCTCAGTGCGTCCAGTGCCTTCACTGCGGGAGCCCAAAGTGGGCCGCGGCGGGAGTGTCTACACCACAGAAGGGGCCCCCTTCCCAGGGAACCTGGCACACTCCTGAGCTGGTTCTTAGTCTACCTTAAACCTGGCCGCAGTGACAGCTGGGGCGGTGCCATTTCCCAGCCCTGCCCACTCGGGCAACCTGGACGGAGCACAGGTGGGCTGGACGAAGGAAGAGGCCTGAACTGGGTGGTCCCTTCCCCACCTGAAGCCTGCATTGGCTTGGCTTGGCTACCTCGGCCTGTTTGTCCACTGATAGACTTCAGTCCCAGGCTGAAGCAGCAGCGTCCACTGAAAGGCAGCTCCAAGCCCGGGAGCAGCCTTCTGCTCGGCGGCTCCCAGCAGGCGGTGGGGCAAGAGGGCCAGGTGCAGGCCCTCAGGGAAAGCGGAGGGCTGGTTGCCCAGGGCTGACAAAGGGCAGCTGTGGGGTGGCTGCGGTGAAGGGCTGGCTCTCAGGGCTGGGGGTCTGAGCGAGTCACCACAGGCCCTGGAGACAGGCCGTGTGTGGCAGCCTGAGGGCCTGGCTCACAGCACTGTGCACACCCAGGGCAGGGGAGCCCAGCTACAGGGAGGGCAGAGGCATGAGTGGCCAGGCAGGGAGAGCGTCTCCTCGCAGGCAGGAGAGGGAGGCCCCACAGACAGATATCCCCACTGTACTCCTGGGCCTTGGGGCTGGGCTCCCGCCCCACAGCCTGGGGCCTGTGCACCCCTCAACCTTCTCTCCAACCCAACCCAGGTGCTGACCTGCCTGGGTTCACAGGCCGAGGGGCCGCCAGGAAAGCACCCCAGCCAGCGGCCCCCTCCTCAGTACTCCTTGGCCTCCTGCAGCTGGGCCAGGAACTCCTCCTCGGGAGGGTTGTCAGCGCAGGCTCGGCCATTGTTGGGGGGCCGTGCAACATGGTAGCGGCTCCAGTCCCCTTTACACAGGATCCAGGGCTGCTTGTCCACCCTGAAGTGCAGCTCAGGCGAGAAGTCAGTGCTGACGAGCTCCGGCGTGCCGGCGCCCTTGCCGCGGGTCAGCAGCCGGCTGCCTGCGTCATAGCAGCAGTGCTGGGCGGCCGGGGTGCTGCGGTCCCTGGACAGCAGGGAGCGCAGGCAGAGGCGAGCCGTGGGCTGGTACACGTCCAGGCGTTCTCTTGCGCCACTGGCGTCCTTCCACTGGAAGCTGCGGCCCTGGTGCTCGTCCTGCAGGCTCACGGCCTTGTCTGCAGCCTCTGGGGGGTATGTGCATGGGCAGCTGGGCAGGTCCCGCAGCACCTGGCTCAGGTACTGGGCAAGGAAGTCGCTCCTGCAGTTCAGCCACTTCTCACAGCTGTCCACATCTGCAGCGGGCGGGGAAGTGGGGGAGGTGTGGTGTCGGGGGTGCTGATCGAGGGCCAGTGTGTGGGGAGGAGGCCAGCCCCAGCAGGTACACAGGTGTGGCTTGGTAGGGCCTTAGGACCCACACTAGAACTGGGGACAGCTGGACCTGGCCCCCTCTGCTGACGGGCAGGGGCTCCCACACGGCACCCGGGCAGCAGCAAGAGGCCGCAGTTGGAAACTCACCTTGGCCAAGGGGCTGGGGGAAGGGCCCAGATGCCCTCTGCTCTGCCAGCTGTTGTTCCTTTAGGAGGGGCTGGGTGGGGGGCAAGGCCCTGGGGGAGGAGCTGTGCATTTGGGGCAGGGAGAGCAGTTTAACCAAATGATAAGAAAGTGTTTCAATTCATGGTGGGGCAAAAGTAGGTTTGCAGTTGTTCATAGGGAAATAATACAGTAATTAAGAAATAATAATACAAGAGCAAACTCTGTTTTGCATACTCACAACTGGAAATCTACTTGGGCTCCACCCTGTCTTTACCCACCAGCCCATTCTTGTCCTTCACACTGCCTTTCTCAGGCCATGTGACCTTGGGTCTGTCACTGTGTCACTCCAGGCCCCCAGGGGCCTCCACTGTGCTGGCCCCCTCACCTCTCTACCTTGAGAAAAGTGGCTTCTGACGCCCAACACACAGAATGAATTGCTCCTTCCTGTGCTCCAGACGTCTGGGCCCACCTTTCAATGCAGCACTCATGGTGGCCGCGGGGCTCACCCCAAAGACCCGAGCTCCTCAAGGACAGGCACCAGACCATGGTCCTCTTGGAATTCCCTGGCCCAGCACACTGCCGGTGCACAGTGAACTTCTACATTGTAGAATCTACAGTGTTGAACAGGGGCCTCGTCTGCAAGGGAGGCTGTCGGCAGCCTGCAGGCCCCTCTCAAGGTGCAGCTGAGATGCAGTGACAGATGTCGAGCCTGCTGGTGAGAGCACAGCCTGCTCCAAGCTGCTGGAAGGAGCAGTCCAGAAGATGGGGACGCAGCCCCTTCCCAGACAAAGCCTGCCTGGGAGTCTCCAAGTGGGACCCAGGAGTAAAAGCCAGCATGGCCCCTTCTCACCCTGCTGCCAGGGAGAATAGGCCCTATAGGATGATCTCCACACTCTGTGGCTCCCATCAAGCCCTTCCCAGCAGGAGTACCACCAGGCTAGAAGAGGCCATGGGCCTGCCCAGGGGGCAACTCAGAAATGCTAGGGCCCCCTTCCTGGGGAGGCTAACCTTGCAGCTGAAGGATGTGCTCTCTGCCTCAGTGGATGGAAGTGAGATTGCGGCTGTGCAATGACCTCCCGAAGCTCCACCTGCAGAGAAAGGTCCTTCCCCACCCCCAGGCCTAGCCCCCGCACTGACCTTGGCCAAGCATGTCCGTGGCATTGTAGATCAGGGGATGCCCCTCCTCACTGCGGAAGCCCAAGGGCTCCTCGGCCTTGGCGCCTTTGGGAAGAGAGGAGGCCAGGCTGGTGGTGCCCCAGGGCACCTCTGTGCTCCCTCTGGGGAAGCCCAGCCCTCACTAGGTTCTCTGTGCCCATAGCATCTGGAACAGACCTGGGATGAGGCAGGGGGGCCATATTTGTGAGCTCCCTGCATCCCCTCTCCCAAGTCCACCCCTGGTACAGGGCCCACATGCCCATGTTCCCAGAGGACCAAGCCCAGAGTGTAAGGCATTCCCTGTGCAGGAGCCGTGGTGCATCTCACCAGGACAGGGGGCAGTGCAGGCGTGGCCACAGGGCCACGTCCTCTGCTGGCTGCCGTGGCGGCTGCAGCTCGCACTGCAGGGAGACCAGGGGCCTCACTCCTCTTGAGGCCCATAATCTGGGTCAAGGCAGGGAGCCGGGGGTGAGCAAGCACAGGCCACAGGGTGCATTGGAGAAAATGAGCAAAAGGCACCCTTTCCTAAGCAGGACACAGCACGTGCCAGGGCTCGGATACTAGTGGACGGAGCAGGGGCTGGGTTTTGGTACCCACTGCACAGTGAACACCTGGCAAATGGAGGAGGTGGCCCTGAAGAGCCAGCCCAACCCCCAGCCACACACTCTGTGCCAACATAGCAACGAAGAGGCAAAGACAGCTGGGCTGGCGGCCACTTGGCCACTGTCAGTGTGACCTTGAGCAAGTCCCTCTCCACCCCTGAGCTACAGTTTTTGTCAGTCAAAACCCAGGGCGACAATACTGCCCTATCCCTGGGGGTATTAAAGAATGCCCCTGCTGCCCATGTTAGGAAGCCGGTCCTAGCGGGAGACCTGAAGCACGCCAGGACTGCGCCCTCAGGCTGTGCGGGACCCCCCGAAAGTAATGACACAGCCGGTTCTCCTAGCTCTCACCAGGCCCACGCAGGCGGTACCACAAGCTTACAGATAACTAATGGAAGGAAAGTTGAATGTCGTGAAAATTCTGCCTGTTAGCTCATATTATTTTGGTGAATTGGGAAGAGCCTGCTACGATGTGGTCTTAATCATAGGCACCTCCATCCAATGACAGCACCAGGGTCACGGGGAGAATGGCCACAAATGTGAGCAGAGTGGTCTGCACCAGGGGAGACCCTGAGCTGCAACCTGTAAAACTAAAAGTGGCCATCATGGGGGCGGGGCTGCTGGCAGGCTTTAAGTAATATTCTCTGAATAGACTGGATTATATTTTTTTCTAATAAAAGTCATCCATGCAGTGTTTACCCTTTAACTGTATTAACTGACTTCATGCCCTCTACACCCAGTCCTGTGTAGTGAGGGCTGTGCCATTTTCAGTATACGCAGGGCACGAAACTGAGGCACAGAGAGGCGAGGTGTGAGTGGTGGGATTTATAATATTTTCCAATTTGTTGGGAACATAGATATGAGTATCTGTAATATTAAAAATGTCTGTCTTGCTTAGGGGATCTCAGGGCTGCTGTGAGGGTCAAATGGGGAAGAAACTTTGCAAGCCATGGGCTAAGTCACCGTTTGGCTGGTGGTGGCCTTTGCAGCCCTGAACTCCTGGTCTCCTGGCTGCCCTGTCCGAGAAGCTCTCAGCCCTCTCTCTACCCGCATTTCCACTCCTGACCACGAGGGGCAGCAGCCAGAGGTACCAAGACGGGAGTGCTCACCGTAGCTGTCCAGCAGCTTGAAGTCCCAGTCCCTGGGGGCTAGCCAGCCTTGCTCCCGGCCGCCTGCGGCCCCACTGAACCCAGCCTTCTCCTTGTCGTCACCTGCCTTGTCATTGCTCTCCTGGGCCTCACTTTCTCTGTACGCTGGAGGGTAGTCCTCCTCCTCCTCCTCGATGTACTCTGAAGGGTAGTCCTCCTCGTCCCCTGGGACGCTGCCCTTGAGACTGGACCCCCCCTCCTCACCCTCCGTGTAGCCCCAGAAGAGGGGCCAGAAGAGCTCCTTGGTAGGCTGCCAGCTGGGGGCGCCCTGGAGCCCATGACCGCTTGGCTCAGCCAACAGGTCCATCTCCACCTGGGCCTGGGGGTCCTCCACCACCTCGATGGTCACCTGCAGGGGGACAGACCCCAGGCCGGTCAGTGAGGGAGGGCTCAGAGCTAGACACCAAGCAGAAAGATGACAAGGGCCGGAGCAGCGGGGGAGGAGCCTGACGTTTTTGGCCGGCCTTCCAGGGCACGTGGGGTCGCAGTTTACAACCTGGCTGTGCATCAGAATCCCCTGGAGATTTTTGTTTTAAGACTTTATTTATTTATTTCCAGAGAGAGGAGAAGAGAGGGAGAAACAAAAGGAAACAAACATCAATGTGTGAGAGAAATATCATCTATCAACTGCCTCTTGCACACCCCCCACCAGGGTCCTGACCTGCAACCCAGGCATGTGCCCTGACTGGGAATCGAACGGGTGACTGGTTCACAGGCTAGTGCTCAATCCATTGAGCCATACCAGCCAGGGCTCCCCTGGAGATTTTTGACTCCCCAACACAGCCTCAGACATGGATTTAACTGGTCTTAGGTGGGGCTGGGCACGGCGGCTCTAACACGTGCCTGGGTAGAGACCCACACTCGTGTAAGAGAAGCTGGCCACCAGCCTGCAGGCTGCACAGCCTCGGGGGCCACTCACAGCCCGAGCCTCCATGTCCTCAAGGTAGAACCAGAAACTACCAGCAAAGGCAGCAGAGCCCCTGCTCTGTCCCAGGGGAGAGAAGGCAGGGGCTCTCTTCCACCACCTTGTGATCATTATAAATGAATCTGAGATCACGGAACAAAATTCAGGGGGGAACACAGCGGAACAGAAGGAAGCAAGTGAGCGTCACGCACACCCCATCACCAGCAGAGGACGTTTTGGAGATTAGCTCCCAGGTGTCATGTGGGCACGTGCGCGCACGCACACACATGCGCGCGCGCATGTTCAACAAAGTTAGTTGTGTTCTACACTCTTCTCCTTTGGGGAAAGTGTTTTGTAACTATAGATGCTACACAAAGATGCTGAATTATTGCCACTAGAGATTCGGCACCGGCTGTGGAGTATGTAACCTGGAAGTCCCCCGTCCCCTCACCAGCACTTAAGGGGGCTGTACTGAGGAAGGGGTTGGGCCTGGGTGAGAAGCAGACCTTCAGGCTTTCCCATGAAGCCGCCCCTCCAGATTTCCAGAACCTACTGCAGCTCAAAACGCCTTCTCCACTCATTTGGTCCTCAAATACCCGGGCAGGTAGTGCTGTCTGCCCCTTGCTAGGGAGTGGGAGCCACGGTTGTTGCTCACAGCCTGCAGTTTGAAAGCGGAGAGGCAGGCCCTCCTAGCCTACAACTCCACAGGGACAGCACAGGGCGTCAACTTCTCCCACCCCGCACAGGACACGCGCCTGAGCTCGGAGTGGGCCACTGAGCCCAGCTCTTCCGCAGGTGGTCACTGGGCCCGTGGTCCTTCTGTGGCTCTCACCTGGATATTGGGATTTGGGGTACTCAAGTCTGTGTTGGCCAATCCTGGCAGCTCCAGCAGCAAGGGAGTGTCCTCCTGGGTCCCAGCAGAGGTCACCCCTGCCGGGCTCAGGGCTGCGTGTGGCCCTGCCTGGAGGCGGGTTCCTGGGAACGGTGGCGTCTGCTCCTCTTCCCCAGGAGGGCTGGGATCTGGGGAGGCTGAGACCTAAGGGGGAGAGAAGGGGAGGAAGAGGTGATGGAGGTCAGGGCTCGCCCCATGTGAACCCAAAAAGCTGGTCATGGGTGGAGGGGGGGAATTCGGGAGCCCGGGCTCTGGCGGCTCACAAACCCACCTGTGACTGTACATTTAAACACACCCACTTGAAGGCCTCAGAGGGTGAGTGAGGCGTTTCCACAAAGCACTTGGACAAATGGTGCCAACGATTTGTCCAATGAGAGGAGGGTTAAGATCAGGGTTCTACACCTGGAAGACACAGTCAACCTCCTCATTTTTCCGAGGAAGAAACTTGGGCACGGCGCTCCCTCCATCTACAGCTTCTGGGGCACAGGGACGAGCAGGCTTGAGGCAGCAAGAGTTCAGGGTCATGCAGCCTTTCTGGCTGACCCAGAATCCCTTACCTCTCTGGGCAGATGGTTAAGCAGTTGTTCTCCTCTAGGGACATTTGGCAATGCCTGCAGACACCTGTGATTGTCACAACTGGAGAGGGGTGCTCTTGGCAACCAGGAGGTAGAGGTCAGAGATCCCACAATGCACTGGACAGCCCTTGCGACAAGAATGATCCAACCCAGGATGTTGGCAGTGCTGCAGTTAAGAGGCCCTGCTCCGGGGTCAGGCTGTCTGGGTCTGAGTGCCGGCAGTGGCTGGCATCTGAGCTGTGGGACCGTGGCAGGGGACATAACCTCTGTGAGTGTTCTTATCTATAAAATAGGGCCAATGATGGGAAAGAGCTGGAACCCAGCAGGCGCTGAGCATGTTCGGGCCCGGCTCTCCCAGGTGGGCCAGATGATGAGCAAAGGCCCTAGAAAGCCCTGGCTGAACATCGCAGCCACGCACGCCCCGCCTCTAGTGGAGCCCCCTGCTCTATGCATCAGCCCTGGGGGCTTCCTGGGTGTGGACAGGGGAAGGGTGGGGGGAGCCAGAGACAAGGATTTAAGGGCACGTAGTGCCTTTGGAAGGTGATCTGATTCCCAGAGACACCACTGTTGGGAGGGTTGGGGGGAGATACCAAGTCAGGAAGGGAGGCAGCCAATAAAGAATACCCCCATCAGGCTAGTGACCAACATGGGCAACTGGAGGGCAATCCCAGTGGGTGCCCCAGTTATCCCCCCGGAGAGGAAGGGAGCTGGGCTATGTACCTACCAACTCCACCAGCCTTTGGCTGAGGGCTGCTGGGGGCTGGGGAGAGGGTCTGCTCTGCAGTGAACGCTGTCGAGCAGCTGGACACTGGCTGTATCTTCCCCCTTTTTCTTTGCAAAAGTAAAAGTCCTCTTGGATTTTTTTCAGTTAGCAAACAGGTATTAATGTGAGTCTTCTATAAAAGTGAAGTGATGTAATGTGAACTTTCGCAAAGAGGGGCACACCTGGACGTAGATAGCTCTACACTGTTTTCTCACACACACACACACACAACATGCCTGCACATACCCTCCCCAGGCTTGGCCAGCAGCCCTGCCCCACCTGTTTCCAGTTAAAACAAGAGCCTCATACCCACAAACCCTTCCTGCATTGCACCAGACTGCCTGCTGACCTGTTGCAGCCCCACTGCAGCTCCCCCGGCCTCCCATCTCCTCTCTGGCTCAGGGTCAGGAACTTGTTCTGGATAACAAAATCTAGTTGCCAGGTGCTGACCAGCACCCCCCTCCCCGTGGCCCCAGCTGCTGAGGCCCGGGCCCATGCACCCAGAGCCAGGATGCACATAGTCACTGTGGTCTCCCAGGAGGAGCTGGAGACCCAGCACAGAACAGCGATTGCCTCCTCAGCCAGGCGAGAGGACCACAGGCTGCAGGAGGGCGCTGGGCTTCACCCTCCTCACCAGTGTACACGGGTCTAACCCAGCCCATCCTGGCACCCCGTGGAGATCTCAAAGCTCCTCACTGTAATAAGAGTACTCCTGACAGAGCACAGCCTGCAAGCACCAGGGCTGGCTCATGCCGAGTGACCTGTGCCCAGGGCGCTGCGCCTCGTTTAATGCTCTGCTGTGGCGTTCTGCACTGAGCCCCACAAACCATGCAGCAGGTCCTGCCGGGCGCCCTGTATGTGTGGACTCCAGCCCACTTTGGGCAGGTACTAGCATGCTCCCCACTCCAGGGATGAGGCGGTCAAGGGTCAGAGAGGTGAAGGAACATGCTTGGGTCACAGAGGGGGCTGGCAGGGCAGGTTAGAGGCAGGTGGTCTGGTGGGACTCTGCTCTGCCAGCTCCAGGCAGAGGCTGCGCGTTCTGGTTCACGCCACTCTGAGTGCATGGAATGAACAAAAGGCTAGAACAGGATGTTCTACTTTCCACATCCATCTTTCCCTTTGATCCTCATATCAATTCAGTGGGGGGCCAAGGGGAGGACCTTGATTAGGAGACTGAGGTCCAGTGAGGTTGGGGACTTGCCTGGGACCACGAGTGGCCTGCCTGGTCCTGTCCTCTCGCTCCATCAACCAGCTTTCTGGTGATTCTGAGCTCTAGTAGTAAAAGGAATGGTCTGGAGGGAGAATGAGGGTCACAGTCAAGGACCAGAAAGGTGCACACCTGCAGGAGGGGCTAAGAGGTGGGGCCACAGGCTCAGCACTGTGTGGACCTGGGTTCAAGTTCCCCTCTGACACTCACAGATTGGGCTAGGAAGACCCCCCCAAAGAAGGCCAATCTTCAGGAAAATACCTTCTTCTTGGTGGAGGCTCCTGCCCCTGAGCGCAGCTCTCGTTCTCAGTCCATCCCTCGCAAAGTGCCTTCTTCCCTGGCAAGTCAGTCTGCTGCTGCAGCAGGGACCTACCCTGTGCTGTCCCACGTGGGACTCCTTCCTGTGGGACATCCCCTGCAGCCTGCAAGAATTGTTCTCTAAGTTTTTCTCCCTTGCTTATTCGAATCTCCGTCACCCTCTCTTATACACTAATAGCATGGCCCAAGCTCTGCCCCAAGTCCCCAGCACCCCTTCCCTGCAGCCCACAGTTGTCCTTTGACTGCCTAGGAGGTGGTGGGTGCCAGGACTGGCGCCCGGGGCTCTAGAGCTAAGCAAAGCTGGGTTTGGATCCTGGCTCACCACTTACTAGCTGCGTAGCCATAGGCTACTTACTGGATCCACTGTCGGTCCCCACAGTGAGGATAACAAGAAACAAAATGCCAGGCACAGTGACTGTGAGGCTGCTGCTCTAACCTCAGCAGAGGACACCCCGGGCAGAGCTGTGCCGTTCTTCGCCTGTCCAGTACCTTGGAACAAACGGCCAGGCCCAGCCCCTGGCGACGACGCTGCGCCCCTTGCACACATGCTGTGCTTTTACACCCACCATTCACCCGACAGAACAGGGTCTCTCATTTCCATCTGACTGGGAGTAAACTGAGGCCGGGCAACAGGCCTGCCCAGAGCAGGGGTGGCAGGTTTTAGATGCTGATGATCTCAAGACTTCTCAAGGGTTTCGATGAATGTGCTGCGGCATGACATGCAAAGACAGCTCTTGAAATGACAGACCTGGCTCCCAATCCCAGCTAGGTTTACTGCTTCTGCGCCTCAACTTTCTTATCTGGAAAATGGGGATAATGCCCAAGTCGTAAATGGTGTGACAATAAAATAACATCATGTGAAGTCTTCCTACCCCCTCTGTAAGGCCCAGGGAATGCTTGCTCCCCCTCAGCCACCCTCCCCCTTTACATTTGGGGAGTTTATAGTCTTCAGTTTCTTCATAAAGCTCTTTGGGTTGGTTGGTTATTCCCGACATACCACCCAAGGCCTTAGAATAGCAGTCTGTGTTCTCTCAACAATTCCCTGGCTACCATCTTTGATGAGTAACAGCTTTCACAGACATTACACAGTCGCGTGGAACAACGTGTGAGCTGGACAGGACCGTGGAGATGACTTGGGCCCTTGTTTTAAATGCCAGGAAACCGTCTGAAGTGAGTCACACATGATGAGTTATTGATGCCCTGGGACCAAAACCCCAGGCCCTGGGCTCCAAGCTCTTGTTTTTTTCCCTCCATGGCACTAATTGGCTTTAACATGTTGTTGAGCCCTGACCGGTGTGGCTCAGTTAGTTGGATGTCATTCTGCAAAGCAAAGGGTCGCTGTTTCGATTCTGGTCAGGGCACATGTCTGGGTTGTGGACACTGTCCCCAGTAGGGGGCGTGCGAGAGGCAACTCGACAGATGTTTCACACATCCATGTTTCTCTTCCTCTTTCTCCCTCCCTTCCCTTCTTTCTATAAATAAACAAACAAATAAATAAATAAATATTTTTTAAAAATGTTGTTGAGGACTCAGCCAGGCCTTGTTGGGGTTGGGAATATGATTTTGGCTCTGAAATAACTCATCCTCTAGGCTGGTTTTGGGGAAAGATCTGGCAAACCTACTGAAAATAATCACAATACGAAGCTGTTAAGCACTAACATAGGAAGTGTGTATGCCAAAGGAGTAGAAAAAACCACCAGTTGAATTCATTTTATGACCACTGCCATCTCCAACTAGGAGAGGGGACTGGTCAGAGGCTGCCCAGTGGCTCGGGACTGTCCCCAGCACTGGTTCCCAGGGGACGGGTGTCCCTCTAGGAGCACACATCACAGCCCGGCTCTGTCAGGAAGGGGTGCTTCAGGCGTCAAGTAAGTAGAGGCCAGGGATGCTGCCAAACACCCCACAGCGCGCGACAAAGAATTGGGCACCCCCAGGTGGCAGTGGCGTGGAGGTTGAGAAACGTAGTTGAAGGGATGTACTTTCAACAGGGGCAAAAATTGGCTCTCCGGGCATCTAAGAGCATCTAAGACTCTGAGATGCTCCAGTGGTTTGCAACACTCCAAAAGGCCACATCCATGGACAGTAGATCTGTGTTAGTGAACTTTCATAGTGGGGGGGGCACTGAAAAATTGTCTGGAAAGCTCCTTAGGGCACCAGTAGTGAAAAAAGGCGGACACACCCTGGGCCATGCTGACCCCCTCATGTGCAGCCTGGGCTCCGATAGCATGTCCCCAGCTGGCTGTCACTCACCAGTCCCTGCACCCTGCACACCTGTCTGCACCCCTCGGTGTCCTCCTCGGGAAAATGGGAGGAACTGCTCAGCGCTCCTCCAAGAACAGCTCCGTGCAGGGGAGGGCGGGGACCCCTACCACACAGGCCTGCTCCTGCACAACTTGGAACAAGTCCAGCAGGTTTTATCCGCAACAGGATGAACGGTCCACTCCCATCCAGGGAGGGACGGCCGGACTGTGGACCGCAGTGATGGCAGACACGGGTTTCACAGACTACAGTTTCTCTCCATGGATAACACCACCCTTCAACGTCTCCCTCCTGTCCTGCACCCAGCTCCAAGGCCCACTCACAGGCCGACCAGGAAGCGCTCCCCGATGTCTCGGCGACGTGTTCTGCTTTTCCAAGTTCATGATGATATAAAGGTCCCAGGTGGAGTACTCACACCCAGCAAGTTGGAGGACTCCACTCACTCTCTCACCTGGTCCCAATTCCTGCCCAAAGGGACTCGAACCCTTTGCAGATTCAAGAGGCTGCACCTTGACCGTTTGAACCTTCGCACGTCCAGCCCCCTGCCTGGCAAAGCGCCCAGCGCCGGCTCCTCTCCCACCCCGCCCCCTCGGAGCTCGCACCTGGACAGAACGGCTGCAGAGGTGAGTTTGGGGAGAGGCAACGAGAGGAAGCCGGGGCTTTCCTGGGTGTCTGCGCTCCTCGGTCAGCAGACCAGTGAAACTTTATCCCAGGCTTGCGCGCCACACAGCCCGGGCAGTGGGGGCTCCTGAGGCTCCGCGCACCTAACCCTCGCCCGGCCCAGCCCCAGCACCTGGTGGTTGTTGCTCGCGTCCCCGCCCTGCTCCCCGCGCTGCCAGAGCGGGCGGGCCAGGACCGAGCGCACAGCCCCGCGCCCCGCTGCTCACCTCCGCCAGCCTCGCGTGGCTCCGAGGCCCGAGCCAGGGACCCCAGGGCTTCATGGGGAGCCCCCGCCCCTCCTCCAGCAGCGCGGTCAGCAGCACCACGCCGAAGAGGAGCCGCGCTCTGCCAGGGAGCCGAGGCATCCTGTCCCGCCGAAGCCACTCGAGTCCGGGTGGCTTATTGGGTCCGGGCTTCGCCTCCTTCAGGGGCGGGAAGTTGCGGGGCGGCGGCTCAGGCCTGGCCGTTGGGGCGCACGGGGTGGGGGCGGGCGGCGCGCCGCCCTCTCCCGCCTGAGCCCCGGGAGGGGCGCCGGCTCTGTTCTCCCGGTCTGCGCCCGGCATGTCCCCCGCCCTCCAGGGAGGGCTGGCCTCTTGGCTCTTTCTTTGATATGGCCTCCTCCCTGCCCTCTGTGCCCGCCGCTCTTGCTGTCACAGTCCCAAGCGAATTCTTGTAATGGGGAATTTGCAGCGCGCCCCCAGACACTCTCCAGGCCTGGCTAGGACTCCTGCGAGGGTCGCCCTTCTCGCGGGCGCTCTGACCGTCGCGCTGGGGCACGCGGACAACCAGGGCCTAGCGAGGGAGGGATGCGCTGCAGCCCAAGCCGGGCCCTTCAGATCTTGGGCCAATGTTTATTTTTAACTCCAGGTAGGTTTGCTTGGGGAGGAGGGCCTGGAAGTAAGTCCCCCAGGCTCTGCCGGCTCCCCTTTCGGATGCAGAGACCACAAACACACCTGCCACTCTGCACCTCGTTTCCTCAGGGTGTTTGTTCTCTGCACACTGCAAAAACCAGCTTGAGACTCAGATGTGAGGACTGAAGGGAACCAAAGTTTCGCCACCCCGAAGCAACCTTTCTGCAATATTGATTTTAAGTGTTTATTAAGAGAGAGAACCTTTGACCCATCCCCTGTCCTGCCCAAGAGATTCAGACAGAAAAACCTGTTTCAGGAAGGAGATCTTAGGATGCTGCCCTAGCCTAACTCTAGCCTAACTCAATTTGAGTATAGTGAATACTTATATCTGTGGCTCTGTGTGGGGGGGGAGGGTTCAGAAAAGGGGGAGTGGCCTCTGCTCACCCTTCTGTCTGGGAGAAAGCTGTCCCCCAGCTCCCACCTTGATGTCAGACTTTCAGTTCCTGCCTGTATCCCTCTGGTGCCTTTCAAGCTGCTACGCCAGTGCTGGAGCTCGGAGGCAGTGAGTCTGAGTAAGTCTGCATGTGGGTTAAGAGGAACTTCTTAGAACTCTAGAAGTTTCTCCCACCAATTCAATCCCCACTGATTTCGCAGCCTGAAGTTATGGGGACTTATCTTCCTAGTACTGGAACCCTGGGCTGGGGGGCCTGGGCTGGGGTTGGGACTCCTCGCTACTGAAACATCCCTCCCAGATTTTTACCCACCACTGTAGGTGTGGGACCAAACGGCCCCTCAGCCCTCCATGCCTCCACCTCTCTGCCGCTCTGGACGTGTTACTGGGCAGCGTGCTGGGGTCCTGCCACCCTCGGCCACCCTCTGGGCAAAGTTTCTGAGGCAAACGCTTGGTGATAAAGGAAAGGAGTCTTTTTCAAAAGTGACACGATCTTGGAATAACAGCTTTTGACAAGAATTACTGTATTTTGCTATGTACAATGTACATTTTTGCCCAAATTTTTGAGGGAAAAATAAGGATGTGCATTAAACATAGGTAGCACTAATTCTGTATTTATATAAATGTTTTAAATTTTTATTTATGCTTATGCATTAAAAGTGTAACTCTACAGAGTAATAATGGTATCCATGTGCAAAATAATACCCTGGAATACGATCATTGGTTTTGTTTCTAAATATAAATTAAAAATTGAATTAAAAAGTTAAAACACAATGCCCTGGCTGGTGTGGCTCAGTGGATTGAACACCGTCCTGAGAACCAAAGGGTCACTGGTTCAATTCCCAGTCAGGGCACATGCTGAGGTTGCTGGCCAAGTCAGGTCCCCAGCAGGGGGTGCCATGAAAGGCAACCCACACATTGATGTTTCTCTCTCTCTTTCTCCCTCCCTTCCCCTCTGTCTAAAATAAATAAATAAAATTAAAAAAATAATGTTGAAAAAAAAAGTTATAACACAAGATTTTTTTCCTGAAAGTTTGGGCCAAAAACACGGGTGTGCATTATACATGGGAGGTCACTGTACATGGGAGGCCATTGTACACAGGTCACTGTACACGGGAGGCCATTGTACATGGGAGGTCACTCTACATGGGAGGTCACTGTACATGGTAAAATGCTGGTAGTGCTTGGGCTTATCAACTAAGACTAAAACTCTTTAGTTATAGTTTTAATCACTTAAGCCTGTCAACTAAGGCTCAACTCTAACACCTGGGTTCTCCTGGCATTCCCCCCGCCCCCGTTAGTTTTCAGTTATTTCTATAGGGTTAGTTTACAAACTAAAATAATGTAAGACACAACAATTTTAGAACTGCAGGCTTCTGTATCAGAGCTCGTCCCCTCGAGAACACCCAAAGAATGCACCTGCCACCCTCTGCCTGGCCAGCCCCCGATGCTAGGCTGTGCCCAGGGTCCCTTCCCATGCAAAATACTGTCCCTTGGGAAACAGGCAGCTGCTGCACGGTCGCCCAGGCATTCTCCAGGAAGAAGGGTCCTTCTGAGTCAGAGCCCGCCCGGGAGCCGGAGTACCGGCCCTCTCCTCACTTCCATGCGCTCCGGAGGCGGTCAGCTTCTCTGCCAGTCCTGTCCTTAGACTGCTTGCCCTCGCCTCGGCAGACTCCTCCCCAGTGATCTGATCAGATCTTTCTGCATCAGGTGGATGTGGTTTCTTTAATTCCGTGGTTGTCGGACTTCCATTCAACTTGATTTCCACCGGTTCTGAGTGATGTCATTCTATAGTTTAGTTGTAATTTTGAGGGTTTGTGCGAGGAGGTGAGTCGTGCTCACCTATGCCTCCATCTTGATCAGAAGTCCCAGGTTTATCAATTTTTTGTCATGTTTTTCATGTCCTAAGAAATTGTTGCCTAACCAAAGTCACATATTTCCTTTTGCATTTTCTCCTAGAAGTTCCGTATTTTAGTTTTTATGTTCAGGTCTATGAGTTGAGTTCATTATTGTATATGATGTGAAGGTCGAAGCTGTGGATGAAGATGGGCCCACAAACTAAACCTCTCAAGCTCAGGGGAGGCCGGCCTTGCAGGCCCTGCAAACTCATAGCCCAGGTTGCCACATGGGCTAGTCTGAACATACCAATTCCTAACTAACTTTGCAGGTCACAGCCTGCTTACTGTCTTTTTGCATCTAGGGTAACATATCTTTGAAATGGCAGAGAGAATCTCCTTTCTGGACTCTCAGGGCACAGTCTCCCACTGGAGTAGGAGACCACAGGACCCCCGCTGTTATCTTGTTCCCCGAATACCATCTCTGCGTGCTGTGTTATTAACTGTCCTGCACCCTCCAATGCAGAACAAGCACGTGTCTGTCTTACATTTTACCCAATCCCAGAGATTTCCCTGCTTTGTTTCCCCACCCCCTTAATCTACCGCCAGTGGATTTCATGTGACCCTCCTCTGATTCTAATCATGTGTAAAAGCAGCCGAGGAGCTGCCGCTCTCCGGAGCGTTTTCTCAACCCCTTGAGGTTTTGCTTCCCGGCAATTGTCAGTTTGGCTCAGATAAACTTTTAAAAAGTCTCTACAGGCTTGGACCTTGACAAAGGTCATTTCCCCTAGATACTTAGCTGTTCCAGCACCGTAAGTGGAACAGCTTTCTCATTCAATTAACCTGGCACTTTTGTCAAAAATCAACTAACCCCATATATGTGGGTGTATTTTTGAACTCTAGTCTGTTTTAGTGTTCTGTCTGTCCGTCTTACTGCCAAGTGCGCAGTCTTGGCTACTGTAGGTTTGTAGGGTTCTGAGACCAGGTAGTGTAGGTCCTTTCTCATTCCTGGCACGGGAACGCTCCGTATTTACTGCGTGACCCTACTTTTGCCCTCTCCTACCTCCCCCACCCCCTTTCCCTCTGGTCATCACTATACTGTCTCGTGTCTTTGAAGTTTTGTTTTGTTTTGCTTAACCCCTCACCTTTTCCACCCAGCCCCACAACCCCACTCCCCTCTGACACCCTTCATTCAGGCCTTGACAGGCGCTCTCAGAGGTCGTGCACCTAAAACTTACACCCACTCTTTATAGAGCTTCGGTCTTCCAACGAGATTAAAAAAAAATCACTTGGCAAAAAAGGGAGAGAGGGATCAGGAAGAAAGAGCAACATTTTAACACATTACTTAAGTTTTTATTGACATCTCCCCTTCTCACTTTCTCAGATTATATGAGCATTGCAGCTACAGAGAGGGGTTTACCATGGCACCTCTTGCAGCTACTGGGTTACAGGTAAGTTGGGCAATGGAAAATAAGGATCAATAAAGTAAGGTATCCGCTCCCCATAAGCCATTTCTTATCCCTACTCCCTCATCCTCCTTCCCTTAATGCTACTTTTACACAGAGAGGGACCATCAGACTGCGGGCGCGCTGGCTGAAGCCTCGGTGGTTTTGCCAGTACCTGTGATGAACCATCAAGGATGCTTTTTGTCCTTCTGAGCCCTGGTTTAACATCACAGAGGTGAGACCTAAGGGTTAGGGTCTGGACAAGCTTCCCTCCCACCCTAGTCAGTGACGGGTCCCACACTCCCTTGGAAGGCTGGGCCTAGTGGCCAAGCTTTGTGCAAGGAACTTGGGAACTGTGTTGGAAAAAGCGGACTTGGCTCAAGGGTCCACATGCGTGGAAGGAGCCACTTACCCACGCAGATGACATGGAGGCGGGACATTTAGCACCAACTCGAGGTAATGCTTGTTTTTACCTGTCTTTCAACCTCCCACAACTGCTCCAAAAGAACTGAGTTTTGAGTATTGCTTCATTAGAAACACAGTAACTGCAGTCTTAACAGCCAATGCATTCTTTAGGGTCGGTCAGTTTATTATCTCATCATACCACAAAGAATCACAGTTTAAGGCCATTTTCCACGTCTGCTATGCAATAAGCAAGACTTCGCCCACAGGTCCCCAACCAAGCCACCCCTGAGGGTGGACCGGGAACGTGATACCTGCAGACTCAGCACAGAAAACCTGAATTAACATTTTCAATAAAGGCTGCAGATAATCCCTTTGGTTTCCTCCCTAGAAAAGATCCCACAGCAGAAAATGCTTGGAATACAGGTCACTGGAAACAACAAGAGGGGCGACAGCATTTTCTATACAATTAAAAGCAAGTGGATCATTGGCTGGTCCTAGCATTTCTTCAGCGTGAGAAGACAGGAAACCAGCCCTCTATTTCAGCGCTCTGGGCACATGGCAATCGGTCAGGAGCCTGGATGCTACAGTTCATGAGGACAAAGCTGAGGAGAGAATAGACATGCTTTTCTCCACGTGAAAATTATTTTGATTAACTGGCTTCATGGGTTAAGAGCTTCTATGATAAACTGGTAGTAGCACTGTCCAAAAAAACTGTGTATCCTGGGGCTGCACTTGATGGGGAAGCTCAAGAATTGGAAAATTTTAGTTTTAGGTAATAGTTAATAAGCCTTCTAATGAATGCATGTAAAACACTATTGTTTCAGGAACAGGAAGTGACCCATCCTGACCCCAGGACACCACAGGCAACTGGACCTCTGAGCCCCAAGAGGGGGGTGAGGGGCAACTGCAAGCAATCATGATGGTGTTTGAGCCACTGGGTTCTGGGGGAAGACATTTACCACTCAGGACATAGGACACAGATACAGAGTGACCCAGGGCACAGATAAAGAATCACCAGTCAACAGATGAGAGGATGCTAGGGAAATTGCCAGACTGCAGCTTTTAGCTGATTAACCTGTTTCTGAATTCCAAATCCCTTACCTACACTTTTTCCTCCTTATAAAAAATGCTGATTTGAAATGAAATGTAAGACAGTCTTTTAGGGTACATAACCCGCTGTACTCTCAGGTCACCCACTATATGAATAAAGTGCCCATAAACTATTCAATCCCTGTCTTTACTTTTTGGTTCCGGTGGTGACAGGCAGCATGAACACCGGCTTTTCCCATTTCCCATTTAAGCAAAAAGCTGCTTAAGTGCCACGAACCTTTTCATTTTCGTAACTACTCCTTTACAACCCCTTTTCACTGCGCTGATTTTACCCGTGTGAAATGCTCAACAATTGTCCTTGATCTTTGTGAAGGCAGACAGACAGAAAACCACTACTCTCTCCCCTCCCCAACCACATGAGTTACATTAACTGCATTTCGGCTTACCTAGGACACTAGGAAATACACCTTGGGAATGAGGACACAGCGATTCTTAGAGAACCAGGTGACAGTTCACTGTATTGAACTTTCTGCAGGTGGCTTTGCCACATCCCTATGCATTCTTACAAAACAAGAATCACTCCAGTTCTTTCTCCTCTGTCTGTGGCATTGCCAGGAGTTGTGCGCTGCTGTTCAGTCTAGTGTGACCAGGAACCAGAGGGCCTCATTAATTTGCAAAGGGAGGCTCGGGGGGCGGGGGAGGAGAAACAGGGAGGCAGGGGGAAATGTCCCTTTATGTCCCCTTCTCTGAGAAACCAGGAAACCTCTCCCTGCACGTAAGTAAGCCAATCTTCCTCCTGGTTTTCACTAAGAGGAAGGAAGCGAAGTGCATTCCACATGACAACACTCCACTGGACCGTGCTCGTCTTAAGCTTAGATGCAGGCTCCCTCAAGTAGGGAAGAAAGGAGGCCCTCATCTCCTCCTGAAACCTAAGGCTGCGTGTACAAGGAATCTGACTTAGCGACTGTCCCAACACAGCACTGCCGCAGACCAGTTATCCCTGGAGTTGGAATTCTGCAAGTCAAGAATGGGGAGGGAGGGAGAGAGAGAAAGAAAGGCCAGCTACAGGAGGGAGGGACTGCAGGACAAGTCCTCGGACGCCTCTTCTATTCCTTGGCTTCTGACGGGGCGTGAGGCAAACGCACAGCCCACCGCGGTGTGTAGGATGCTCCCGTTCCCTATGTGACTACACGAGGGAGCAGCGTGTTCGGCCCGCCTGAAATCCTCACCCTTCGTCACAGTTTAAGAGAGTGACTGAAAGACTAAGATGCCGAGTTCTTCAAACAAGCCGGCAGCACTCTGGGGTTCTGGAGGCTAGAACGTTTTATAGAGAGAAGGTATTTTCCAAAGCAAAGCAGTAAGGTAAAAAAGTGCCCCCTAGCCCCTGGACGTTTTCCACATTTACTTGCTGTAAGAGGTACATTATATTCTCAGGTAAAGGTGGGAGGACTCTCTGCCACTTGCCCCATCCTGCACCTGTGATTCGATGACCCCTCATTATAGATTTTCTGGGTTCGATGTGATCTGCAGACAAAGGTCTCATAAACCTGAAATGGACCGAGGCAATGCTCGAAAGAGGGGTGAGAAAACGTGTTAAGCACTAGTCACACCTGTACTGGCTGATTCTGGTTACCAGCTTTGGAAGTCCTGGTTAGCCGGTGCGCCTTTGAGTCCCGTCCGATTCTCAAGGCTGCGTTAAACCACGCACTACACAACACTTACATGTTCCGGATTTCTATTCATTTCTGATAACTGTAATCGCACACACTTGTGTTTCCCCAAGTTCTTGGATAAGTGGTACTTGTTATATGACTGGACCCTAGATTTATATTACAGTTTCAAGAAGAGACAACCAGCGTGAATAATGTTTTGTCCTCCAGAAAGAAGAGGCCCTGGAGAGATCACAGGACTTACATTTCTTCAAAATAAACCTGTAGTTTAACTACATTTATCCTGAAATAACTGTGCCAGCAAAGTGATACACAACTTTTCAAATGCTCCTTTTAACTGATATTTTATATTGCAGTGACTTCACGCAAGCCAAAATAAAAACACTAGCAGGTGAGCTGTTGCTTAAAGTTTGTGACTTTTGCAAACCCTATACCATTACATAGTAACTGCAGTGCAAAAGCCATCTGGTATTCTAGTGGGTTCCATGGTGAGGAACTAGATGCACAGGAAAGGCTAACAATGTACTTTATTTTACAGGACTCGTTACTTGGTTACCACAATTTGTCTTACTGCAACTTCTATATGCTACATATAGTCCCTGCATATCTAGTTGGTTCTTTTACTCACCCTTCACTATTCTTTAAAAAAACTAAAATGGCCCTGGCTGGTGTGGCTCAGTGGATTGAGTGTGGGCCTGCGAACCAAACAACCCCGGTTCGATTCCCAGTCAGGGCACATGCCTGGGTTGTAGGCCAGTTCCCAGCAGGGGACAAACGAGAGGCAACCACACATTGATATTTCTCTCTCCTTCTCTTCCCCTCTCTCTAAAAATGAATAAATAAAAATTAAAAAAACAAACAAAACTAAAATGAAACCTTGGACTATTGCAAGGGCTTAAGGCTCTCAGATGCCGAGAGTGAGGAAGACAACTAACTTAAGACGTGAAAACAAAATTTCACAAACAGTAATACTGCTTACATCCTCCCCTACATGCAGCAGCGCAGACGTAGCTCATGACAAGCCGCCCAAGAGAGTCTGGTCTGCAAATGCTTACCAGTAAAAGGAGTGGTTTCAGAAACAGAAACGTGCACAAGCACTTCCACCCAATTCTTTTCCATTGTGTTCCCAGACCTTCCCTATAGTACCCGATGGCGACTTAAACACAAGCTGATCTTGGGTATAACAAAGTCAAAAGCTTTTTCCACTTGAGCTTTGGTTAACAGAAAAAGAGAAAGAACTTCAATATGGTGAGCTTCAGATTTGTTCTTTGGTTCAAGCAGTGAAAGCTCTCTGAAAGAAGCCTCCCACCTGGTATGAAAAGAGAGTCCAAGACGAGGGGATCCCCGTTTGGCAAAGACAGAAGTGTTAAAACAAGCAAACAAACAAACAAAAAGGGTAATAGAAGGCAAGGGAAACCCTAAACCCCCAAAGTCAGGTTAGAATTGTCTTAGGACATCAAGAGTAAAGAGAATTAGCCCTTGGTCCTGGCCAGGTAGCTCAGCTGGTTAGAGGGCCATCCCGATACCCCAGGGTTGTGAATTCAATCCTCAGTCAGTGCACACACAAGAATCAACCAATGAATGCATAAATAAGCAGAATAACAAATCAATGTTCCTCTCTTTTCCTCTATGGAATCAATTTTAAAACATTAGAAAAAGAACACTCGGAAGAGTAATATTTAGGTGGGTCAACTTCTAAGAAGGCGAAATTAATAGCTTTAATCCTTAAGTAGCAACAGGACAAATGATTTCTGAGCAGAGGATTTACCAATAGTATTTGCCTCTATCAGTTTAAATCATAACCTGGGCCCAGACCCAGGCAGAAGCTGACACAACTCTGAACAGCAGCAAGCAGTGAGGAGTAAACCACAGCCGATCCCCAGGCAGTGACCAGCTCTTCCACGCTGCTTCCAGCCAGAGTGCACTGCACGTCCCTTCTCGGAGCAGCTTCGTACCCAGGGTGGCGAAGTGCAAGTCAGCTTCGCCAAAGAGGTTGGATGTGTTCTAAATAGGAGGCTGGGGTATTACATCAGAACTTGGGAAGAACCCAGAAACTGGACACACCCCCTCAGACAATGACCGTCATGGAGAAGTGTGTGATGATGAAGGAAGAAATCCCTGTTTCATTCCAGAAACTGGAGCAAGACCAAGCCTTGGGAGGCTCTAGACCAGGGGGAGTTACACAATGAGGGGGAATTTCAGCATGGTTAGCATTTACTGTTTTTCTTAAAAGGCTGAACTTAAAACAAAAAGGAGAACACTTCGGATGATTACTTGACTGGCTAAATAAGGGTCCCAAGGTTGGCAACCTCCGAGATCCGGAGTGGAAGGAAGTGGAAGGCACTTGCTCCCTGGGGAGGTGGGCGGGGCCAGCAGGCGCTCCGGGCTGGCGCAGGCCTGGGAGGCGGCTGCGACAGGGTGACGGCCTGTGCGGTTAGCAGAGACAGGCTAGGGTCAGCGTGACTGCACAAGCAGAATAGTTATAAAATAAAACATTTTTAATGAACAAAAAAGCAAAGTGAGTCACCTCTTTTAAAAGGTGCAATGCAGCAAAGGAAGATGTGAAGCAGTTTTTCCCCACTATTTACAAAATGCCATGTAGAGTAGAGGTGGCCACCGTCAGTAGTTGAGAAAATGTCTTTCACATGAGACGGCCACAGAGGTGTGGTTCCTGGAACTGGCTCAGAAAGGCCACACACTGTCCTGGGTGAGAAAGAGTTTCTTTAAGGGAGCACCAAAAAGGCTCAGTCTTCCGTTTCTTCATATGTAGTCTCATCGAAAGGCCTGTCCAGCAGAGGTACCAACCGATGACGGGAATACTTCAGCTGTAACAGGTCCCCAACTTCATCTATCTCCTTTAAAGCCTAAAAATACAGAGCAGAGGGGAGTCAGAGCCAGGAGGACACAGGCGTGCCTGGAGCTTTCCTTTCCTACAAACAATCATGGCAAGGTTATCTCCTGGTGGGCCTGCCGGTGTCTGCATTTAGTCTGCACAGACCACAGCAGAGCTATGGGAAGAGCTGCTCTTTGAGCAAGGACATCAGGCTGACTGTAAATAATGGGTTGTGAACAGTAGGAATGCCGGATAAAGGGCATAATTCATCAATGTACTTGTTATGCTTGGCAGAAAAAGGAATATGCACCATGGACTTGCCAGGCTGGCCACGATTTGCCATCCTCTCCTTCCACACTTCAGTACTCGCTCTTTCCATTACGACGCTAAAGAAAACCGATGAGAAACCTGTGCTGAGATGCTTCCTAGATGCAAGATGGAGAGAGTGCCCAGGTGGACTGCTGCACCGACTCAGACAAAGTGGAAGCGTGAAGCAGACTGAGTGGTATCAGATGCTGCAGGTGAGGGAGGAGCAAGGGAAGGACAGAGCTGAAGTCTGGGACCTGAACTCCAAAATCCTAACCTCGAGAGAGAATCTCTACCTTGTCTTCCCATCAAAACTCTAATCGTCTCAGTATAACTTTCTTTTCTGTAAAATCAGCCCTTTAGTTTTCAAGGAAAATATGTTTCTTACAAAAACCTCAAACACTACGGCAAGTTATGAAATGAACAGTCTTGTCCTGATTGCTAAGGGAGTATTTTAGGGCAGCTGTGCCCATGAGCCGACAGCCCTGCCCTTCTCATTTTCAAAAATAACACTTTAATGAGACACAATTCACATGCCACAAAATTCACCTTTTTAAAGTGTACAAGTCAATGCTTCTTAGTATATCCAGAGTTGTATAACTTTTACCACTATCTAATTTTAAAGCATGTCACCTCAAAAAACAAACCCATACTCCTATCAATCCTCATTCCTCCCTCCCCCCAAACCTTGAGAACTGCCAAGCTATTTTCTTATCCTAGGAATTTGCCTATTCTAGACATTTTGTACAAACGTGGTCTTCTGTGTCTGGCTTCTTTCACGTAGCATAATGTTTGCAAAGGTCACCCATGTTGCCTGTATCCAACTTCACCCCTTTGCGTGTGCTTATCCAGTTGCCCAACACAATCTGTTGAAGAGACTAGTCTTTCCCTACTGACTAGCTCTGGTTCCCTTGTTAAAAAGCAACTGGTAACTCAGGTGGTTGGAGCATGATCTCACACAATAGGAGGTTGTAGGTGTGACCTCCAGTCAGGGCACGTAACTACATTGTGGCTTTGATCCCTGGTCAGTAACAGATCAATGTTTCTCTCTCATATTGATGTTTCTCTCTCTCAAATCAATGAAATATCCTCTGGTATAGATTAACAACAACAGCAAGCCAGATGCTTGAGTTCATTTCTAGACTCCCAGTTCTATTCCACTGGTCTACATGTATAGTCTTATGCTAGAACCCCATTGTTTTTAATACTGTAACTTTGGAGTAAGCTTTAAAATCAGGAGGCTTGAGTTCCCCAACTTCCATTTTCTTTTATTAATACTGTTCTGGCTACCTGGGGGCCCTACAGTTCCATATGCATTTGAGGCCCAGCTTTTCTGTTTCTGTTCAAAAGGCCACTGGGATTTTCATGGGGACGGCACTGGATCCATGGACCTGGCTGCACTGCCATCTTAACAGTACATCTTCCAATCCATAAACAGGGGATGTCTTTCCATTCATTTAAGTCTTTTTTTTATACATTTTTAAAAACTGTATTCATTTTTGAGAGTGAGAGGCAGAGAGAGAGAAGCATTGACTTGTATTTATTCCTGTGTTCACTGGTTGCTTCTCATATGTGCACTGACCCAAGTTCGAACCTAAAACCCTGGTGTATCTGGACGACGCTCTAACCAACTGAGCTACCCTGTGGAAGCCATTCTTTTCTTTCGGCAACCTTTAAATGTTACCATAAATGAAGTTTTCTTAATTTTGCTTGTTTAGTGTTGGTGTACTAAAAGCATAGTAATTTTTGTGTGTTGATCTTTCATTCTGCAAGTTTGCTGGCTATATGTTTATTAGCTGTAGCAGGTAGGGTTTTTTTGGGGGGGTGAATTTATAGCGTTTTCTATATGTAGAATCATGTCACAAAGCCCATTACTGAACAAAAATTCATTTGTAGCTAATAATGTCCATATTTAATTCCATAAAACATACAACAAAATGACTTCAAACCTATGGCTTCAAAAAATGCACTGCACGCTTTAAAAAAACTGAATGGAAAGGCAAAGTCAAACAATCCCTCAGGTGAATCTTATGAAAAGAATTAGAATTCTCAATTAGCAGGCATATTTGTTAGCAACAGAAATCTGCCTGGATACCTGGTTACGTCTAAATTCTTTCATGAATGTGTACAGTTCCTAGCAGCCAAAGTTGTGAGAACTTCCGGCAGCATAGGTAAATGCAGTATTTGCTTCTTCTCACAACAACATCACAATTACAAATAAACTATAGAACCACCAACATTCAGAACTGCCTGAAATCTGGCTCACTGGAAGTCCTACACCTAGGGACCTCCAGGGACTTAAAGAAGCCACACGGAGAATGGTAGGAGGTGCTGAGAAGCGGCCACACCCACAAAGGCAGATAAAAATCAGGAGGGATATCCACTGCAGAGGTTCCCTCTGAGGAGCAAGGGGTCCTAACCCCAAACCAGGCGCCTCGGCCCAGGGTTCTAGAGCCAAGAAGAGAAGTCCCCTGGCTGTAAAAAACAGTGGGGGGATTGTAGGTGAGTGAGACAAAGGACTTCTGGCATCCTAGGTAGTTTCTCTTAAAGTGCCCTTGCATAGACTTACTCAGACTCAATCCCTCTGAGCTCCAAGGCTGGGGCAGCAGCTTGAAAGGAACCTGAGGCATATGAGGATGAACTGAATTGTTTAGTATCACACGTGCGAACTGTGGGGGACATATTTCTTCCAGACAGAAGTGCAGGCAGAGGCCATTGTTCCTTTGATGAGGCCTACCCTCACAAACCTGACAGGTAGGCACCATATCTGAGTCTCCATCAACCTGGCTATCACTGTTTGCCCCACCCTCATGATTCCCTGAGACCACACCCCATTCAACTTGTGGGCTCACCCAAGCTGTTTCCATACAAATGACCTGTCAAGGATTATGCTTCACATTTTCCTAAAATCTCTCAAGCAATCTACTAGATAGAGATTTCAAAATTCTGCTTATAAGGATGCTCAATGAACTTAGAATCTCAACAGTATTAAAAAAGACCAAAGATGAAGAATACACTAACTAAAATAAAGAATAATTTACAGGGAATCAACAGTAGAGCAGACGAAGCCAACAATCAAAACAGCAAAAAGGAGAAACAATCCAGCCCTGGCTGGTGTAGCTCAGTGGACTGAGCATGGGCTGTGAACCAAGGGTCGCTAGTTCAATTCCCAGTCAGGGCATATGCCTGGGTTTGCAGACCAGGTCCTCGGTGGGGGCCATGTGAGAAGCAACCACACATTGATGTTTCTCTCCCTCTCTTTCTCCCTCCCTTCCTCTCTCTCCAAAAAAATCAATAAAATCTTTTAAAAAGAAAAAAGAATCCAAAAAATAAGGATAGTGTAGGAAGCCTCTGGAACAGCTTCAAGTGTACCAATATTCCCATCATGGGGGTGCTGCAAGGAGATGAGGGCAAGAAATTGAAAACCTATTTGGAAAAATAATGATAGAAAACTTCCCTAACCTGGTTAATGAAAAAGACATACAAGTCCAGCAAGCTCAGAGAGTCCCAAACAAGATGAACCCAAAGAGGCACACACTAAGACACATCATAATTAAAATGTGGCAGGTTAAAGATAAAGAAAGAACCTTAAAAGCAGCAAGAGAATAGCAGTTAGTTACCTACAAGGGAGCTCCCATAAGACTGTCAGCTGACCTCTCAAAAGAAACTTTGCAGGCCAGAAAGGATTGGCAAGAAATATGCAAAGTGATGACAAGCAAGGACCTACAAGCAAGATTACTCTACCCAGCAAAGTTATCATTTAGAATGGAAGAACAGATTAAAGAGCTTCCCAGACAAGGAACAGCTAAAGGAGTTCACCACCACCAAACCAGTATTATACGAAATGTTAAAGGGTTTTCTTTAAAAAGAAAAAAAATGAAAACAAAACAAAACAAAAAAAAAACCTTGAACAATAAAATGGTAAAAATACACATTTGTCTAAATACATACATACATCATACAAGCCAATCTTTGCAAGGGTTTACAAGGTCCTCTACACTCTATCCCTAACATCCATTCTGCTACCCCTCTGCCTCAGCCTTGTGTTCTCACACTTGTCAAACATACTCCTGCCTCAGGGCCTTTTCACTGTTTCTTTCTCAAGATATCCACTTGGCTAACTTCTTAATTGCTTTCAAACCTTTGTTCAAATGTTCAAATGTCGGCCTAGCATGTCATCCTGTTTTATGTTCCATCCCCCCACTCTAAATATCTATTAATTTGTTTTCGTTTTCCCAAAGTATTTATACCTCTCAAATATTAGATAATTTAGTTTATGATTATATGCTTGTGTACTGACCTTCTCCTCCCACTAAAATGTTTCACAAGGGCAAAAAACAAAAGAAAACCAAAGTTGTTGTTAGAAGACATAACGTATTCTTATAGCCATTACTTATAGTGACACAGATGTTTTTCAAAGGCATGTTAAATTGCTACACATCCAAACAGAGAATGGAAGAGAGGCTGATATCACAAAGTTAAAAAAAATCAATACAGAAATTCACCAGTAAAATTTCAAAATTTTTGAAAAAAAATCTGAAAGCCTTAATCAAAATTAAGAGAAACAAAGATACAGTTAATAAACTGAATCTAATTTCTCAGTGTCTGAATGTGATTAAGAATATATTCATACTTGTAGAAATTTTGCTATGCAGAAACAGCAAGAAAAATCAGTCCTCAACTGCTTAGAAAGAGAAAATGTTAATTAAATTGTTATAAGGAAATTTAAAAAACCCGCATTCATGACATTCTTTAAGATCAGGTGCTCTCCAATGAATTTTATGCAAATATCATGTTTTAGAGCTTTATAAACTCCTAGAAAGTAATACTTATTTAAAGTCTGAAGTCTTAGATGAGTACAAATAGCATATTAAGAGACTATCAAGAGATGAGAATATAGTAAGAGACCATAAATAATCAAATGTGATAATAATTAGGAGGCTCTACTATATGCCTGGCACTGTGTTAGGTCCTGGGGACAGAGACTGAGCGGAAACAACTCAGTCCCTATCTCAGGATTTACCCAATGGAGAAGACTGCCGTATGCAATGACGGGTAAGAATAACTTACTGGGAAAATCGTAAGATTCTAAGGAAAAACATCAAGTAAGAGGGTTTGGGACTAACCTCGAGCAAGTTTTCTTTAAATGGAGATGTGAAGAGTGAGTAGGAGTTAGCAGGGCAAAAGAAACAGAAGGCTCCCCTCCCTGGCTGGTGTGGCTCAGTGGATTGAGCACAGGCCTGTGAGCCACACGATCGTGGTACGATTCCCAGTCAGGGCACATGCCTGGGTTGCAGGCCAGTTCCCATCAGGGGACACACGAGAGGCAACCATACATTGATATTTCTCTCCTTCTCTCCTTCCCTTCCCCTCTAAAGATAAATAAATAAAATCTTTTTAAAAAATAAAAAAAAAAGAAGGCTCAAGAGAGGAAATCCTACAGACAAAAACACACAAGGAAGTTTAGAGTAGAAGAAACAGAGTAGAAAGAGAACTGTGTGGTTTTAGAGGCCACGATGAAGGAGGGGGTGGAACAAAACAACGCCAGAAAATTTCCGGAATCCTGATGATCACACAGGATCTGGAGAGTGATGCTAACAGTGTTGTGGGGTTTTTTGTTTTGTTTTTGTAAATAGCAATGTTGTAAGTAGCACTGTACATTTCTTCCCCTATTGTGCCGCTAAATATCTTAGGTGCTCAAAGAACACCAGAACAACAGATGATTAATTTCGTGTGATAGTCACGCCTTCTTAGTATAAGGTATATTTATATGAAGGTAGAAGTGTCTACTTACAGTATCAAGAATTTCTTTGGTATGAGCGGCAGACAGGCAGAACCTGGCTCGGGACTCAATAATCGGGGTGGCAGGAAATCCCACCACAACCACTCCAACATTCCGCTTCAGCATCTCCCGTCCAAAGGCACTGTGAGGGAAGACGAGGGAGAGAACCAAGAAGGCTCGTAATGCGTACAGTACGAAGGTCTTGCAGTGATGAGCGATCTAAACTCCTCTGACTGGCAGGCACTGGAGACTTCTATTAGGAATTTCCTCGAACCCCTTTTAAAGTAAAAATGGACAGTCCACTAAGACTTCTTTTATTCAACCCTGAAGTGGATGTCTCCCAAACGGTTTCCTTCACAAAGGTGAAAGAATACAGCTGGCAGAGAACAATTTTTAATAGGGCTTGCCTAAAATAATGTACAATCATGGCCTTAAAGTGTCCCAGACAGTTAACAGTGGTTCAAAGGCTTCAAAATGAACTTGAGTTTAAATCCTGTAAGGTTTGGTAGTTTAAATAAAGTCTAAAGATTGTAGGGATGCAGAGGATCTGTTGTACCATGGACAGCTTCCTGCTGGTGGAACAGCCAACCAGAATTACCCTCTCCTTCCCCCGACAACAGGCAATTCTCTGACTGACTTGGGCATCAAGCTGCCTTTGGAATTCAGGGTTTCCTTTGGTGTCTGTGAAGCCAGCACATCCCCAGGCTTCAGCTGCTTGATTACCCAGCTGTCATTTAACACCCCACCCCATGGCAAGGTGGTGGCATATGACCTTTCTCCAGTTCTGTGTCTTGTCTAAATAACACAGTTCTAACTTATGCAAATTTTGTCATATTTACTAACTTATGCTTTGCCTTTTTCTTTTTGATTTATCTTATTCCCTTTTTGATTTTTCCCTTAGCTGTTTAAAGCATTTGTTTTAAAATTTAAAAATCTCACGTTTTACACCAGTGACTACTTAGACTAGCCCCGCTTTCCCCTACTCCCTCAAGCATTAGCACGGTCTTCCACGTGCTGCCTCTGTGGCGGAGAGCGCCTGGGGGCCCTGCATCTTCAGCTCAGGCTCCCGGACTGTCCAGTGCTTCATTCCAGTTCTGCCCCATCCTCTTTAAGTCTTAATTATAATGTACACATCAGAATAGAACCCTCTCTAAAGCAAGGGTTCTCGACTAAGTCAGTCCTCCAGACCAAGTAACTCTTCAAGTTATTTGGTAATTCCATTTCAAGAATAGGGAACATTCTGCACCTATGCTTGGTTCACTTCCACCATGGTGGCCTCTGAAGGCCACAGGCCAACTGCCCATGACTTCCCGTAGAAAACTGAACTCCTTTTTTCCCTCAGTAAGCACCCCTGCCCAATCCCCCCTCATTATCATCTTTGAAATCACTATATTTCCAGGTTCCCTGATTACAGTTTTCTTCCTATTCACTTTAGTAAACACTTACTAAGTGTTTACTAAATGCCAGGACTTGTGGTGGGCAATGAGGATTCAAAGGTGAATGAAAATATTTGCTACTTTCCTGACTTCAACTAAACCTTATCCAATTTTATATTTAAGATCCTGTCAAAACTCACAAATCCAAATTATTTTACATCTCTGGTACAATTTGCATGTAATTATTCTGCAAACAATTATACCGGTTCACTTCATATTTAGTTTTCAAATGTCTTCTGGTTTCGTTATACATTGGAATCTATTCCAGGGCAAGACTTTCTATTACAGACACTTTGTAGAAGCCACAGAAGCTGGTGCAATCTGCACATCGGCTAACTACGCAATAACGGGCCCTGGCCTCATGGCTCACTAGCTGCCCCCCAGGGCACAGCAGCCCTTCAGCTCCCCTCACCTCCTCCCTATTCTCCCATTGGTGGGGCGTGCTCCTGCCCTCCGGCCTTTGCACAAAGTGTTTTTCTCCAAGTGGCTAACTCCCTCAGCACCTTCGGGTTCAGATGTTATCTTTTCTTCCCACTGAGACCCACCCCGACAACCCCACTTAATACTGTAAACTGCCCACCCACAGGGAATGCCCAATCCCCCGTATCTGCTCCGTATTTCCCACAGCACTCAACACCTTCTAACGTATGGTGTGATTTACACTTGTCTGACTCTGTGCCACTAGAACATAAGCTCCACGGGACAGGGACTTTTATTTTTGTGTTTTGTCTGCTGATCTAACTCAATCCCCTTAGAACAGTGTATTAAACTCAAATTTTTTTTAAATGAAAGACTAACAAGTTAACATACTGTATTTTACAAATTGATATTCACTCATCTATGGAGTATCTAGCAAATAAAGGTTAACATAGTGAGATCAGGACAATTTTCCCTGACAAAACACCTAAGCCCGAGTCTCACTCGTGGAGACCTTCAGTCTCAAGAGAGCAGCCTGTAATCTGCAACAACAGGTACCCGATTTTGGCTGGCATGTAGAGCATCAAAGGCACCACCGGGGAGTCTTCGTTCCCATAGATGATGAAGCCCATCTCTTTCAGACGCCTCCTAAAATACCGGGTGTTTTCAGCTAACTGCTGTATGCACTCTTTGCCTGGAAAATAAGGGGGAGGGAAACAAAATAACACTAAGAAAAAAAAGACTGGAAAAAAGATCGCAATCGCCCTATCTCCATTCTATCAATTAGTCCTATGGGTTGTTTCTTCTTTTCCAACATAAAATATTTTTGCACAACAAGCTACATGAAATATAAATATATCTTGCTTTGTATTCTATCATACAAGGTATTGATGGCAGATTTTATAATAATGTACAAAATAAGTTTTTAACTAATATTTCCATTGCATAAAAGTCTGCTCAAACATTTTCATCAATACCACGTCATTTAACACTCTGCTGTCCTTTTGCAGTAGGGGATGTTTATTTTTGTCTTCATTTTATAGAGCAGGGGACTCTCACAATGGTGGTGGCTGACTTACAGTTGCATGGCGATAAGTGACACAGGTCTAGGTCTCTCAACTTCAATATTCATTCCAATTAACCGTGCTGTGATTAATTTTACACACGAGACCAGAAATGGAGCCATTCACAGCCCCAAATTTTCATCTTCAGAGTGTGATTTTATGTCACCATTCCCATAAAACTCCCAGCAGACAGCAATAGCATATCCATAATATGTAAAATCATATTTTTAATCCTGCTTTGTTCATCTTTCCTATAACACAAATTAATTAAAACACACATTTCTCTAATGGCTGACTAAATATTTGGCCTGTTTGACGTTACAGTAGGTCAATCTATGAATAGATGTCGAAACAATTGTTCTGGAATAGAGAGCAAGCCGTAAATTCAAAAGACCAGCCCCCAAACAACTAAGAACTCTTTAGTGATCGTAACCACCAACACTCTAAAATAAGAAGTTTTGCAGAGGAGGGTGGAGGGAGGTAGTAGCAGGTAGAGGAGAGATAAATGGTGATGGGAGGAGACCTGACTTGGGGTGGTGAACGCACACTACAATATACAGATGGTGCGTTACAGAACTGTACACCTGAAACCTGTAATTTTATTAACCAATGCCACCCAATAAATTCAATTAAAAAAATGGTCTGCAGTCATTTTCTCACATATATTAGAAAGCCGGCAAACTTAATATTTTAAAAAACACCAATGTCATACAGTTCAAAAGAAAAATCAATCAACCAGAAATATAGAGGGCTAACACATTTCCTTAGAATTAGAATTCTACCATATCATCACTGATGGGAAGCTACTCTAGATAAGTTTGCTACAAATAACCCCAAAATAATAGTTTATGTAAATAACTTTAAGTTGACCAGAGAACAACACTCAAGCTGAGAGCAGCTAAGGAGCACCACTTAAATTATGACATAATCTTGCAAATAATAAAACAGACACTAAGGTGTATTATTATATTTAAGAATTTTGGGAAGTGATGAGACATGTACCCCAATTTCCCCCTAGAAATAGCAATATACGCTCACTCTACATTTAGAAGAAGATGATTCCACTTCCGGCCATGAGAGCGTTCCAGTGACAGGCTCATCTTCCTGCTGTAAACACTAAAAAACTGGACGAAGCACATAAAACCATGGCTTTTGTATACTGAGCCTTAGGCAGCGAGGGACCATGCTACCCGAGCTGGTTAGCAGGGAGTGAGCCTTTGGACCGTCCCACACTGCCCGGAGCGGGTTCCAGGCTGCTGCCCAAGGAGGGGAACCTAGTCCTGCCAAGTGAGGACACCAGAGAGGGAAGTCAGAGAGGCTGAGGGGGCCAGAATGTGTGGGGCAGTGTACAGGACAGGACAGAGGTGCAAAGAAGGAACTTGGGGGACCTGCAGGAGGGTCCCATTGAGCCTTATGGGAAGAAACCAGCAGGTGCCAAGGTGATCCACCAGCGGGCAGCAGACTGACTAACTCCCAGTGCTCACTCAGAGTTGGCAATAGTTTATAGTTTCACCAAATGGAAAGGCCTCAGAAGAGCATCACACTAGTAATGGAGCTAAATTAGCCCAAGACTGAAAGTTGCTCTGGACCCACTCTAATGAGACTTACCAGCAAGTCTCAAAAGGATTCAACTGATTCCAAGAACAAAGTCCAAAATTACCAAAGAGAAAGAATATATATAATGTAGTACCCAATAATGTAAAAATCCTTGTCTGACATATAACAAAACCTTCCAGGCATTCAAAGAAACGGGAAAATATGATGCACCACTAGGAGAAAAGTTAATCAACAGAAACAGACCAGAAATAAGAGTATCAGCAGACAAGGATGTATAAATGGTATAAAAGTATATCACTAAGGTGGAGAAAACAGAATAAAGAAAATATGTAAAAGCTGATACATATAACAATGCTGATGAATCTCAAAAGCATTATGTTAAATATGCCAGTCACAAAAGACTATACATTGTGTGAATCCATTCACAGTAAATCTAAAAAAAACATAATAACAGTGACAGAAAACAGGTGTGGTTGCCATGGCGTGGAGGGAAGACTGACAGCAGAGGGTTGGGAGTGAACATTGGGTTCACAGGCCGGTGCTCAACCCACTGAGACACCAGCCAGGGCGGCTAGGAGGGAACTTCTGGGTGTGACAAAAGTACTTTACACCTCAACTGTAGTATGGTCCCATGACTGTACATTTGTCAAAACTCATAGAATTCCACATTAAAATTGGTTAACTTTATTTTATGTAAATGATATCTCATTGAAGGTGACTTCTAAAAACTTGACTGACCATTTGCATATCGTTATATATTAATTTTTCCACAATCACTTTATCATTTTGCTACTTGCTATTTTCTTATCACAAACCATATACCTCCTATTTAAAAATCCCCAAGATATTTATTCTAAGAATATCAAAAAAGGAGAAATGTTAAGAGATTAAGACCTTAGCTTTTCCACTAATTGCTGTATCATTTTAAACAAGTTTTCTTTAACAAAAGGAAGTGGAAATCTCATCATCATCTGTTCCCTGACAAGAGGAGTCCCCCAAGAAAACACATCTAAACTGACACACATATCTACAACCTGAAGATACTGGGAGCAGGCATTTGAAACTCCCAACTCATATATCTGTATGACTGCCGAGTAGTGTTTCTTTGCAGAGCTATAACACAATTTGTTTATCCTTCATGGGTTCATAAACACCAGAGTTGAGATTAATTTGATGTTAATAAACATCAGAGTTGAGAATCAACATTCATGAAAGTTGATTCATTCATCAACTTTCATTTTGGCAGCTATAAATTCAGATTAAGAACGATTCTCTCCTTATGAAAACACTAATGCAAAAATATGCATGTATCCCTTTGTTCTCTGCAGCATTATTCACAACAGCCAAGATACAGAAACGACCTAAGTGCCCATCAATGAATGAATGGATAAAGATGTGGTACACACAGACAGAAGCGCACACACTGGAATACTACTCAGTCGTCAAAAATATGAAAATTACCATTTGTGAAAACACGGAAGGATCCTGAGGGCATTATGCTAAGTGAAATAAATCAGACAGAAAAGGACAAAAGCTGTATGATTTCACTCGTGTGGAATGAAACACAAAAGGTAACAAATAAATAAACAAAACAACAAACTCATAGATATAGACAACAGAAAGGTGGTTATCAGCAGGGAGGGAGGAGGTGGGAATATCAAATGGGTAAAGGAGGCCAAATACATGGTAATGGATGGGAACTGGACCTTTGTGGTGAGTTGGAAATACAGTACACAGATATCAAATTATAATGGTGAATACCTGAAATTCGTTATTAATCAAAGTTACCTCAATAAAAATATTAATTAGTTTTAGAAAGTTTAGCCTTGTTAAAAAAATACTAACTCTTAAAAAGGTCCTTATTTTTGCTTCAGAAAGAACACAGACGCTAACATAAGATCAGCATTCTTTTCTACTTTTCACACATAAATCTTTATTTAAGTGTGATTAAAATCATAAAAACAATTTGGAGAAAACCTGTGCTAATTTCTCTTGAACTCTGTACATGAACCTCACTCTGTGGTGGTCCTTTTAGACTTCATCAGTGTGGTTTGTTAGAATGAAACCACTTTTAGAACCTCTTCTATAAAAATCCATAGCCTGGCATGAAAGAGAGAAAACTAAACGTGTGTAGGTAACTTCAGAAAACTTAGCAGATATCTTTAATAGGTCCGTTTTAGTCTCAAACTTCTTTGAAATTAAACTTTATGCTCAGGAAGGAAGTAATGAATATGAAGTGAACAACGGGCTGTGATGGAATCATAAGATTTGATTCTTTGAGGGAAACAAAGCCTCCGAAGAGTGGAGGATGGAGGTGTGAGAAACATCACAATTATCTACCCACTGATACCTTTAAATCACCTTTACCAGGCACTATAGAGAACTATATTTATTATCCACTGCCAAAGAGATTTTTAAGTTGTACCATCTGCATTTCAGCCATTTTCAAAAGGAATTATTTTAATCAAGTCTTAATCCTGAATTCTCAGGAGTCTCAGCCATGTAATCTTAAGGTTTGAAGGAACTACTGTGTTATTACTCAAATAAAATTCCCTAAGTCCTCCCAGAAAGGTATCAGCCAGAACAGATAGTGCTCTACAGCTCTTGGGACTGGTACAAACTAAGGGATACAAAAGGCAGCATTTGTCTTAAATGGCATCAGTGCCATCTACTCAGAACTTATGCTTCTAAGGATACAGCATGAACTCACCTGCTTCAATAGCAATGTTAATTTTCAATTTAGCTGGTGAGCTTTTATATAACATGAGATAATCAACAAGCTGTGTTTGAGCCTGCAACTTCAAAAATAACATTTACGGTGTTAAGTGAAATCTTTCAAAATAAAAGACAGAAATATCAATGATGTTCAGCCACGCTGCTCCCCTAATTCATACTATACTCCATCACACAGCTCCTAACCCTCTCAGAGTCCCTGGGTATACTGATATAATCTGCCTTCCTGGGAAAAACAGAATAAAATTATTCCTACTCTGCAGACATATACTTTACAGTTAATTATAATTGGCTGGAAAAACCTGAAATCCAAGTATTTCTTTCCCTTCCTTCCTTTCTT